GTAATGTGACATCATGGTTACAGGGCTAGTAGGGCTAGGCTCTAGTAACGTGACCTATGAGTTACAAGTCTAGCGTTTACAGCCACAACCCCACGTGATGGATAGCAGAGGATATATGTATATTTGTTATCCATAATATCCTTGATATCCCACGTTGCAAGGATGCCTTCTCGTCTCTCACTCTAAGGAGCAGACTCTGAGTAGCTGCGGGTCATGTGTGATCATTTGGGCGGGCTAACCGAGTCGGATGGGTTTTGGGTACTTGAGGGAAATGACTCACGAGGTTCCCCCTGGTCACATGTGATCATTGGGGTGGGCTAACCGAGTCGGATGGGTTTCGGGTACTTAAGGGAATTGACTCACGGGGTTCCCCCTTCATCTTTTTTGTATCCTTCGTAGTAGACCTATAGGATAGCATCCGTTTAGCCTCCGACTCGCACTCTCATATGCTATTACTGTGAGCTGGGTGCCCTGTGTCCTTACACACGTGATGGATAGTAGAGGATATGATGGATATTTGTTATCTATAATATTCTTGATATCCCTTTGGCATGACACCACTCTATAAGTAGATAGTATTCCCTTAGATAGGAGCTTCATGCTCAACTCAATATAGTATTCTTTATAATACTGTAACGTGTTACTTAGAAAGCCTTTGTATCTGATCCCCTGCCTCCTCTGTTAAGTTAACCTTACACAAGAAAGGGAATGGTGGAAGAAAGTATGGCAAACAGCTCAATGCTACTTACAGGGCGGGTATAATGCCCTATGAGGACAACTGTGCGCCACGTTAAAAGGAAAAGAGAACTAGAGTGTTACCACTTAGGATCTCAAGGAATTCTGCTCGTCAAACAGAGAAGACAAGAATCACGACAAGGAGCTCACTAGCTCTCAAAATCACCAGTTACAAGCATTTGAGAAGACAGCAAGTAAGACTCTCTTTAAGGACCAACTGCTAGGAGCAGTAAGAACCTTCAAGGAAGCCATGCTCTAGGAGACAGTCAACTAAGCAATTCCTATGCCAAAGCCACTAACGAGCTGGCAAGGCACTACACAAGACTACGAGATTGCAGTTCGCACAATGAGGTGCCGACCAGAATACCCATACTAGCATGAACCCTGTGGAGCAAAATACACAGAAATAGAAGCCACAATTTGGCTAGAGTACAAACTCTGCGAATACAATGTCAGGATAGTTCGTGGATAGCTCAACTATTCAATATCCACTAGTTTCTGCAACTATCCATTAGCCCCGTCACATGGCAGCCTACCCCGCTTCCCACTGTGACTCACACGTCACGTTACTAGGCCCTGGCCCTGTAACCATGACATCATGTTACTATAGCTGTAACAAGTAAACTCAATCAGAACCTGGAGTGCTTGACGAGCGCTCTTCACAGAATGTAAAGAGCGCTCTAATTGCAACTCTTCATCATCATCTTGAGTTTGCTGAAGACCTAGATGCTCATCAATAACCTCTTGTAGAGCCTCGTCCTCGCTTAGTGTCCCATCTTGTATATCCTCTTCTTCGTTGCTTGGGTTTAGAAAGTTAAAAATTGCCATAACGTCATGAATATTGCCAGCTTGTATAACTTGTTCATAGAGTTCGTTGATACCTGGAGGAGTAATTGGAATCGGAAGAGCAATCGGAATGCTAACAAGTGTAGATTTCCGAAAACAGTTATAGATTGTTGTATTTGTGACATAATGATTCCAGCTCCGTAGAATCCATCGGACCGCAAAGTGTAGATTCATCAATTCGAGTGGCTTTCAATCTGAAGTAAAAGCATCAAGCATAAAAGAGAGCCACTGCCATCGATAATGACATTTGAATGATGTCTTGATCAAGGGGCTGGAATCGACTAGTACTGTTAGCAGGAAGCCAACAAATACGTATGTTCGTTGGAGGAGGACAAAGCTCAAGAGTGGTGTTATGAGCTGAGAAGTTATCCATCGTAAGAAGAACTTGTCGAGTCATTCCAATATGTCAATAGAAAGCGTGAAGCCATTCGCTCATAATTGTTGTATTCATCCAAGCCTTCTGGCTCGCATGCCATTGCCCTCCCATTGATGGTATATTGATATTTTGAAGTGCACACAGCTGTTTATATCGTCCAATCATCCACACAGGTAGGTGATCAGTTCCAGAAGCATTAACACAAAAGACAAGGCTAATTCGAGTTTTCTCCTTCTTTAATCCTGGAAGCGTTTGTGTTGCAAGCCCTCGAGACGGCATCATCTTCCAGTATAGGCCTGTCTCGTCCATATTATAAATGTCCTCCTCTTGAAATTCACCAGCGATAGTTCGTAGAGCCTTCATTTCCTCCTCTGCTGTTTCTGGACAAGAGCCTCCTTCGCCGTGTTTGTATGAACCTTGATATGATATCGTGCTTTAAATCGATGGAGCCAGCCAGTTGAGAAGTCTGGGCATTGTAGATTATCGTCGTTCGGTAGTTGTTGCCAAATCTCTCGAGCCTTTTCTTGTAGTATATCACTGCTTGTAAAACCTCCACGCGATTGAATTCGTTGCTGCCATATAATAAGGAGTCGCTCCACTTCTGGCCACTGTCCAACTCATAGTCGTGATCCCGTAGGTTGTATAGCTTTGTCTAGGTCTTCGAAATGTGAGCTTAAAGACTCAGAAACTGTCGACTGACTGAGTTTATGGCCGTAGTTCTGAGAGAACCATTCGATACATTGCTTTTGAGAAGGCTTCAGGTGTTGTTGATGTGCCCACTTGCGTAGAGCCCGGCGTTGCTCAATAGTTATTGCAAATCGTTTCGTCATTTCAAGGTCTGGTGGGAACACCATAGCACGGATAAAGCGATATTCAGGAAAGGGAGCACCGGTATGATGAGTATCGGTAATTGTATGGTGGTGTTGTCGGGACCAGGAAAAATATCGCAATAATGAAGTTATCGCTTAATCGAGAATCGTTATAATGGTGCTTTACTGTATAGATCTTTTGCCCTATATCAATATATCCATAATATTTCCGTCATACCCAACGACACGGGGTAGGTAGAGTGATGAATGCTACATTGAGTGTGGGGTTTGGTGTGTGCTACAGTATTATCTCGTTAAGTCGATGTAATTGGTCATGCATAAATATATCAAGTTATAGAAATATCGAGTTAGGAAGTGATCTGAAGTAGACCAGAAGTAGCCCCTCAGCTAAACCATCCATCCATCCAACGTGCCTTGAACCAACTCATTGGCCTGTTTGGCCACTAATCGCCTCTCCACGCGCTCTAAAGAGCGCAAAAATGATGCTGGATCCGTGATGCCACCATTCTCAGATTCTGAGAACTCAATCAGAACTTGGAGAGCTTGTACAGCGTTCTGTGTGGTGAGCACAGGACGCTGGGGCTCCTCATCGTCATCATCTTGAGCATCGGAAACCTGTATATATGGAGCCATCGCCTCCTGTAGAATTGTGTCCTCATCTAAGCCTCCCTCCACCTCTTGTATTCCCTCCTCCGCTGGATTCAAAAAGTTCGAAAGGTCCATAGCGTCTGATATATGACCAGCTTGTTGTGCTCGAGTATATAAGTCGTTTAGAACAGGGAGTGGGTGTATAGGAAGCTGTATTGGGCATAAAAGAATCGTGCTTTTTCGAAAGCAATTGTAGATAGTCGTATTTGTAACGTCGTGATGCCATGATCGAATAAGCCAGCGAATTGCAAAGTGTATTGTCATTGGTTTGATTGGATCCAGGTTGTTGCTAAAAGATTTGAGCATGAACTCGAGCCATTGCTGACGATAATAGCTTTTTAAAGAGGCTATAATACCTTAATCGAGAGGTTGATATCGACTGGTCGCATTTGGAGGAAGCAAGATAATTCATATGTTTGGAGGAGGAGGCGTCGATTCCACTGCAGCGATATGGGCTGAGAAGTTATCCATTGTAAGCAGTATAGAACATGATGTAAAAATATGAGTATAGAAAGCATTTAGCCAATCTGCCATAACAAATTGATTCATCCAAGCCTTCTTATTCCACCTCCAAACCCCACCCATTGCCCCTACATCAATGTGTTGTAAAGCTCAAGGCTTTTTAGCCTTTCCAATAAACTAAAGAGGAAGTCGATCTGTTCCAGCAGCATTAACACAAATGGCTACTGATATGCGTGCTTTGTCCTTCTTCTGTCCTGGAATTGATCATGTTGTAAAGCCCTTTGAAGGGCTCATCCTCCAGTAAAGCCCAGTCTCATCCATGTTGTAAATATTGTCCTCTAAAAACTCCCCCGCAATAGTTTGTATAGCCTTCATTTGTTCTTCTGCAGTGACACCAATAGATCCAGCTTCACCATGTAGAGTTCGATATAATATATTATGCCGTTGTCAAAACTTTACGATCCATCCGTAGCTAAATTCTGGCGTAGGTAGTCCACGGTATTGTGGTAGCTGATTCCAGATAATCTTCGCCTTTGATTGTAAGATTTCTGTAGTTGTAATGCCGCCACGCTCTTCAATAAGCCTCTGCCAGTCGTAAAGAGCAGCTTCTAATTCAGGCCAGGCGACAGCGCGGCGACGCTGAGCTTTAAAGCTGTTTGTTTCCAGAGTATTAGAAGTATCGTCAAGGTCCAAAAATCGAGAGCTAAGGGATTCTGAGACTGTAGATTGGCTAAGTTGACGATTGTATTTCTCGAGGAACCACTGTATAGTGGCCTTTTGTGTAGGTTTCGGATGGTGAGATCGATGCCAGGTTCGGAGGGCTTTTCGCTGTTCGAGAGACATAGAATAGAGCTTTTTCAAAGGCATTTTGAAGGTATTCTAAGAGTAGTCCAGTAATTAGTTTAAGTCGATAATTGGGAAAAGGGACTCAATATCGTGTGTATCGTGATTTGTATGACGAATGGAAGGATCCGAAGAAAGTTATCGAGTTATCCAGAAAATCGACTAATCGTGTATCGACTTAACGAGATAATACTGTACGTTGGATGTGTTGGAGATTGCGGGGAAATACCGGGATTTGCCAAGGAATTAGCCCTGTTTTGGGGGCGTTTCCCAAGGGTATCCCATTGGCCTGCTTGGCCGCAGTTAAGTGCATACGCTGATCTTTTCGAGCAGCTATAAAAGCTCTCAGAATCGCCGGAAGAATGAATGTATTTGCTCATCAGCGAAGATGTTACCTCATCTAAGAATGTTGTACAACGCCTGCGGGCTCGCCTTTTTGTTACTGTTAGCACAGTCCGTTCAATCGCATGCCGTCGAGAGCCGTAACAATGGCGGGGCAGCAAGCGGCCGCCAGCGGATCAGCCTTAACGCGGGCTGGCGGTTCGAGCGTTTTACGTCCAATCCCGACGCTCTGTCGTACGACTTGCTAAAGCAATGGATACTCCCTTCGGGTAACGACTTCATCAGCAGCACCAAGCATGAACGTCCCTCTGGAACTCCTCCAGGTAGTAACATCAGCTATGTGCAGCATTCCTTTGATGACAAATCCTGGGAGGCCGTCGATGCCCCATGACTATACCATCAAAGGGCCTTTCAATGCTCCAGGGATTTCGGGCGAGATGGGACGCTTGCCCTCGAATGGAGTCGGCTGGTACCGTCGGAGTCTGACACTTACCGCGGAGGACATAGCTGCTGGCAGGTCGACCTTCCTTGACATTGACGGTGCCATGTCGTACTCGGCAGTGTGGGTAGATGGTTATCTCGTCGGTGGGTGGCCATACGGGTATAACTCGTTCCGACTAGATCTTACCGGACATCTTAAATGCCCTAGACTCTTCGCGCTACTACCCAGGCGCTGGTATATATCGTAACATATGGCTTGTTAAGGCTGATGCAACGCATGTGGGACAGTTCGGCACATTTATTACCACACCAACTGTCACCAAGAAATCAGCGTCTCTCGATCTGACTGTCGAGGTTGAGAATCAAAGAAGCACTAGCCAAAAAATCACCATAAGCACCAAGGTTTATGAATTTGACCCACTGACTAAGAAAGCCAAAGGCAAAGCTGTGGGTACATTTCCAGATGTGACAGTCGAAGTTGCAGCTGGAGCCAAGGGATCTGCAGATAGCTCAGCAACTGTGAAGAACCCAAAGCTCTGGGGCCCAGCGCCTGCACAGAAGCCGAACTTGCACGTCGCCATAACAACTCTGTCTGTTAGCGGGGTGAAGATTGACACTTATGAGACTCAGTTTGGTATCCGTTCTGTGGTCCATGATGCCATTAAGGGGGTCCTTATCAACGATGAGGCGGTCCGCATCCAAGGTACCTGCAACCACCACGATCTAGGCTCCTTGGGGGCTGCTTTCAACATCCGCGCCGGTGAGAGGCAATTGCAAATGCTGCAAGAGATGGGCGGCAATGCGCTCCGCACTTCGCACAACCCACCTGCGCCTGAACTGCTTGATTTATCCGATCGGTTGGGGATGATAGCTCTAGACGAAATATTCGACACTTGGAGTACTCAAAGAAGAGCCACGACTTCCATTTAATATTCCCAGACTGGCATGAGCCGGACCTTCGCGCCTTTATCCGTCGTGATCGCAACCGCCCCTCCATCATTGCCTGGAGTATCGGTAACGAGATTCCAAATCAGTCAAATCCAGCCACAGGAAAGATAGCCCAGGAGCTGCGCAATATAGTGCGTGAGGAAGACCTAACTCGGCCGGTGACCCAGGGCATGAACAACGCCAAGGCTGCGGACCTTACAGCTCAGGTGATGGATATCGAAGGCTTGAACTACCAGGGCGAAGGCCACGGTACCGATACGTCAAGCACATTCCCAAGCTTCCGTGTAGCTTTCCCAGACAAACTAATCTACACTAGTGAGTCAGCTTCAACCGTCAGCTCGCGCGGTATTTACGTCTTCCCGGTTACAAAAGAAAACAACGTACCATCAATTACTTTATAGTAACCATTATAGTAATCACCCATCACCCACCATGGTCAGAAAGCGCAAAAGTCTTCGGCCCCGACTCGGGCGAGGACGTTGAGGCGAGACACCTCAGTGACTACGGGTTATACGAGCCCTCGTGGGGAGCCTCGCCCGATAAGGTATTTGCTGCGCAGGACGAACACCCTTATGTTGCCGGTGAGTACGTCTGGACTGGCTGGGACTATGTCGGCGAGCCAACGCCCTTCGACACCTCGCGAAGCTCCTACTTCGGGATCATCGATATGGCTGGCTTCAAGAAGGATCGCTTCTTTCAGTACCAATCGAGATGGCGCTCCGATTTCCCCATGGCACATATTCTTCCCCATTGGACGTGACCCGATCGCGTTGGCCTTGTCACTCCAGTCCACGTATTCTCGGCTGCAGACGAAGCTGAGCTCTTCGTGAACGGAAAGTCGGCAGGGAGGGTCAAGTCCGGAAAATCCTCCAACAGATTCCGATGGGATGATGTGATCTACCAACCTGGTGACCTCCGCGTCGTCACCTATAAGAACGGGAAGAAGTGGGCGGAGGATATCAAAAGGACGGTTGGCAGTGCCACAAAGCTAGCCATCTCGGCTGATCGTTCCGCCATCGGCCTCGACGACGACCTTTCCTTCATCAGCATCGCGGTAATTGACAGCAAAGGGGATACAGTACCACGGGCAAGCAACAGCATCACCTTTTCCATTTCTGGACCTGGCACGATTGTATCTACCGACAATGGTGATCCGACAGATATGACTGCCTTCCCATCGCTGACGCGGAAGGCTACCGGCGCGGGAGCTATTACTGTTTCTGCCACAGCCGACGGTATCACAGGGGCCAAGGTGACGTTGAAGGCATTACTTGTAAAGTAATTCAATCCATACGGTTTGAGAAGTCAGTCTAGTAACTCTAGAAAATATATGCCGGTGATAGTCACAAATATCAAATAATCCAAGGCCCAATTTCAGAGTCTAGTTGCACAATTGCCTTCGAACATCTCGAGGGATATGTGCCCTTTGTTTAAGTGTATGTAGTAGTTGACTGACATGTAACCAAATAATCAATGTATTACTATTCTTGTCCATGCAGTTAATACCAAATACTCTTGTGACGCGTCGAGTCCGTGCTGGGATAGATTGCGGGGATATAAGCTAGTACGAATTCGTGACTTACCGAGGTGTGATTACTATTCAATAAATGCACGAGACTCTGTTCGTCCTTTCTGATTATTCTAACATCCATTAATGTAACCCGACCAAACTAGGAACAACTAAAGTAACAGAGTTGGAGGAGCCATATATTTGTTTTTATTGTTTATCGAATTGAGCATCCCATGACTTTTGCCAGCTTCCCAACAAGCATTTAAGTCATTCACCAATAGCCTCTGATATTCTCCTCATCAGCAGCCATGTCACAGAACGAGCAAAAGAAGCCAGTCATCGCGGTCGTCGGTGCCGGGCCTGGCATAGGGGAAGCTGTCGCACGCCGTTTTGTTGCTGAAGGATATGTCGTCGCTCTTCTCGCCCGTACAGAAGATAAGCTCCAAACTATGGTCCAAGGAATCGACGCAGACTTCGGGAAAGGCAGCGCGCGGTACTATCTCACAGACCTACGGATCGAGGATCAAGTCATCTTCAGTTTTAAATCTATTCGTGCTGAGCTTGGCACAGTACAAGTTCTTATCTACAATGCCGGTGCTCGCCGTGTGAATGGCCGGTCGATCCTGGACACCACAAGTGAGGAATTCGAAAACTTCACCAAAATCAATCTTTTCGGCGCCTTCTGGTCCACAAAGCGTGTCCTGCCAGATATGTTGGCCGCAGAGCGTGGGACCATCATCTTCACAGGAGCGACAGGCTCCTTGCGTGGTATGCCCGGTTTGAGCAGTTTCTCGCCCGGCAAATTTGGTCTCAGATCATTAGCGCAGGTTATCACACGGGAATACCAGAGCAAAGGTATTCATGGGGCACATTTAATTATCGATGGACCAGTTGATGGAAAGCTGGTCGGTGGCGTGACGCGCCGGAAGTGGGAGCGGGAGGGTCAAAAGGAGAAGCTCGACGAGGCTGATGCGTATATCATGCAGCCAACTGATTTAGCGGGCATATATTGGTATTTGCACACCCAGCCACGCAGCGCTTGGACGCAGGAATTGGATGTACGTGCTCAGAAGGAGATGATGTTCTCTAAGCTTTGAGAGATACCTAAGAGGGGTTCGGAGGCATCGCTTTTGTAGAAAAGAGCCGAGTTACTGGATGTGTATAATATAGAAAATTAAGTTGGATTGAAAAACGAATCTAAACTACAGCGCCGTCTTCTTTGGTATCTGTTCTCGGTGTAGCTCTTATGTACATAAGAACAGATGATAACTTCCATGACATAGCCAGTTCGGTGACCACAGTACCTATGAGCTCCAAAACCAACGTCCTCTATATAGGCTTTAATCTACCCATATCGAGCTATAGTTTGCTTGGGGGAATAATTGACAAAGGCGTATACGGCACATTGAGATGCGCAAACACCTGATCCCACCTATCATTTCCAAACCAAGACTTCTTTTCCCCATTGCTATTCACCGCCACTATCCAAGGTGCGCCAAAAGCACCAGCCCCCATTGTTTGGTCAATAACCCTCTTCTTATTTTCAGGCGTCACAGCATTTGCTAGGATCTTCTCTAACTCCGCAGCTGGAAAGATACCATCAAGCGCCTCAGTGATACCCTCAGCCGAGGAGACATTGATTCCTTTGCTCCAGTACCCCGAGGCTAGAGCTAAGAACGTTGCATCAAGCTTGTCCTGGGGGTAATTATCTTTAACCCAGGTGGCAACACGAACGGCCTATTTTCCAGGTTAGCTGCTTGCGGCTGGGTCATCGTTGGGGGACTTACGAAGATGGAATTGATAGGAAAGACTTTCGGCTGCACGACTTTCAGTCCCAATAAACGTCCCGTCGTATCGAAATCTTGCGCTGAGAAGTCTTCTCTGAATTTAGGAGTTGGCGCAAAGGGGTTTCCGGCATTCATACGGGCTGCGCCAAGAAAGAAGGGGATTGTGTCGACGGCGACATTATGAGCATTGAGGAGAGGGCGATAACGGACGATGTTGGTATATCCGAACCAAGAATATGGAGATACTGCATTTTAAATTAGAGGTAGGTACCAACAGATTGTGCCATGGGGCGACAAACCACAATCGACATAGATGCTCAACTTTCCACCATTTGCTCGTGACATTTCTGCGAATATGTCGTTGGTATTTTGTGGAGTTAAGTTCCTCTGATTATCAACGGCTTATGATATCAACCAAATCACTCAAGAAAACGAATATCCTCTGCTTTAAGAACAAGCAGCTTTAAAAGGTCGTCGGCGCGTTGGTTGGCTCCTGGAGCACGATCTTGGTGCGAGGCCGACCGAGACCGAGGCACGACTCGCTTTTGACTACTAATCATAGCTAGGAAACTGCCCCGCAATTCCTTGGGCGGGGACTACTAACTTACACGTAATCCTACATTTATGGAGCGCACTACGCGCTTGAACAAAATGGTACTTGGCGCGTTTTCTGGTGTTGAACCGTTCCGCTTTTTTTCAACCGCGACCCTTCGAACCTAGGTAAACCCACGTGATTCAGGGAAGGACCAAGTACTAGGAAGGAACGATATTGTTGAACTACCAAAAAGTGAAGCATCCCACTTCTGCTGTGATTCTTATCGTCCGTTATATTTACAACGTATATGCGGGATGCGTCCATGCGGAACCGACCCCAGCATACCCAGATCGTTTGGTTCCTCGAACCCATACACCAGAAGCTACCACCGCTCCGGCGGGGAAAGCTTGACGTGAAAGCTCTGGAACGGAGCTACGCAACCGATTCTCATGGCTTTCTCATCACCACACACAGCGCTGCTTGAGTCGTACATTGATATCCCATTCAATGTATGGCTCAGTATCATTCTCGTCCTCACCTATGGGTGTGCTATCCGCAGCCGGGGCCTGCTTTTGCTCGTAGTCCTCGGGGTCACCGCGACTATTGTCGTATTCGACAAAACGTCTACTGCTGGCGAAATGATCAAAATATTGTGTGAACTTCCCCTCGGTCTCGGCTCTGTGCTGGCATTCCTCGTTGCGAGTCGATCCTTTCAGACCAGATATCTACCTGCCTTTACGACCTACGTTAATTTTGCGGTGTATGGAAATATCGGCATGATGGTGGGGACTCCCACAGGCGGCACCCTTCGGGGAATGTGTAGCAAGGTCACCTGCATTACGCTCTTCGTTTGGATCGTCCAACAAGGTTACCGCGCTAGGTGGAAGACAATTGTTCTCCACGACAACTTGTTCGTTTTCACTGCCGCCAGCAAGTCATGGATATTTGCACACGCCATCTATAGATTTGTTCTTTTAACATTGCCGTGCTTTGGGTCTGGACGCCGACACCGCCTTCTAGAGTTGTACTCTCTCAGTCTGACTTTTGCCCTATCGTTGGCTTCAAAACTTCCATTCGAATATTGCTTTGGAATGGCCGATACATTGGTGGTCCCGGCGACTGCAGGATGGTCAGTTATTGCAACGACATTCAATCCCATAGCACGCGATGCGAAGAAGAATGACTTGCCCTCAAATCACATTGGGACCGATGCAGATGTATATCTGAGCGCCGTGTCGCTGGCTGTTGCCACCTTCGCTTGTTTTAAGATAGCTAGTGCGCCACGTCGAGGGCCTCGAAGATCGTAGTGTGCTTCCTTCCGGTGCCAACCTAATTTGCGATTCTTAGCCTCAGAGGTATGGGCCACTATGATCTGTTGATAGTCTATAACACGACATCCTCAATATTAGCATTGCAAAGCTTGGGAGTGGATATCTGGGAAGCATTGTTTTGACCATCCAGTCATGATCATCCTGGGTTGTGATGCTATTATGTGCTAGATCACTTTGTGTGTATAGTTGCTCTTTCTTTTGACAACTGGGACTATTTCCTGGCCACGATAATACAGCCTCTGATCACACCTGATCTGCCCCACCAAGCGAACATCCCCGCTGCATACCGAAAGCGTCCAATTGACATCCCATATTGTTGCAGTTCAACTTCCTTCTTCCTTAAGAATCCAGCCAATGGGCTGAATACGTGTTCTGAAATGTCGCGGATCTCAATCTTTTCACGAGCGTAGCCAGCCATGACAAGTCGTTCCCGATATTCTTGAATTGTAACAAAATTCGCGAACGGACTCTGACCAAAGAAGGCCATGAATCTAAGGGCAAGGCGTTGCTTCACGGAAATATTGTCGGCAATGCAGAGATCGTATGCCATAAGTGAGACACCTAATTCTCTGTTCGCGTACTCGATAACTGGCCACCTGGAAGGCTGAAAATGAATAAGTGTGTCAAGTCCGAGGAGCCAGTTCTCATGGTCCCCCTTCTCGTCATTAGCCTGAGTAGCCACAGACACGGATTCTTTTATTTCTGAAGTCCAAGATGAAGGCCGTCCAGCATCGGCGCAATAGATCTCAAACTCTGTGTTGGTATTTGATTGCTCAAGGCCAAGCCTCTCCTGGGCAATGGAGAAGTGGGCGGTTTCCAGGGTGAGGCCAACATAAGCTTTGAGATTCCTCTCCCACCGATCATCTCTTTCTCCCCGTCTTTGATTGTCCAAGGCATTTTTTATGTATAGGCTTTGGTCTCCACATCCAAAACCAAGGTCAATGATACTCAGCGTATTGACGATGTTCTTGTTGCCACTGGAGACTTCTTCTTCCAAGATTTGCGCGGACTTCAACACTTCTTCAAGAAGAGTGCGGCAAGCTGTTGGAAAGTCCTCAGTATTCTACTGTCATTAGCATAAGGCATCCAATTTCAAATTGATCGTATCACACCTTCCAGAAGCCCATGTTCATCCACATCGATTGGGGTGGCACGGAAATGTTGAGTATACTGTGGTCGTATCTATATAGAGGCTTTTTAGAACCTCTCTCTACCTTTCCATTCGAACGATTATCGACCACTTTCTTGGTCAGAAGAATCATCAACCCAGCCATCAGAATCCCCAAAACATATTTATTTGTCCAATCCATGTTCTCGATCCATGTTGTTCTCATCTCCTATAGCAAGCCTTATCTGGAATATATAGGCTCCACGAACTTTAGTCCCTTCAATTCGGACTGGGGCCAACCCAGCAAACGCTGTAGAATCTCGGAGGGCGGATCTTCTATATCTGGTATGAGTATGCACGCATGATTGAGGACGAGCGCAATGAGCTATTGTTTGGCTTCGGCTATTCAAATGGTCCATACACACACCCCACTAATAGTCATGTGTATATCACGTGAAGGTTACGGGACGAAGGCGTAATACCCCACACGTAAAACTATAGTAGTCGAGTACTATCATATACGGCCATAGAGTGTATTGTGAGAACGCGGATCCCCAGAGGAAGATCAACGTTCAGCCTTCATGTACGATATAACGTAGGTCATGGTGTAAGTCGTCTAATGTCATAGATCGCGTAGTTCGCCCAGCCATAACCTGGTTGGTCTCGTATACCCAACCACAACTCAACAATGGTCTGTAGTAAAAGCGTACGTGCTGCTGCGGAACTCGAAGTTCTAGTCGCTAAGGCAGTTTTGAAATCCAGTCTAAGAAGTACAAGTCCTCGTACGCAGCTGCAAAAGCTCTTGGACTTTGTAAGGACACTGTGAAGAAATGACTAAACAGCAGCCTCTCCTACGATAAAGCACGCCAACAACAACAAATTCTTTCAACAGCGTAAGAGAAAACCCTTATAAAGTGGATAAAAGTCCTTACTAACAGTAGCTACGCACCTAGTCATCGAATTTTATAAGAGATTGCAGATGAAATCTGCATCAACTGTTGTCACATCTTCGAACTTTCTGCTAATAGCCGCGTCCTAAACCCACCTGACATCACATACACCCAAATTCCAAACCTACCTTTAGGGAAGGAGTAGGTTCCATGCTTTATTAGACAGCATTTACAATTATAAGTACGACTAGGATAAACGGTGTTACAAAAGACGTGGTAGTAGGATAGTAACACGTACAAGGACCTTATAACGTGTCTTAAAATCAAAGAACACAACGTATATAACATGGATGAGACTGGCTTTTCAATTAGAACTATAGAATGTACTCGAATCATTGTTGATTCTATGCTATATGTGCCATTAAGCACACTAACGCTGTTAAGAATGGGTGTCTGCATTTAAATACATCTGTATAGACAGCACAGCTATCAACCCTCTTATTATATTCAAAGGCCTTAACATTTTGCAAAGCTGGATTCTATAGGAGGTTATTGATAAATGGCACTTCTCTGCAAACTCAAAAGGATGGACAAGCAATCTACATAGACTTAAGTGGTTAAAACGTGTGTTTAAGCTAGTAATGCATACGAAAGCAGATAGAGGACAACAACTTCTTATTTGTGATGGCTATGATAGCCACATAAGTGGAAATTTTATATCACATTGCATATATGTAAGGACACAGGGCACCCAGCTCACAGTAATAGCATATGAGAGTGCGAGTCGGAGGCTAAACGGATGCTATCCTATAGGTCTACTATGAAGGATACAAAAAAGATGATGAGGAACCCCATTGGGTCAATCCCCTTAAGTACCCGAAATGGGTCCGACTCGGCTAACCTGCCCTAACTCTCCCCACGTGACCGTAACCTGCCCAACTCTGATGCTTTCCGTCACTGAGGGCGGAGGCATCCTTACAATATAGAATTGCATCTTGCTCCTTATACTGCTACTACATACTTCACATGTGTTGCAGCCGCTCGATGTTGTAGTTTTTAGACCATTAAAAAAATGCCTCATAACCACACTATCCCCACTTAATAAAGCATAGCTCATGCGCATATAGAAAGCGGAGTGGTTAACCGCATACATAAAAGCAAGGACAGAAGCTCTTTCGATTTAGAATATTACCTTAGCTTAGAGAGGTGCAGGATTACAACCACTGCAACCATAGCGCATAATACAAGAGGTTATGCTTCTGTAATGGTGGGTGCACCAGATGTGAGAATCTAGCCACCCAAGGAAGGGATGATTTTACTAAGACAACACACTGTCTTAGGAAACAGAGCCAAAGGGTTGTAGCTTAGACTATTCCACAACGCAGCAATCAGGTGTATGATGAAGTGGTTTAGACAAGTTGTAACAAATGTTGAGTCTGGGAACTCAGGGGTAAGTCAGAGGTTAGCACCTCACTGACTTTTCAGAAACAAAGAATAACAAGATTAATGCTTGGAAGCTTGTAAAAGACGTGGAAGTATGTGATAGTCGATTTACTGTATTGTCTGCTTGCCCTTTCTTAAGGAAAGGGCAATCCTATTTATGCCAAAGGAGTGTAGTTCTCTCATTCTCCAAGACTTTCCATGACTAACCAGGCTTCGTAACTGTAGTCGACGTAAGAGAATCCCATAGAACCATCTCCTAGGTTCCTAGCCTATAGGAAGTGAAAGGAGGTCCAAGGTCAGAGTACCCCTATAGACAAATTATGTCATAACTTAACCAATCTTGTGGGTAACTAAGGAGAGATGACGTGTAATGAATCATAGAGGGTTGTAGAAGCTTTTGGAGCTATCGTTCATGTTCCTAGGCCTCTAGTTGATAGAGATATGTCATGTGTAGTATTAGCCCAGTAACTAAGGAGTGATGTCATGTAATGAATCATAGAGGGTTGTAGAGATATGTTATGTGGTCATATCAGCCCAGTAACTAAGGAGCAATGACGTGTAATAAATCATAGAGGGTTGTAGCAATCGTTGAGTAGTATTGCTCTTGTTGTTGGTGTGACAAGCCAAAATATGTATAGTGACTTGTAGGTTTGAGGAGGAGATTTCTGTTTGCTCTTGAGTTTGATAGCAAACTGAGTGCAACGAATGTCAGTATGACACAACAGAGCGACTAAATACACGCAATTTTCTACAACAACGTGATACTGACAATCTACGATCAATTGTTCAAGCTCGGAGAGTACAGTAAAAAGACAAGCGAGCAATTTTAAAGGGTCATTTTCATATTTCTACAAGGGAATTGCAGCTACAGGTCGTTAAAGCATAGGAGGCTACTTGACAGAAGTCAACAGCAACAGGTAGTAGAACTACAAACAAGGCTATAATTGAGCAAGGAGATGAAGAATCTATTGAAGAGGACTTAGGAGAAGTATCTAATTGTATTTTAATTGAGGATTAGAGTAACGTGCATGTATAACGAAAGTGCCAAACAAGCGAAAGTGCCAAAATATCGCGACTACCCCATAAGAATTGCGATAAATCCACCACAACAATATAAATTAATTAAAACTACTCAGAGTCCTCTTCCTCAGACCTGTCTATTACAATCTGACAAGTGCGCGCATTGTGTCCAGTCTCACCACACTTGCCACAGCGACGTGCATGGGTTTCTTCCCTTGGCTTCCGACCACTACTTGCCCTTATTTCTTGCTCTACTTGCTGCACAACGTCCCTCTCGTCCTGTAGCTCCTGTGCTACCTGTTGACTAAGTGATCCTCCTTGCTGTAGTCGTGTTTTTTTAGCTCTCCGGCGCTTGCTTAGCACTTCATTTGCCTGTCGCAGGTTTTGGTTCTCTGCTTTTAACAATGCTAATTGATGCATTATTTGCGATGCACCCTTTGTAAACTGGTCAACAGCTGCATAGATTGAGGTTGGAGAGCTATTTTGATGATGCGCAATTCGGTTTTTAATGAAAGTAGACTGTGATACAGCTTCAGTTGGGTTATTTGGTGTCTGAGAAACCCATGGTTGAGCGGTGTTTGGGCGAGAGGTTGGAGGTGTTGGCGTCTTAAACCTAAGGTCAAGTGTAGATATTACACTCTCAGGGCTAAATGGAAGAAGCCCAGCACCTCGGAACCCTCCCTGAATATTGCTTTCTGTCATTGCAATGTTAAATGCAGCGTGGAAGGCAGGAAAGAAGTCATCCTTAGTAATGTGAATAATATGAGCCCGCATCATATCTTCAATTTGCCGACCGTAAGCTCTCTTTAATGGGCCAAAACAGCCAACATCAAGTGGTTGGAGTATATGGGAAGAGTGAGCAGGCATACAAAGCGTAATAATGTTGTGTTCTTTGCAGTACTCCTCAAACTTGTCTGAGTGGTGGCTCTCATGACCATCAAGGACTAACAAGCGATAACCACCAACACTCCGGGGCTTTGTGTGCTTCTCAAAATGCTGAATCCAATCCATACCTCTCTCGTTTGTAGTCCAGCCATTTGCAGTAACAGCGATTACCCAATCTGCTGGAAATCCACTATTCTCATACCAAGATGCAAGGTGGTTTTTACCTGCCACAATGACAAATGGCGGCACTGCCCAACCTTAAGAACTAACGCCTTGGATTACTGTAACCCATTCCCGATTGCCAGGCTGCACCTTTTTTGCCTTTGCCCGCCCATCTGAGCTCGTTACTACCGTTGCGCTTGAGATGACGCCCATCATAAACCCAGTCTCATCAAAGTTGTAGATATCTGCATTGTTGATGCCATACTTTAGAATTGTGTTCCATACAAGCTCAAACCAGCCACGAATGACTTCTGGATCTTCGCACTTAGCCCTCTGGTAGTCGTATTTTCGCTGGAAGCGTGTCCGGAGCTCTACATGGCGCTTAACAAAGTTTGAAGCCCAACGTGACCCGACGCGTGGCGCGTCGCGTGTTGCAAGTAGTCGATTTGCCATATCTTCAACAATAGACAACTGAGGAGGGAACCCTTTAGCAGCTAAGTCAAGTATATACTGAACAAGAACTGATTCCTCTAGGTTACTTAATTTCTGTAAGTTGGCTTGGATATCGCGTCGTGAAGGTACACCTTGTAAACGGTGACGTAGCTTGCGGTGGTCTACGGAATAGATCCTAGCTGCAACTCGAAGGCGCAAATTTGGGTCGCTTTGCATAGCTTGGATAGCTAGCACTAATTTGCTTTCATCATTTTTATGGCGCATGTTTTGTTGTGGAGGAATTTAACATTTAGTTGGGGGGGTTGGTCACCGCATGATTTTGGCACTTTCGCTTGTTTGGCACTTTCGTTATACATGCACGTTATATATAATTTTATTTTTGTTGTTGTTCACGATGTTCCAACCCCACTACCGCCAGTACGCCATTACCGCCAGTACGCCACGACTTACGTTATGGTATATATAGCGTGTTACGCGTATTCCGCCAAGCCAGAAAGAATACTATAGTCTTTTTGGCTTAGTGGGATGTAGCGCGAGCGTAACCGTACATCGTTACAGGAAGCCACCTAGCAGAAAGCAACAAAAAGTCGAGCCATAGGCGCAAACCATGCTAAATGAACTAATTGAAGAGTAAATTGTCGAAGACGACCTAGAGGAGGAATTAGACTATATTATAGTTGAGTACTAAACTAAGACGTTACAATATACAGTAAAAATACGATAAGTCAATATGCTTTTAGCCGATATTTACATTATCTCGATATCTTTTTCTGTACGGAAGCTTTTTACATACAAAACACAATACATCCGATATCATGAGATCCTCCTTGAATATTGACTTATGCTAATCTTTTGAATCTTATAGAATACCTTCAAGAAAGCTCAATTCGATGACAATTGAACAGCGTCGTGCTCTTCAACAATGGACTGTCAACAAAACACCTCAACCTTCCCAAAAAGATTGTATCACCTGGTTTTTTGAGAAGTACAACATTCGAATTAGTCAATCTACAGTCTCGGAATCCCTTAGCAGCCGATTTATCAACCTTGATGATCCAATTAATACACCAACAATAGGGAAGAGGAACGATACGAATATACGTCGATGGGAAGTGGCTTGGCCAGATACTGAGGCTATTCTTTTTGAGTGGCAAGAACGAATCGATTCAAAAAGAGGTTTTAGAACTGCGGAGATCTTACAAGAGAAGGCAAAGCGAATTTGGTCACAACTACCACAATATCAAGGGAAGCCTTCGCCAGAGTTTAGCATTGCTTGGATACAGAAATTTCGACTACGTCACAACATCCGGAATAGAAAGAGGCAAGGAGAAGGGGCATCAGTCAGTGAGACAGCAGAGGACGAGATGAGGGCTATTCAGACAGTGGCTGGGGAGTATTTAGAGGACAACATTTATAGCATGGACGAGACGGGTTTATACTGGAAGATGATGCCATCTCGTGGGCTTTCTACAATGGAGGCTCGAGTAGGAAGGAAGATGGACAAGGCAAGGATGTCTGTCGTATTCTGTTGTAATGTGTCATACTGACATTCGTTGCACTCAGTTTGCTATCAAACTCAAGAGCAAACTTGGAAATCTCCTCCTCAAACCTACAAGTCACTATACATATTCTGGCTTATCACACCAACAACAAGAGCAATACTACTCAACGATTGCTACAACCATCTATGATTCATTACACGTCATCGCTCCTTAGTTACTGGGCCGATATTACCACATAGCATATCTCTACGACCCTCTATGATTCATTACATGACATCACTCATACTACCACATGACATATCTCTACCAACTAGAGGCCTAGGAGCATGAACGATAGCTCTAAAATCTCCTACGAACCTCTATGATTCATTACATGTCATCGCTCTTTAGTTACCCACAAGATTGGTTAAGTTATGACATAATTTGTCTATGACATAATTTGTCTATGACATAATTTGTCTATAGGGGTACTCTGACCTTGGTCCTCCTTTTACTTCCTATAGGCTACGAACCTAAGAGATGGTTCTATGGGATTCTCTTATGTCGACTACAGTTACAAAGCCTGGTAAGTCATGGAAAGTCTTGGAAAATGAGAGAACTACACTCCTTTGGCATAAATAGGATTGCCCTTTCCTTAAGAAAGGGCAAGCAGACAATACAGTAAATCGACTATCACATACTTCCACGTCTTTTACAAGCTTCCAAGCATTCATCTTGTTACTCCTTGTTTCTGAAAAGTCAGTGAGGTGTTAACCTCTGACTTACCCCTAAGTTCCCAGACTCAACATTTGTTGCAACTTGTCTGAACCACTTCACTACATCACACACCTGATTGCTGCGTTGTGGAATAGTCTAAGCTACGACCCTTTGGCTCTGTTTTCTAAGACAGTGTGTTGTCTTAGTAAATTCATCCCTTCCTTGGGTGGCTAGATTCTCACATCTGGTGCACCCACCATTACATAATGCTGCTGGTACTGATCGATGTCCTCCTTGGTTTATTGGCAAGGCGAAAACGCCTCGAGCTTTACGAAACATTGACGTCATAGCAATGGGAGGGGTTTGGAGGTGGAATAAGAAGGCTTGGATGAATCAGTTTATTATGGCAGAATGGTTAAGGGCTTTTTATGCTCGTATTGGTACAACACGGGAGGTTCTTCTCACCATGGACAACTTTTCAGCACATATCAAGGCCCTCGAATCGACACCACCCCCTGCGAATATCCGAGTTATCTGGCTTCCTCCAAATGCAACAAGTCGATTTCAAGCCCTAGATCAAGGTATCATTGCCTCTGTCAAAGCTCATTACCGTCGACAATGGCTCCTTTACATCCTTGATGCTTTTAAAAGGAATGAAGATCCTGTCCAAACGATGAATATACAACTTGCTATTCGATGGCTTCTTCGATCCTGGAATCACGACCTTACAAACTCGACAATCTATAACTGTTTTCGAAAGAGTATGATTGTTCAAAAGCCAGTTCAACTACCCTCACAACCTCTTCCTGATATTACCAATCTCTATCAACAAGTACAACAAGCTGGGAATGTACATGACACTATGGATCTTTCGAGCTTTTTAAATCCAGTCGATGAGGATATACAAGAGTTAGAGGGGTGGGAGGATTTTCAAAGGGGGGATGCTATTCTTGAGGATATCATGTCACAATACGTCCCAGATACCACTCAAGATGATGAGGAAGAGGATGAGCCTTCTTCACAGCCTGTGCCAACTACACAAGCTGTGATTAACGCCATTCAAGTTCTGATTGAGTTTACGGAATCTGGGAATAGTGACACCTCAGAAGCACCAACGTTCTTACGTTCTTTTGAACGTTTTGAGAGACAGTTAAGGCTCCTTGAAGCCAATTCACAAAGGCAGGGGACATTAGACTCATGGTTTATGTAAATAGCTTCAATTTTTAATTTAATCACGTGTAATACATTTACTCGATATATGCATTAAGTCGATATATTTTTGTGGATCCGAGGCATCAACTTATCGTATTTTTACTGTACGATATAAAACGTACTGATACCTACCCCTGTCGCCAAGCAAATTTTCCCACAGCTTGGCACTGAACCTGCCCTCGGCTGATTACTAATTATCTTTCACCAATGGAATGGATTGGGTTCGCGCCGGTTCGCCATCAACTGTAGTTCTTCGTTTCTGCGGTTCTGCTGTGTGTCGCAAAGCTACACCGCAAGAGAATCCTTTCGTTCTGTGCAACCATTGTCTTTAGCCGCCTTGTTTGATTTTGCTACGCAAAGGCATCTTTTCATGGTTCTTTGCATGCACTATTCAAGATGACGTCCACAAAGAGCAGTGTAAAGCAGAGGGTGGCTATAGTTGGCTCGGGTATGGCTGGTTTGGCCACAGCGCACCTTCTTCACAATGATAAACATCAGCGGTACTCTGTGACTGTCTTTGAAAGCGTGCGTATGTTATGTCTCAAATTCTTCTGTTCGCTGGTCTGACAAGTTTCCATTAGGGTGAATCCTTCTCACTCGATTCTGCGTCCGTATCTATAGAAGATGAATCTCAAAAAATTGTCGATCGCATTGACGTCCCTATGCGCGCCTTCGCAGAAGGCTATTACAAAAATCTGATCAGCATGTACAAATACCTAGGGGTACGATACCATTTTCAACTATTCGTTTATAGCTTCAAGAAAAACGCTGTCAGTGAGACTTGGAACAAGGAGAGCAAGGAAGGTTACTTTGTCTATTCTTCGAACAACCATGGATTTCCGCCAATATGGCCGGAGGGTATTAATCTGTTCTCATGGCTCATAGAAATCGGGTATGTAGCCGTCTGCTACCTTTGGTGGTCGCTTTGCTGCTTCTGGATTCCACCGGCACTCGCAACAAACTCTCGTCTCTGCGAATCTTTAGAAGAATACATGAAACGCATCATGCTTCCGCGCCACTTCGTGAACTTCTACCTTCTCCCTCTCCTCTCGAGCGTTGCGACTTGTACGCACGAAGCTCTTCTCCGGTTTCCAGCTAGGGATTTGACCGAATATAAAAGACAATCAGCAGGGGGGGACCATTACACGGTTTCTAGTGTGCACGAAGTGCAAAAATCGCTAGGATCCGGACTGAAAACAAAATTTTCCACGCTGGTCACTAAGGTTGAAGTGCTCCAAGATGGGAGACTTGAGGTCGTGTGGAATACATCGGATAATGTAACTCATAAAGATATATTCGACCGGGTGGTTTTGGGGGTGGCCCCTGATATTGCCGGAAGGATCTTCCAACCACTCGGAAAAGCCATGGCACAGATTCCAACAACAATGGTCCACAGCATTGTACAAGGTAATGGTATGAAGGTCGCCTTGAATGACACTAAGGCAAGTGAGTTGGCACCGAAGGGCGCCAAAGCAGCGGAAACGATACACCTTCGCACATCAACTAGTCTGGCACAAACAGAATCCATACACGTCCATGGATCCGGAGCTATGGTGACGACGTGCCCATTCACCGATGTTTCATCAGCATCAAATGTGCTGAGATCCGTAAAATTCCTTCGAGCCCTCCGCACCCCACTCAGCAGGCATGTGGTTAACAGCATATTCGGCGAGAACATCGGCAGTCCTCTCGTGGACGAGAAACAACCCTCCTGGAGGAGCGGCGACGACAAGATCTATTTGGTTGGAGGCTGGTGTTGGGATGGCATGGTACTCCTGGAAGGCTGTGTGATCTCTGCTATGAGGGTTGCCTCGGCGCTTGATGTAGATATACCATGGAACGGTTTATAGGCTTGAATTAATGACATAATACCCATTACAGTGTGAGTCTTACAGTGCACTAGGATTGTAGAATCTTCAGCAATCGATCTAACGGCAACAGATGGTGGCCTATTCGCATTTTGAAGAACCTACTGCTGAGCTTAGGAACTATAGTACCGTCATGGATACAGTTCGGTTCACTTGTCGACTTCAACGACAATCACCACCTTTCCCCTTGCGTGGCCTCCATCCAGCCTGGCAAAAGCATCCTCGAACTTTTCAAGAGGCCACACGCTGTCGACCACTGGTTTACAAACACCAGCTTCGACCAGTTCAGTGATATTTTTCAGCTGCGAGCCGTTTGCTTCCACAATGAAAAAGAGGTTATTGACGCCTTCAACCTCCAAATCTTTTGGCCTCTTCTCCTCAGGCGGTTCGTAGATACTGACGAGAGTCCTCCACTCTTTAAGTCCACCAAGCCTCCTCCAACGTCTTCCTACAACAAGATCAAATTTCCTTCCCGCAACTTCGCTCACCCAATCTTTCAGCGACACCTGGCGATAATTGATCGCAACATCCACCCCGAGCGACTCGACAAACGCCACATTATCTGGCCCACACGTCCCAGCCACCTCGGCCCCAGCCCACCTTGCCAACTGCACGATCCAAGAACCTGCACCCCCAGACGCCGCCGTAACCAAGACCCTCTTCCCCTTTGCCGCCCCCTTTTCTGCCTTCAACCTCCCACGCACAAACAGCGCCTGCCAGGCCGTCAATGCACTCAGTGCCACCGCCGCGCTTTCGGCCCACCCCAGATTCCTCGCTCGTACCCCTAGCTCCGCAGTCGTAATAATCGTGTACTCCCTTGCCATGCCCGTGCGGGCGAACTCTGTGCGTGCATACACCTCTGTGCCAGGTTGGAATGGCGAGCCTGCCGGGGCGGTAACTACGGTGCCGGCGACGTCATAGCAGGGTATCGGCTCCTTGCGTTTGGTGTCTGGGTTCTTTGCGTTTTCAGGCCAGAGTATTTCCCCGGCGCATGGGGCGACAGCGTGTGCGCGGATGAGGTGCTCGTTAGCGGAGAGGTCGGGGACTGGGAGGGGGCAGGTTTGTAGGGTTAGGTGCTGAGTGTTTGGGTCCAGTTGGAAGAGAGCGCGCATTGAAGATGGGAGGAGTAGGGTTGCCATTGTTGCGGCGGATCTGTGTGTGGCTTTTGAGATAGAACGTGGCGTTGCCGCTGTATTATGGGAGAGATTGGATTGTCTTGTTCGGCAGTTGCTTGTGAAGTTAATCGGCTCGGCGGTGAGACGGACCTCGCTGTCATGATCCAGACTGATGGAAGGATGCTACAGAATCACGTGGTGGGCTGCATATAGACCACTCCGTAGAATGCATCATACTTCCCATGACCTTGTTCCCTATAATGGGAAGGCATTTGGAATTTCTGTTTATAACGATCATTTCTTCAAGCTACCTTCAGGACAAGCGTCTGATGTCTCCAGTTTATACCTCACTAATAGGTTTCTACAACAAATAGCTCTTGACGGGCAAGGTTTCACATAAGATAACATGATTGTGTGAGAAGAGTTAATATTAAAATCGATGGGGCCGACGCGCTGCCCATCACAACAGTACCCCCCAATTGGGGCGCCGATTCTTTCGGAGAGACGAAACAATATTATAGACAACCCAAGCCCCCTTTGCATCTCATCATGGATGACAATCAATTGTAGTCCAGCCTCCTTTTCGTCTTCGTAGATTTTTCATAGCGTTTCGTTTCTGGTACTGCTTCCATGTACAAAATTTACAACGTTCAAGCAAGACTCATCCGCGTATTTAGTGACAAAATAGTCTTCTTACCAGAGCTATTGTCCTCCTGATCCAACATTGGGCCCTTTCGCTGCTTATTGCTGTAGCGGAAATATCGGCAGAGATAATATGTTCTTCGACACCCAGGGCCGTCGTAAGTTCTCTTCCCCACCCATCGATGAACTGTTCGACAAAACTTCTCTCATAGAACGCCCCATTGTAACTAACCGACAAGTTCAGCTGGCCGTCCCAAGTCCAGAGAGTCGTCGCAAGCACGCGATTGATAATTTCAACGCTCAACCACCAATCCTCGATCTCGACCGTTGCCGCCTTCCCATCACGCTTGCTGTGCAGGTAATTGTTGACTACGCCTAAAGAGCTCAACGTTTGGTAGGCCGGCGCCTTTAGCGGGTCTTCTGGTGCAACGCTCAGAGTGCCTAGGGCTTTTCTAACATAACTGGCCAGGAACTCAATCGCATTTTGGGACTCATCATTGCGCAAATTCCGCGTATGTATCGCTTTCATCTCGGCTGCAATGGCGTTGAAGTCCCTGTGTTCGTTCAGGTCGATGCTGAATGGCAAGCCAGTATGATAGAGGCTAACAGCTGATTGGGGACCGTTCCACGGCGCGGAAAGATACTTTCGTAGGTCAAGCGCCGTGATGCCGGTATATTTTCCCCTTCCGGTGTCTCGGGTGCTTGGGCCAGAATTGTCTTGTGTGCACGGCTGCATCGCAAGAACGAGGGCCGAGTGGGCAGCTGTTGTCACCGTGATTCCTCGCGCCTTACAGGACGAGATAATGCGCTCAGTCACATCAGCCGAAAATGTGATACGGTAGCGTTGGGGACTGGTAGGCAATATATTGGGCAGCGTCGCAATTGGAATTGACGGCGGGCCAGCCTCGAAGGCATCAAGTTCAGCGTCAGAAGCTTTGCTGGTCTGTGGTGTAGGTTCGCGAGGAACAAAGGCAGCTTCATTGAGGGAAGGTGCTAACCGTACGACCTCTGTGCCGTCAAATATAATGTTAGGCGGACCGTCAGCGAGAATCTGGAGAAATGCATTTTGCAGAATTCGGAGGCCTGTGCCATCTATACGCCAGTGCGGTGTGCGGAATAGAATTTCTCCTGATAGGGGCAAGATGTATATCTGGAAGTGTTCCGCGGGGTTGATACACGTATAGAGGTTGTTGGCTGAATTGCTGGCTGCATCGACAATGAAAGTTTCCTGCATCCAGGTCCTGATGGACTCTGGAGATGGCACAGTGTAGGTGAGTCTGAAGCCACTTTCGTCCGCCTCGGCAGCAATTTGCGGGTGTAGAAATCGGAGTGCCTTCCAAGCTCTCTGCAGTTCCGCCACTGAAGGCAACTCTCTGAGTCTGATTGAACACGAAATGAGGAATTGTTGCTTTTGAATAACGGCCCCAGCAGCCGCTATCTGACGGTAAAATTGCTCGACGGAGCCGAATTCGCGCTCATAACGACCAGAGATGGTTTCTTGCCAAGGCATTATGGCAGGGCATGAAGTCTGGTCACTTTTTGCTGTGGTAGCTTAAGAATAATTGGTGGTGAATATCTGGTATCCTCCAATGTAGAATCGCTGAACAAAGTTACGAAATGCGGATTGGCAGCACCGTTTATTAAGAATAATACCTATAGTTTGTGACACTTATACCGAGATTCTGCAGATGATAGTGAGCTAGATATGAGAGTTTCAGACTGACGAGTCACTGTGTTCAAGTTTAATGTTTTAATATCAGACATGTTTAACTCTCACTCTACTCCGTAAGCCTAAATGATAGGTTCTACTCGTACTTTGGATTAATAAATGTATGTAGGGTGATGATCGTCGCTACCCCTGTAGTAGAGTAGTCCAATAAAAACCGTAATGTTATGCTGCTTTACCACTCGTACGTACGTGACGCGTTATATAAAACAGCGTTGAGGTGGAACTACGTACATGTGTCCCCTGTTAACAATTATTGACCCAAAGTACGAGTAGGCCGCCGATCGTGGTGTCACCGAGTCAAGCCACTTAGACACAACCTATGGAATTCTTGCACCAAGCCACGTTGATAGGTGCATCAGCGATCATGTTCGTCGGCGCTGAGACACGGCTTGGACCTTCCCAACAGCGAATGCACTAAGGATCAGACAGCGACAGAGGTGTTGCAAGTTCAGCTATATGACTTACGAAAACTCAGTAGGCTTAATCGCGAGTCAGAAATTGGACTATGGATTGTGTGCAGTCTGCTGCAATTTTTTGTACGAGAGGCTCTATACCTTGCATGCCAACGCCAAGGACCTTCAACATCCACAATAAAGCTTGACTCCGCAGTGAGACATGTATCAATCAGTGTTTGGCAGCAGCCAGATCTTGGATAGTCCTCTCCACGATATCCATTGCAACGTAACACTTGGACTCCTCCTCCAACTCGAGGCCCCTCGCCTTATACTTGCCGTTGTCGAAGATCTTCTCGACAGCCAACTGTACCTGTTCAGCGGTAGGGCGCCCAGTACGGAGGTTGATTGCCACACCAGCCCACTCTGCCCGAGCCGCTACCTCGGGCTTGTCTTCGGTGGCTCCTGCAATGATCATCGGTACGCCTGTACTAATGCCGTGTTGGACGGCTCCGTAGCCACCATTTGTAATGAATGCCGTGCAGTACGGCAGCAGGTCGTCGAAGGGGATGAAGTCTACGACTCGGGCATTCTCGGGCACAAAGGTTTCTTCAGGGAGAGTTGCCCCTCTTCTCCCCAAGGCCACCACAACAATAACATCGCCGCGGTCCTTGAGACCCTGCATAGTTGGAATGATCAGCTCGGTGTAATTCAGATTCAAAGTCCCCTGCGAGACGGCGACAATCCTCTTGGTTGTGTCGTGGGTGATGTCTGACCACCAGCTTGGAAATACTGCAAGTGGATCACGGTGGCCCTTTGGCAGCCCGCCTGCAAAATGGATGGTGGGAGGTGCATCGCTGCGCGAGTATTCCATTGACGGGGCACACATCTGTAGGAAACAGTCGCCGGTTAGGTATGGAGAGTCCATAAAGAAAGGCGCGCTGTCTTTAACGCCGAGTTCTGCAAGAACCTCTTTGAAACGCTGGTCAGGCTTGGCCAGTATTTTATCCTCCATGGCCTTGTTCATGATTTTGTTCCTGGCACGGCCTTTGAGACTGGTGTCAGGGAGCACACCTGGGCCGAAGCTTGCCGTGTCGATGCTACGTAGCGCGATAGGGAATATACCGATGGCGATGGTGGCGGTTGGTTTAATTCCTGGGGCACCCAAGAGGCACGGGATACTACCCATACAGCCCGACTCGTTGAGCATGATTATTGGTCGTCCAGGATGCTGTTCACCGAGGATCTTAAGTGCCTTCTGCTGAGCAAAATGCTGGGCCGGGATGGCGTTCACGAAATAATTCTCCAAATCGAAGGCGAATCGGGCTGGCCCTGCAGGAGTGGCTTCTCTCTCATCTTTGAGTGTTTCTTCGGTGACATCGGCGATGCCTTCAAGGGCTATCAGCTTGGCGCCGATGGACTCTATTCTCTTCTTGTAAACAGAGCCAGTGACAAAGGTTACATCGTAGCCGCGGGCCACGAGCTCCTTGCCAATGACGCGGATAGGCATGACATGGCCATAAATTGAGCTGACAGAAATGAGAATGAGGGGTTTGGAGACCGTCATGGCTGCTGTTGAGGATTTAGGCTGCGTTAACGGAATGCTTTTTTGGACAGGAAATCCCACGGAATCAACCGCATTATATGTGTGGGCTGATGAGAGTGATCGCCCACAGCGAGTTTTAAAATCAGACAGGTCAGATGCGCTCCCGTTACTTCACGTATGGAACTGAGACACACAACATTTACTCTAAGACCAATTTCAGAGGCCCAATTCACGCGTATATAGAGCAGCTGCTATAGAACTTGCGGATCCTTGTGGCCCCGTGAACTCTATACTTCTACACTCTCATTACTTTACTGCCTGCTTTTACCGTTACTACTGTTTCCTCTTCCATTGCACCTGCTGCACGGCTAATCTGGCTGGCCCATTGTTATAACCACCTATTCCGACATTTGACGCGTTAAATAGTTGATTGGAACACCTAGCAATAGTCCTATTCTATTTACCATGTCTCATCAGCTATTGGAGACATTTTTGGTCCATATTCGAATCGATGGCTTCGAAGTTCCTACCGCTCTGCTGGTCATACTTCTGAAAACATTCATTGTCAGTACGATGCAGTCGATAATACTTACCAACGCCTAACTCGTGTGTTGTTTTAGTACAGTGCCATCTGCTCGAGCGTTGCGCTCGTGTACTTCGAGTTGATGTATTTAGCCACACGCTATCTATACTTCCGAGGGTTCCTCAAACGATATGCTCCTCTTGACTCGACTCGACATATAAGCATGTAAGGGTTATGTTGATACACTCCCTGTCGTGCCATCTAACATATGCTATAGAGTATTCTGGAGTTTGATGTCGGCCTTCTTGCTGCCGATTTTCACGGCTGTGACCTGCCAAAGCGGAATGGAACGATCATTCGCCTTCAACCCGGTGTCCTGCTGCGCGCACACCTTGCTCTATATGGCAATTCACGACGTTTTATTCTTCTATATGCATTTTGCCATGCACAAGTTCCACAGCTTGCATTTGGTATACAAATATGTCCATGCAATGCATCACGACGCAGTGCATCTTATGAACGGTATAACCACAAATACAAACGCCTCCTCTACACGCAGCTAATAGTTTGCAGCATATGCGATTGGCTACGCAGATTTTGGAGACGATCTCCTTACAATTGGAGTTCCCTGGGCCATCTGGACACTGATCGCCGGCTCGAATTGGTGGAACTGGATGTTACCTTTCAGCTTCATGCTCAGCGCTACATACATTGGTCACAGCGGCTACCGGTCCGCGTCGCCATGGTTTACGCTGTTCAATCCCCTATTTCTGCCCATCATGCTCATTGTTGGCAAGCAGGCGTTGTCGCCTGCTGACCACCAGGTCCACCATACTTACAGGAGATATAATTTTGGGTTGTTTTTAAGGCTATTGGACAAATGGCACAAAACCTACAAAAAATCGGACAAGATAGCATATGATGTGCACTACTGGAAGAAGTGGGTGCGAGTCAAGGAAAACAGAGAGAGCCTTGCAAATAATAAGTGGAAGGGGGGTATCAAGTTCGAGGAGCTCACGATATAATGTTAACTTTAACTATAATAACTAGCAAGCGGGATCTTTTAGTACTATAGCCAAGGAATTTGGGTTTTGTAGCCTTTCATCTTCGGAGTTGGGAATCATGGAGTATAGTTTGTTTTTGATAATTTTCTCAAAAAACATGTAAATACAAGTGGGCGAATATTAGTAAAATATAATTACAAATACTTATGTCGTTGTTATTAATATAACCATACCATATTTACTACGTTAATAAAAATAGGTGGTAATTAACTATGGTTTGGAAAAAATATAATACGCTTAAATGGGATATTATTGTAACAGGATAACGGTGTAATATATTCACGCTACATAACAATTAAATAAATTTGATGTTGATATTCCATTGAATAATTTCGTATAGACTATTTCATTAGTCGATTGGCTAAAGTCTAGTATCAAGGAATCTGTAGCACGACGCGGTGCCAGGGGGTTCCACGGCCATCATGAGGATGTTCGCATGTTGCACTTGGCATAGAGAAGCCCTACGCACCGTTGTGCCACTACTACAACGGTGCCTACCGTATATTTTTATTACAAGATACAGTAAGTAATTACGCCAAACGCGTCGGGTTGTGAGGGTAGAGCGCGGTGCTGCTCCATACGTAAATGCCAACAACCTGAATCTGTTAATTGGCATGTATACGACGCCTTCAAGAAACGTGTGCATATTGTGAAGCGGTGCATAAGAAATACGCAGGGTCTGGCATCGTGGGTCTGGCGGCGAGGAAGTTGGACAACTTGTGGCTGTGAGAGCTTCGTACTTCAGGGAACAGTAGGCATCATTGAACACTGTTGTAAAGCTGCCGGTTGGTATGTATGCATACTATTACTTCTAGCAATGCGTGTAATGTGCGCCTAACATGAACGAAATGCACAGCGTTGTGGGCGAGAGCGGTTTTTCCCCAGTATCCTTCGAGTGCGGGCAATCTTTGCCATAGCCTGTTTTCTGTGCCCTCTTCAACTGCAACCCTCGGCGAATTCCATAATAGCTAAGACCTATTTGTCATTACAGTGAGATTCTCGTGACCGGTAGTCTGGGCGGTAATTTGCTGTCAGACAGGGTAATCTTATCGCTCAGACGCAATATTGATTCCCAGCCATGTTTCCCTGTTGCATTCGATAGCCAAGCATTTACTGGACCAGATATGGCCGTCAATCGTCGATCACCCGTGTCCAGTGCGAATCAGCCCGCACGGTTGTATGACTGGTCCAGGGATATGAAGCCTTGGCCACAGCGACATCAACCCTGGGGTCCAGAACCAGGGCAACTAACATCAGGCCAAAAATGTCTCGCCCGTAGTGGCACTCAATATATGTTGTTGAAGGAGGAGGTTGCTCAGACTGATTGGTTGGGCGTGTGGCTCGCCAACCGAATCGGGTTGCGGACCACCCACAAATAGTTCTGTAGATAGCTTCACTCAAAACAACAATACAACACAAATTCTAGTGAACTGTTGTTCAACTCAACTTGATGACTTATACTACCGCTGCAAGTGATATCATACACTTAAACATATGTCTACAGTTAAGACCTACTAATTTTCTACGGACACATGAGAGGTTCCCGTTGAAGAGGGTGATGTCGGGTTCAAAGGGACCGTGCCGCGAATCATGTTTCAACGAAAGCCCAACCAGGCGGAACAGCAAACCGGCTGAGCGTCCTGTTGGCATCTTTGGCGCCTTGGATAAGTTTAAACGCATCGAATTTTGAACTGGGCTCTTTTTGGGGCGGGGAAACCCTTGTTTGGGTAGTTAATTCTAAGTGCCTACAGGATCAATGTATAAACACCAAGGCTCTCGCCGGCTGCTTTCAATAAACCATTCCACTTGACTATTCAACTTAACTATTTGAGTCGGAGCCAGTCTCTACCTGAGAAGATATATTATTATTGCGGAAGGCACCAAGTCCTCAGCCAGGACGAATCTAACAGGACTACAGAATCATGAAGCTCGGCGTTGCACTCGTTAGCCTCCTCTCTGTCGTCCTCACATCGCCTGTGCCAGTATCCGAGGGAGGTTATAATGTAGACGGTGGATTTATAACCTAGACCCTGACGTATTGGATGCTGATTACACTCCCGTCAGACATATCCCGGACATTGCCGGACTCAAGGTGGAAGTTCTAAGGGCGAGAGGCGGTGGTGACTCTTCTACCATTGGAGTCCCTGTGAAGACTCTGGTTGATGATATCAACAAGTCCATCGGCACTCAGTTGAACGCGAGGCAGGTGCAAGAACTCGCCCTAATTGTCGATTATACGCTAGGCCTCGGGGAGAATGCCAATGGCGCAGCATCCGGTGCCTTGCCTAGCAAACCTAATCTGTCGCCAGCCGAGATTCTAGCCAACGCCCGGAAGGCATTGAGTGCCGCGGAGAACACCTACATGAAGTACCCAAACAAAATCACCGAAGCTGCCTATCTGAACGCTCTGAACGCGATTGAAACGTTGTGGTGACAGTTCCGACGGGTTGTTGTTGTGGTAGATGAAGGCAGACGTGGGACGGAGAGGAGATTGCAAGCGTTGGTGGGACGGAGCAGGATTACTAGGTCTCGTTACTGTTATGCTACATACCATATATCTTATTAAAGTTAATATACATAATTATAATCATCTATATATCGGCGCTGCTCTCGTGGTTTTGGAATTTAGTTGCTCCCATGGTTTGCAAACTGGGCTGCTCTCGTGAAGTTCGATGCAGCAACTCGAGGTCCCAAAATAAAGCAACAGAGACCCATGGAATTGATCCAGCACCTTGGTACTACAGAATGCTGCCCGAGTGCTTCTTTACAATCACACAGCGTAATAAACGCTATGAAATGCGTGTACAAAAATGTCATTGCACGATCCAGGCTAAGATAGCTACCCCACACACTGACCCATCAAACGCAGCGGCAGCTCCCATAACCTTAATCGCGCATCGGACTGCACGTCTACTCCGGTCGCAAATCCCCATCCTTTGCCTCCCAATCTTGTTTGCAGGCGCGATCTGCACCATCCCCAATCTGCGGGGTCCCAGTGCACGGCCGGCATGCCGATTGAGGGAGCCAATTGTCTCGGGCAGGGTTAAGGGGCGCAAGGGACTGTACCAGTCAGAGCATGCAGGTCGATGCGGCTTTCGTCCCCTGCCGCCTGGCCCGGGCCATAATGGGATTGTTTGCTATGCTAATGTCTTGAACTAGCTCAGCTGTCAATAAATCCAATGTCCGCCCGCCCACACAGCCATCATACATTACTCCTCCGCCGTGATCCTCCTCCTGCTCGTCCCCGCCACTCGCGCGGCCGCCATACCAACCAGGGCGACCTGCCTGGCCTCGACGGTGAACTACGGTTAGTAGATCCTGCCGTGGTGCTTGGTCTTGCGACGCAGGTGGTCGATGAAGCCATTGGGGTCGTCACAACGGAGTAGGGGAGAATTTGGTGCCCGTGGTCGGCCGTGATGTTAGCGCGCAGTCGGAGGGCAGCGCACCACTCATCCCGGAGGAGATGAGGAACGAACTGTCGCTCCTGATTACCGGAAAGCCGTTTTCCGAACAAAGTAGCGATGCGGAGGCGAAACGCGATATCACCGACGCCGATGTCGCCGGTGCCATCGCGTACGCGGGTAAGATGGCCGCCGGGGCAGCAGGACAAGTCGGCAGCCTTCAGAACAGCTCCCCTCTCGGTCGACGCAGCGCCGCGGCCCTCGACGATTTATCAGAGCTCCTCGATTCCGTTTAACGACCTGACACAGCGAGACACCGCGGTCGAAAAGTCAGCGCTACCCACCCTGCCGACCGATACCACGGGGGCGAAACGCGACGGCAGAGGCAGTGTCGCTGGTGTCGTCGATTCTGTTAGTGATGAGGTAGAGGCTATCAAGGGACCGCGAGGGATGGTTGGCGGGTCTATCGAGGAATCTGAGATATGTGGCGTCGGTGACGCCGTTGATGGAGTTGTTGGTGTTGGTGCCGTCGGTGGTGGTGAAGAGCAGGCTTCTCGACGTTTCATCAATTCCCTTTAGAAAAATACTTCCCGGGCTTCTCAATAGTGAGTAAGCTGGTGTCGGTACGGGCGACTGAAGCTGTTACTGATAGGGGGGCACTGGGAGTTTATGAGCGGAGTATAATATATCTTCTTCGCATCGGAAGGGACTAGGGTCGGGGAGAGGTTTGGGTATATATTTCTCTTCCCATATAAAGATTTTTTATTATATATTGTAGTTAGCTTAGTATAGCTTTACATCCCCTAGCTGTATATTGCGTCGAGGGAAATTCTTGAGTGTGGTGTAAAATCACATGACGACTTCCATATGCTATTTCGACGATATGGAATTGGTGGGTGATGAAGCGCAGGCGGGTGCCGCTCACTTTAGACAAGAGAATGCGAAGCTAGAACTGGCTGGGCTGGGAATCGAAAAAGAAGACAAAAAGCAAAGAAACGGGTACGAGTGACGAAAATGACATACCCCCATACCCGCCACAACCCACCAAGAAACCTCACAGACAGACAAACCTCGGAACCAAATCCAACCTAACCAGCAATCTCCCCCCCATGGATCCTATCTACCGAGCAGACCCGCAATACACCAGCAGTCGCACCCATCGGTGCTCCCACCCTTTCGCGGCGGAAGGCTGGCTCACGTTTTCCTTCCCGCCTTGGGGAGGGAAATTAGATAGCTGATCGGGGAATGATCGTTTGGTCTGGCCTTTCGGGAGGGTAGGTAGAGTGGTGATGTGTGGTTTTGATATGGTAAGATGGGCTGTTGGTGTTGGTGGAGGAGTGATGGGAGGACTATCACCAGACTATCACCAGACTATCACCAGACTATCACCAGACTATCAACAGACTATCACGGGACTATCACCTAGCTACCCGGACTATCGCGAGCTACCGGGACTATCGCAAGCTATCCGGACTATCGCGAGCTACCGGGACTATCGCGAGCTATCCGGACTATCGCGAGCTACCGGGACTATCGCGAGCTATCCGGACTAACTATCGCGAGCTATCGGAACTATCGCGAGCTACGGGGAGAGGAATCCATTGCATAGACACTACCCTATGAGACACGCCCGTAAAAGTCAATTGTCTTCTCCCTTTTTTGCAGATGGCGGTCAGTCAGTATGGTACGAGAGATCACATCCTTCTCCTTCTTTGCTTTCTCCTTTCCATCTTTCCATGCATCGAGAGGACAGTGATGGCACAGTGGTGGCACAGTGGTGGCACAGTGGTGGCACTTCCTCCCACACCGTTCAATAAACAACCCCGCGAAATGGGTAATCTAGAATGAACCGTCACATCTCATGAATCGGCTGTGTGAAGTAACTGTGTGAAGTAACTTGAATTACTTTTCATAGGCAGGCTGGGCGTTGGGGATGGGTGGGTGGCGATGATTACGCACTAAGTTGGTCTATGGCTGTAAATAGATATACCGTCTGTCCCAGAGTTAGAGTGCACGCACATGTGATGAGATGAGTGTTCTAGTCCCAGTTCTGACTGTGCCCGGCGCCCGATTTGGCAGAAGGGCGTCGGTCAGGGGCTGCCGATCTACAGACTGACTTGGTATTGGGAATGACACGTTGTGCAGGAGATATGCAGGGACGGGTGTTACAGTACAGACGGACACGGCTCGGTTCCCTGTTGGGGAGAAACACACCAGGGAAAGGGAGGGGGACTACAACTATATTTAAGTTACCAGGGGAAAGAGGGAAAGAGGGAAAGAGGGAAAGAGGGAAAGAGGGAAAGAGGGAAAGAGGGAAAGAGGGAAAGAGGGAAAGAGGGAAAGAGGGAAAGAGGGAAAGAGGGAAAGAGGAGAAAGAGGAGAAAGAGGTCTATTCTTTTGGACTTATCAGAGGAGAACCGAGATTCCAATCCCATCCATTCACTCCCAATCCATCCATCCCTTTGCAACCGTGACGGGTCGAGCCATCTCCAAAACCAACAACCTAACCTCGCATCTGCCGCCATCCGTCATGCCTAATTGTAGCGACAATACCACATCGTATGGTGAAACACCTCCATCCTCTTCTCTTTCCTTCCCTTTTCGTCGGCTCCCCTCCGGCGCCGTCGCAGAGGCGACCCACACCCATGCTATATCCGTGTTTCACCGTGTCGCATCCCAACACCATTTCGGGGTGTGAGACGCGAAAATGGTGGGGGGGAGTTGCAGCGCACCAATGGGGGGCGGGGTGCGAGGTATAGTGTACTCTAGAACTTTGGGATGGGGGGGAGTCTACTTCTATGGGGGGATGGGGGGAGTCTACTTCTGGGGGGGTGGACGGGGTGGACGGGGTGGACGGGGGGTGGGTGGACACTGTACGGAGGCAGGACTGAAGGAGAAGACTGCATTTGTCCACAACACAACAGAGACACGGCGGTTAGGCGACTGTAATCCACCCCGTGACACGCGCAATCCTGCCACCGAAGCGCTCGCGAGAGACAAATAAATCTCTGGTCGCGCGCGGCTGCTTGGGGGATTTGCATCGTCCCTACAGGCGACAGAAACACACACCGCACACACCGCACACACAGCCACACACGGGCGCAAGTACCCCCCGTGCCAAACAGGCCCGTCCACCAACCCCTTTCCCACTTCCCTTCCGCCGCTCAGTCCGTCTTGGTGTCCAACTACTGGAAACTGCTGAGTGTAGTCCACTACAACACGATTCAGTCGATGCCATTGGTGGGATGGAGGCGTACCTGCAGTAGTCGCGTGAGGATGGCGTGGGTGAGATGCCTGGGATGCCTGGGATGCCTGGGCGATTCGCCTGTGAGTCCTGGCACGACCACAACCATCTCCTCCCACTCTATTTTCGGGCACCTGTTAACTGTACATACCCCCCTCTCCGCCACTCTATTTCCGGCACCCGCACGAATCCCGTCCAAGCTTTCTCCCTCCCTTCCAGCCCACCACCTCAACCCACCCCCCCCCCCCCCCCCCATCAGGCCGAAGCCGCCAGCGTCCCATCGCCCTCCCCTTGGCACGCAGACAAGTCCGTTCGCCGCGCGTCAAGTCCGAGTCCAACGTCTTCATGCCGCGCCCCATGAACTTGCGTTGCCAGGGGTCCTCTGTGCGGGTTCTTGGCCATGGCCGGGTCAGGTTCTGCCGTGGTAAAGAAAAAAAAGTGAGTCGTCGTCGTTCGTTTTGGGGGTCCCCGCTGGGCTGGGGCGCGGGCCTGGAGAGGGACATCTCGGCTGCATCTTCAGATCGATGGACCTTCCCCACCACCGCCTCCTCCAGGGCACCAGACCAGGCGCCAGGGGGTGTTTGTGGACACATGGGGCGGCCATGATGGGTCGGGCTGCTTTGGGTTCGACCGAGGGGGTCGTGAGTTGTTGCCCATCGTGAGAGGACTATATCATAGAGGCTGTCTGCCTCTCAAGCCTTCTTCTGCTCTTCTCTTTTCACCTCAAACGAGCCTCACTTTCTTCTCTCTCCCATTTCACGTCATTTTGTCTTTTTTTTTCCCCCAGAGTCCAGAGTCATTCGCTTCTCTGCTCTCGCTTTCCTTTTCAAACTCGCTGCGATCTTATATCCAGCAGACGATCACTACACTTATAACAAACACGACTTAACCAGTCCGATTATACTGCCAACATGAAGTCCCATTCTCTTGCTACTCTCGTAGCATTGGCTGCTACCCTCCACGGTGGTGTTGGCGCTGGCATCGGTGCTGACGCTGGCATCCACGGTGGTGTTGGCGCTGGCATCGGTGGTGGTGTTGGCGCTGGCATAGGTGCTGGCGCTGGCGTCCGCGGTGGCGCTGGCATCGGTGCGGGCGTCCGCGGTGGCGTTGGCGCTGGCATCGGTGCTGGCGTCCGCGGTGGCGTTGGCGCTGGCATCGGTGCTGGAGTCCGCGGTGGCGTTGGCGCTGGCATCGGTGCTGGCGTCCGCGGTGGCGTTGGCGCTGGCATCGGTGCTGGCGTCCGCGGTGGCGTTGGCGCTGGCATCCACGTTGCTCGCACTAGCATCGGTGCTGACGCTGGCATCGGTGCTGGTGTTGGCGCTGGCATCGGTGCTAGCCTTGACGCTGGCATTGGTGCTGGCGCTGGCATCGGCGCTGACGCTGGCATCAAGGGTGGTATTGGCGCTGGCATCGGTGCTGACGCTGGCATCAAGGGTGGCGCAGGCATCGGTGCTGGTGCTGGCGCTGGCATTGGTGCTGACGCTGGCATCAAGGGTGGCGCAAGCATCGGTGCTGGTGCTGGCATTGGTGCTGGCGCTGGCATCGGTGCTGATGCTGGCATCAAGGGTGGTGTTGGCGCTGGCATCGGTGCTGACGCTGGCATCAAGGGTGGTGTTGGCGCTGGCATTGGTGCTGACGCTGGCATCAAGGGTGGTGTTGGCGCTGGCATCGGTGCTGACGCCGGCATCAAGGGTGGCGCAGGCATCGGTGCTGGTGCTGGCATTGGTGCTGGCGCTGGCATCGGTGCTGGCGCTGGCATCGGTGCTGGCGCTGGCATCGGTGCTGATGCTGGCATCAAGGGTGGTGTTGGCGCTGGCATCGGTGCTGACGCTGGCATCAAGGGTGGCGCAGGCATCGGTGCTGGCCTTGACGCTGGCATCAAGGGTGGTGTTGGCGCTGGCATTGGTGCTGACGCTGGCATCAAGGGTGGCGCAGGCATCGGTGCTGGCCTTGACGCTGGCATTGGTGCTGGCATTGGTGCTGGCGCTGGCATTGGTGCTGGCATCGGTGCTGGCGCTGGCATTGGTGCTGGCATCGGTGCTGGCCTTGACGCTGGCATTGGTGCTGGCGCTGGCATCAAGGGTGGCGCAGGCATCGGTGCTGACGCTGGCATCAAGGGTGGCGCAGGCATCGGTGCTGGCCTTGACGCTGGCATTGGTGCTGGCGCTGGCATCAAGGGTGTCGCTGGCATCGGTGCTGACGTTGGCATCAAGGGTGGCGCAGGCATCGGTGCTGGCATCGGAGCTGGTGTTGGTGCTGGCATCGGAGCTGGTGTTGGCGCAGGCATCGGAGCTGGTGTTGGCATCCAGGGTGTTGTCACCGTACGTCGAGCTTGTTCACCTACTAAGTTCCTCATCTAACATACCGCAGGGATGGAACAACGCTCCTATATTCTCTTGCCCCGGCAAGACCCCCATCGACAAGTGTACCACGCCCCAGTGGTCTGGCTTCACCTGGGCTGACCTGAACCTCGGATTATTCGATCACTACGGAGGCTTCGAATTCTCCGGCGGATGGAACTGCAAGTCCTCCTTCGGTGGCCGCAAGCGTGATGCTCTCCTCCCAAGGACCTTCGGAGTAAGTCGCAAACGATCACTGCAAAACCGTTCCCCATTAACACCCACCAGTCCAAGTGTATCACCGGCAACGCCCTAAGCGACATAAGCACCGGCCTCAAGATCAAGGCCAGCGAGGTCGACAAGTTCTCCATCACCCACTTCCAGGTGTCCGTCGAGTTCGACTGCGACCTCGAGTTCCACTACACCCTCCCCGACAACTCTATCTGCAAGCAGAAGTCGCACTGCAAGACAACCGGTACCACCGTCAAGAACACCCAGTGTGGTGGCGCCAAGGACGTGACCGTCGTCTTCGTCAAGGCAGCCATCGGAGTAAAGTCCTCCTGCAACATCGGCATCCACAGCATCGGATTCGACTGCCCTAACCCCACTGCTACTGCCAGCACCGTAAAGTCCACCACCATTGCTGCGCCAACTGTCCAGTCCACCATTGCTGCGCCAACTATCCAGTCCACTGCTGCGCCAACTGTTAAGTCCACTACTGCTGCGCCAACTGTCCAGACCACCCCCCCAGCGACCATCCATGCCTCCACTGAGACCGAGGTTACTCTGACCACCATCGTCACCGATGTCACCGTCACATCGTGCCCAGTCACTCTCACCCACGTCACCTCCGGCCTCACCTCCATCGAGACCACGCTGACCACCTCTACTGTCGTCCTCACCTCCATCAAGACCTTCTGCCCCAAGTGCACCCGCACCAATCCATCGGGCCCAGAGCAGACCGGCATCCCATCGAACACCCATACCGTCCCTAAGCAAACTACCACCAAGGGTGCCGAGCCAACCAACACCACCATCGCTCCTCCCCAGACCAACTCCACCACCCCAGGCGGCGGCCTCCCCTGCCCACCCGTCCTCCCTCAGTGCATCAAGACCTGGCTCCCAGTCGACTGCAAGTCCAACTCAGACATCGGCTGCTTCTGCCCCAAGGCCGACTTCACCAAGAATCTGTTCGGGTGTCTGAGCGCCTTCGGTGCCACCGACGCTGAGATCAACAAGGCCGCTGAGTACTTCCAGGGTATCTGCGCACCATACGTCCCTACCAACCCGGGCATCATCACCGACTGCCCCGACAAGGGAGCTGTTGAGATCCAGAAGCCCCTCACTGGTCCCGTCACCACCATCGTCGTCGACACCACCGTCACCGTCCCGTGCGAGCCAACCGGAACCGCTACTGAGACTACCTTCACCGTCACCGCCATCTCCACCAAGGTCACTGTCCCACAGGTCGTCCTTGCCACCACCAACAGCCAGGTCATCGTCGTTACCGGCCCAGCCACTGTTCATGCCACCCCCACTGCCCCGGCCCGCGTCTTCACCGCCCCCGCTGGTGCCGTCCCAGGCTTCACCACCAGCCGCGCGGGTGCTGCCGCCGGAACCGGAACCGGTGGTCTCCCGAAGCCAACCCAGCCGCCGTTCGTGCCTGGTAGCGCCTCCAAGAGCGCTGTCAGCGCTGGTGTGCTCGGTGCCGTTATGGCGCTTTTTGCGCTCGTTGTCTAAGCTTTAGCTTGAGATAAAGTAGTGTCGAGAAGAGGGGAAAATGATGAAGGGATACCCGCCCAAGGGTGGAGAATAATTTACACGTTGCCATTCGGTGTAGGAATTACGGAGAGAAAGAATACTTTGTATATGCGATATTTAGCGCCGCTTTTTATTGAGGATTGATCGCGGAGTGCGTGCGGTCTGATCGGCCAACTCTTTTGGAATTGATAGTAGATTTTGGGGATTATGATGGGGAAGGTAGATTAGAAGTAATTGGAGGGGGAGATAATAAAGTGTTCGAATCGATTGATGCTATGATACTACGATCTACTACTTTTACATGGTGATATTGTATGAATGTGACAATGCTGTTATATGATTACCTTTTTACCCTTCGATGAGTCTTGCATCCGTGTAAGTCATAAATACGACTGATAATTATGAGACGTCTAATTTTACCGAAATATCTCCCCGCACGTGATACCGCTCAACAACCTTGGCACAATTTCCCATTTACGGCGGCGCGTGCAGAAATCGCGATGTAGCACCCACATGTCCGGACCACAAACTCACCCACGGATCGAGGAAGCAATAGATCTGGACCAAAGGATATTTTAAAGTTGTTGTCGCGCCGATCGTCCATCCGATCCTCTCTTCTCCGCATCGGCTCAAGCTCCCCACAAACACCGGCGCTATCTAACCTCGGCACGCGCCCCGGCTGGTTATCAAGATACCACAGGCACAGGGGCGGGATAGATAAAACTGCCTCTAGTAAGGGACTGGACATACTGGTGCCCCACGTTCTTTTAATTCTCGTGCCTACCTTACGATGACGCAGACACGGAGCAAAATGTCGCATCAACCATCAGCATCACCACCGTCACTCTCACTCCCAACCACCACCACCGCCGCCAGCACCAGTACAATGTCCCCCGCCACCACCCCCTCAAACCCAGACCTAACCCACTTCCTCACCCACCCCTGGTGCGCAGCCCTCCTCTCCGCCCCAGACACTACGCTCTTACCCACCCCCTCCCGCGTCCCCAAGGAAAGCACTGAGGACTCTTTCTTTGCCATCACGCTGCGCACGGGGGATACGATTCCGTATATGCTGTCTTTTTCCTCTCCCCGGCCCTCTGACGGAGTCGTCGCCGACGCTGCCACGGACCCCTCAGCCCCACCACTAGCGCCAGGGATAGGGACAGAGCAAGTCTCAACCCTCTTCGCTTTAGGAGACGCCCTAAACGGCTACCCCACAACCGCCCACGGCGGCCTCATAGCCGCCCTCTTTGACGAAGCAATGGGCGTCTCCATGATGCGCTTGCGTTCCTCGGCGGCGAATCCGAAATGCCCGCTGGCGGGAACGGATATCGTGACGGCGAGCTTGAAGGTTGATTTTGTGAGGAGGTTGGCGACGCCCGGGGTGGTGGTGGTGAGGGTTTGGGTGGCGGAGAGGAGGGGGAGGAAGTGGGTGCTTGAAGGGGAGATGCTGGGGGTGGGGGAGGGAGGGGAAGGGGAGGGGGGAATGGTGGTGGGGAGGGCGAGGGGGGTTTGGGTGGAGGTGCGGGCTAGTCTGTAAAGGGGGTGGGGGATGCTTCTAAGTTGTGCGCGCTGGCTCGTGGCGAGTGGAGGGGGGGGAAGCGGCCATGCATGTTTTCGCTATCGCTATGATAGGGGCGGCAAGAGCATCTGGGTATCTCGACGTATGAGGGAGAAGGGCGGCTAGACTTTGGTGCGGAGGGACGAGAAAAACTTGATTATAAGACATATGTTAGACCCGGCGGGGCCATAGAAAGGAAATTGGATGAGGAGTGAGTAGAAGAGTCGAGGTCAGAGTTAGACTAGAAGTTGCATTTCCTTCTGGTATGAACCTGAAGATGATTGTTGATAATGCCATTTACTTGCCACCTCATGAATCACCTCATCAAGTTCAAATGCATTCACTACCACAGCAAAACCCCCAACATATAATTCATATTCCATGAATGCCTCCCAAGACAATAATGCCTCAATCCTCACAATGGACCCTGACTCAGCCGCCCCCAATAAACCAGAACCCCTAAAGCACCCACGTAGCCATTATTGGAAAACCACAAAAAAAGGCCGCATCATGGAAAAGTGGGTGCTGGAAAAGAATAGCGAGGGGAAGACGGTGCGGAAGGTGGATCTCGTGCATCCGAAGACGGGAGCGAGGAAAAGGAAGAGGGTGGGACGGTATGATAGGTTGCCTGCGCTGGTGAGGATTGCGAGTGGTGGTGCGAGGATGGAAGGGGGGGAGGGGAATGATAAGGGGGATGATGTGGAGGAGGATGGGGAGGGAGAGGGGGAGGGGAAGAAGAAGAAGAAGAAGTGTGTGGTTATGTAGTCCGGTGGCTGGTCGGGAGATGTAATTCTGACTGGGGAATAAATCGGGATTGCTAGCTTCGGAAGAGCATGCTTGGATGCGGGTTTCTAGAACTTTGATAACTATTGACCGCAGAATAACGCAATCAATTCCGCACGTATCTCAGTCATGGAATCAGCATAGCAAGCACCACCGCAACGACGCATCTTCTACTTATGCGGCCCTTTTAACCCATAAATCTCCCTCCTCTCCTTCTCAAAATCATCACAGTGCTCAAGAATTTCCCCCGCCTCCAACTCCTCCACGAGCGTCCACACAAAATCCTGACAGCACCAGTACTCATCCTCATTATGGATCGTCGACACCCTCGCAAATTCCATGAGGTTCTGCAGATTTTCCACGTCCACGTACCCAACAGGATGCGTATCCAACGTAGTCACAGGTGCGTTTGTGAAAACCCGACCCTCGGCGTACGTGAACCGTTTCCGCGATCCTTCGACTTCGCACTCAAAACCCTCCGTGTCTCCGTCCTTGTCCTCTACGAAGAGGGCCCAGTGCTTGAAAGCTGGATCGCCGCCCTTGCGACGGACGATGGACACGAGGCGGTACTCGGAGTGGTAATCGGCGTCTACCAGGGCTTCCTCTTGCTCCTCGGGCTCTTCAGGGTCATCTTCGTATATCATCTCGCCTGTTTGCGTGTTGGTGGAGGCCCAGAGCTGGGTATTCTCGTCGAAGTGGCGGGTCCAGCCGTCGTTCATGGTGGGGGTTGTGGGGCCGGCCTTGGCTGGGGAAATGTGGGAGGTGTGGATGCCGAGGAGGGGTTTATAAACGATGCTGAGTGTCAAGGCAGCTGTTGTTTGAACTAAATGGACACAAAGCTAGGTGAGGTGCGGATTTATAGTGATGGTGGATACCTACTTATTCGTGTGAAACAGATAGGCAGCCGCCAGGGAACCACTCTCCAACACTTGCTCGCCATCCTGTAGCGTTCTTCGCCTTCGATCTGCCGTTACAAATTATAATATTTGTGGCGACCTAGGTTATTCGAGAATGGTCTGAAATTATTCTTCCATCTTTACTTCAATGCAGGGATTTTGGAGTTCATTCACTGATGGCGGCTCATCAACGGATCTTTGATATATACGAGCCCGATATCATTCGAGGTGCCTATTCACTAACGTATTTCAAGCGAGTCGCCACCAACAACACCGAAATTTGACTATGACTATATTGACCCTTATTCGATCGTAATTGATTCCTAGCGCCTCTTGCACGTATGGGCATTGTGTACTATCTTCTCACATTGGCTATAGCGCTGCTGTCGGCCTGTAGAACCTACCTGCCGAGCAGTCTCACTTGCTACCTCCGTACGGACCTAAGTATCAACCTTAGCTGCCTAAAGGATATCCTCTCCCTCTTGTATAGAGAGACTACCCCCTTGCATTATACGCCTCTTACGCTTCCTTTCCCTCCTCTTTTTCTGTTCATTTGCCGCTTGTAGAGCCTTAACTTCTGCCTTAAGCAGTGTATTAGATAGTATTATACGGCCCGTATACGGGTTCATTTTTGTAACCAGTGCGTATACGATACGGGTTCAACTCAATACGCACTGGCACTGGTTAATACGATACGGAGCCCGTATACTGGCCGTATACGGGCCGTATTAACCACGTGACACAATGAAAAATGATCTGAAGTATATAACTTACTTCAATGAGGGCTTGTAGTATAGAAAGTAGTGCATTGGGCTATCTAGTATATTCTAAAAGCAGCACTTGATCTACATATTGTAGAACTGGGAGAGAAGCTCCTCGGATTCCTTGGTTGGGGACAACAGCAACAATCTGTCGTCAGATGGGAGGATCCACTTGTACTCAGCTGGCTCAGTCTCTTCTCTCAACACCTCCCAGGCCCGAAAGGCGCCAAGTGCATCAGAATCCAACTGAAAGCCATAGAACTCAGTATCATAGCCATCAGGGTACCAGTCAGCAGGGCCAGGAAGGTAGACTTGTTCGCCATCGAAGCTCCATGATGCAAAGTTCCGCCAAACTGCCATCTGTGTCTTGGTGAAGTAGAGGTGCGGGGGGGTCTTCTCATAATAAGTCCTGTAGATGTTAGCTGATTACTATAAATATTACTATAAAGTTATTAACCTGTATGCTCGCCATCTAGTTCTTGTAATGCAAGAACAGAGTGTTCTAATTGGCCAGTTTCGGATATATAGTGTGCGATTATACCAAGAATTGCAAGAGAGTTGGGAGAAGTCCAGAGGTCAACTGTAAAGTGGGCTTTTGACAGAGCTGATTGTACATCGCGTTTGATCTGTTGCTTTTGAGCCTTGTATGTACGCAACGTCCAGGTCTGTATTGTTGAAATGAGTTAGGTAGCCAGTTATCGATCTCTGGATTAAGGTAATGGAGTAATGCCCTAAATTCCAATATTGTTGCCATACAGAAAGGGACTCCACAAGTTGTAATCCATCGTACATATAGCTGCTCAACAACAGCAGGGTCTAAGGCTTCAGTTGCAACAGTAGAAAGGCAGCGGCGTTTATGATTTATCTCTTTAGCTTTGTCGAAAGCTTCAGCGATATTGCTTTGAATTGAAGTAGTTCGAGATTCCTGAGTAGAGGATATATCTATGTCGTGTTCTTTTAAGTGCCTTGTAATAATCTTTGTTCCGCCAGACTCAAGATACTCTTTTAGACAGTATCTACAACGCCATATTAACCTGCCCTGGTAGTTCCGAATGATATCGCAGCGGCTAACAGGTGTATGGTCCCAGACTTTCGAAAATCGTCTGCTTGCAGTTGTTGTTACAGAAACAGAGGGAGAGGATAGCGTACGTTTAAGTATAGGCGAAGTCGGGGTTTCGAATCGTTCACTGACAAATAGCTCACTGTCGAGCTGTGACAGTATATCCGAAGGTTGTGAAGTCATTGTAGTAATATATAGTATATAACGATCTATCAATTGAAGTTATTCGAACCCCTTGTTTCGAATTTTAAGCCTCAATACTAGCTGTATACGGCTAGTAATACGGCCCGTATACGGCCAGTATTGAGAACTGAATACGCACTAGACCCGTATTGGGATTTTGGAATACGCACTGACTCAGTATTGCCGTATACGACCCGTATCGCCAATACTATCTAATACACTGGCCTTAAGCAGAACAGCAGCATGCATCATCACTTCTGCTCCTTTGATAGGGCAGCTAACAGCATAATTAATTGAGCTAGGAGAGCTGTTCTGAGTCGTGAGATGCGGTTCTTAATGTGCTCTGTTTGAAAGTTGAGCTCCCTTATAGTTTAAGGAGACTTTGAAGTCTAATTGTCACTCTTAAGTATAGGAGGGGTTGGAGTCCTTAAGTGTAGATTTAAGTGAGGGAGGACATTCTACGGCTCGTACGGAACTAGTCCTGTAGCTCGGAATCCGCTCTATATGTTCTGCTCTATAAATGCAGCTTTAAATGCTTCTTTAAATGCAGAGAGAAACTTAAGCTTTGTGATATGGTTTAGCCTATTCCGTATAAACGGAGGCCGATGGCAGCGGCGCCGTTCGTCTCGTCACGGGGGACATCACATCCGGAATGGTGTACGCAACGAGAAGGGAGGGCCGTCCTGAGGAGTCTGAAATCTTCGTCCACAAAGAGTTCATTGGCATGGTGGAATCATGTAGAACTTGTAGGTGTTGGTAGCGGTCCGTGATAATAGAATAATATGATAATTACGGGCGTGTCAACCAGGTTCAGAACAGTGATCTGTGAAAGCATGTTTTTATTCATCTAGCCACTGTAACTACTTTTATATAGCAAAAAAACTCTGCTTCCGAGCTAGTCTCAGAGCAGTGGTGCCCAGTTTTATCTTCTGAGTTGGGTGATACTGGGCTTGGCCCCGGGTTGGCGCTTGGCGGCCTGGGCGGCATCGCTGCCCCTTATCCCGGGCACGGAGTGAGAATTCCACAAATCAGCTACCTATCCCGAGAAAATCAACGCGGTTCTGGAAGCACTGCCGCCACCGCCGAAGCAAAAGAAGTTTAGTATCAAAACTGTTGAACAATATCCGTAGGATCCGTGGCAGTAGGTAGAGAATATAAACTGAAAATATAGTCACGAAGCAGTAGGGCCCGAAGTGATAATTTTGTAATGCATGTTCTTATAATTGAAGCTATTCTAACTACTATATATATACTGTTACGGGCTCTATCCCTGTGCCTATTCGCGGCTCGGATCCTGAAACCCTCCTGGTTTCGGTCCGTTCCCTAGAGCTTCAGAATCGAAGCTTTAGAACCGGAAGATCCAGTATCCGAAGGATCACGAACCTGGCTGACACAGCTTCGGTATCAGGGCCCTGATCCCTGCTTCCGGGCCGAGGATTCAACAAAAACTATGAGGGCGGAGCAGATGAAAGCTGAAGGCTCGTTTTATGAACCTGGCGAGGGAAGGCCACGAATGGTCAAGTGCACGGAGTGGACTGTGGAGCAGGCGATTCCAGCGTTATACGCGGATTCACCTAACCTTTACCCCGAGCGCATTGTCCCGGCCTTCTCGCATGGAATCATTGGCCCGCATCGGTCACCATGTCGGCCACCTGACTTTCTCAATGCCACACACGGAATCAACCTTTCTTCCTCCGCTTCTGAATCCCGTCACTGGCCGAGAAGTCAACTGTACGCCGCACACATCGCTTGCCTCGGAAACTGAGAGGCCAAAGTATGGCACACATGAGCTGGCAGACGACGAGACTGTGGTCTTCTCGCATTCCCAGAGGCACCAGTTAAGCAGATTATTGCAGATCTCGCGCGGCAGCCACTCGTTTTTATCACCCTCAGGGACTACTGTCTGGAACTCGCGCGGGTATTTGATCCCACTTCCGCTACTGTGGTTCTATCTAACTTGCGTCTTATTAGGAAACCATATGCCAACCCAGACTCTCCAAGGACGAAGCAAATGTGGGAGAGGTATGAAAGTTGGGACTTTCCAGTTTCACCTGATAGTAAACAGCTGGGAGGTTCGCTGCATCAGTTGACGGGATTTACTAGAATCGGAAAATAGGTTATACAATTTGGCTCTCCTGTATGACTGTTTAATTACTAGCAGTGCAGAGTGCGTAGTATATCCATACTTGAGAATTATGTACTATATCATATTTTAATCCGACAAGCATTCTGTAGCAGTATCGTAGCATTACGAGGCTTTACTATTATTCTACATGTCAGAATGACCCCCGTGGCATGGTCGGCGAAGTCTTGGGAGTCTGTTCCCCAGACCTTATCGCACGTGGACATAGATCATCGGCCATCTGACGAACTTTATAAGCGCCAGGCCAGTCACCGCGCCGTGAAATTGAAACAATTATTTGGCCACATCTGTCATTTACCTATCGTGGCGCGTTGCTATGCGTACTCGTAGATTTTTGATATATGCCGTGGATCTCAACTCTCTTTCTTTGTCGCCCTCGATACCGAGCGATTACCGCATGTACCCCCGGACGAGGGGCAGATAGAAATATAGACGACCATGCCCAGCATTGCGCGCAAGGTTACCATCACAGCTAGGAAAGATGGGCTGGTTTTACAGCCATTACCTTCCAAGGGCCAAAGGCAAACACCGCCAGTTAGGATTTCATACAAGAATTCTGCCGTGGGACCTGTCCTGTCCAGTGCCAACCACGATGGCAATGGCGACCGGAAAAGTTTCGAGGCCTTTGGCATAGTCGGTATATGTCTCGCTCCAATTAAAGAATATAAGAAACACACGTTAACGTATTCTTACCAGGCCTCCTCACAGTCGCCCAAACCTCCTACCTTATCTCCATAACGCGTCGCGAACAAGTGGCTCAACTGCACAACCACCCCATCTACGTCGTGACAGATGTTGCACTCACGCCTCTTGCCTTACAGAAAGACGCCGAAGCTTCTGTGGTGAGCACACACGCGTCGTTGTCAAGGAATGCGACATCTAAGCAAGAAGACGAAGGCGACAACAGCGATGACGAGGCGGTCCTTTCGGGCCTCGGCAGCGACGACGTCGAGGATGAGGAGATCTCCACCATAACTCCCCCGCCGGAAACGAGGTTACATAAACGCTCCACAAGCGTGGTGAACGATGTGTTTGCGAAGAAAGGCGGCTACGGCCGGTTTGCGCGAAATTGGTTCAACAGGAACGGGTGGGCGCCGGACAGGAAGATGGCGGGAGTTGGGTTGAGCAGTGCTGGTGTGGATGCGGAGAGTGATACTCAGACATCTACTACGCCAACAACGCCCATGGTATCCGCAGCAGACAATGCAGGGGAGGCAAAAGCGACAGAGGGTGGAGAGGAGAGTGGGCTTAAGGATGAGCATGTGGCGGCTCTGTTGCCTAAGCTGCTGAGGACGACGAGTTTGTTGTTTGGATCGTCGAGGAGCTTTTACTTTGCTTATGATTATGATATCACAAGGAGCGTCAGCAGTTCAAGGTCAGAGAATGGGTCAGATCTACCCCTTTATGAGGAGGTTGACCCGTTATTCTTCTGGAATCGCAATGTCATACGGCCATTCATCGATGCAGGACAACATTCTCTCGTCCTACCGCTGATGCAGGGATTTGTGGGACAGCGGTCTTTCTCGATTGAAAGATACCCCGTTGCAAAACTGCCAGAGGCGGGTGGAGAAATCCTAGAGCTGAGAGATATGCATCCAAACGAAGAGAGGACTGCCCGCCCAACATCAGACTGCCCAACCACGCCAAAATACGTGGAAAGCGACTGTGATGATACCCCTGACGACAAGAATTCGTCAGATTTGTCGCCAATATCGGGTCACGATCCTCGAGCTTTAGTCTTCGAACCTACAAGCACGTATCTCCTGACACTCATATCAAGGCGGTCTGTTAAACGCGCAGGGTTGCGCTATCTCCGCCGCGGAATCGACGAGGATGGCCACTGCGCCAACAGTGTCGAAACCGAACAGATCCTCTCGACGCCTACATGGACCACATCGCCCATATATTCATTCGTGCAAATCCGCGCCAGTATCCCAGTCTTCTTCTCTCAATCGCCATACTCGTTCAAGCCCGTGCCTCAGATGCAGAACTCTGAGGCTACAAACTTCGAGGCTTTCAAGAAGCACTTTGAGATTTTGACAGAGAGATATGGCGACGTGACGATTACGAACTTGGTAGAGAAACATGATAATGAAGGTATCGTTGGAGATGCGTACGAGAAATACTGGAAACGACTTAATGATGAAGGCGGAGTAAACGGCCAGAAGCCCCTATTTGAGTGGTTCGATTTTCACTCTGTATGTCGGGGCATGAAGTTTGAGAATGTGTCGCTCCTCCTCGATTCACTCTCTCCTTCCTTGGAAAAGTTTGGCTATACCATTTCTCGCGACGGGGACGCGAAGACTAGGCAGAGCGGTGTTCTGAGAACAAATTGTATGGATTGTCTTGATCGTACGAATATAGTGCAAAGCGCCGTTGCGCGACAAGTACTGGAGCAACAACTTAAAGTGGAAGGCTTCGATATGAGCGCTCAGCTGGATCAGACAACGCAGTGGTTCAACGTGCTGTGGGCAGACAATGGCGATGCTGTGAGTAAGCAGTATGCAAGCACAGCTGCGATGAAGGGGGACTACACTCGGACCCGGAAGAGGGACTACAGAGGGGCTCTGACTGACATGGGCCTCTCCATCTCACGATTTTACAGCGGGTATGTATCCTCCGCTTTTATCCCCAACCTCCTAAAACCCTTCTAACACACTCAGAATCGTGAACGACTATTTCTCCCAAGCCACAATCGATTTCCTAGTCGGCAGCGTCTCTGCCTTGATCTTCGAAGACTTTGGCACAAACCTCATGACCGCCGACCCGTCTGTCTCCCTCTCCCGCACCCGCCAGCGCGGCATTGAGACCTCCCACAGACTCGTCGTAGAGGACGCCTCGGAGGAGCTCCTCGGCGGCTGGGCCTTCCTTACGCCACACGAGGCGAACTCAGTCAAAGGGCACATGGAAGAGAGCGTACTCCTCCTCACTGACGCAGCTCTTTATGCCTGCCGCTTCGACTGGAATATGGAGAAAGTAGAGAGCTTTGAGCGAATGGACTTGAGACATGTGACTGGAGTCAAGTGGGGGCCGTATATCACTGCCACACTGACGAGGGCGCAGTGTGATGAGAAGAGGAATGTGGGGATGCTGGTGAAGTATCGTGCGGGTGCTGATGATATCACCCGCGTTAATACACGGTCGTTATCTACAGTGGCTTCTAGGGAAATGCTAGATGGCGTGGCTGCAGCTGAGGCTGCGCCGGATAAAGAGAATCCGGCCGGGGAGAGAGGGAGAAAATCAGGCGAGGAGCGGATCATTGCGCTCAAAGCTCTTCAGGCGCGGACAGCCGCTGTTGGAGACGGAGGGGCGTTAGCGGCGCCTGTGAGCGAGGAGGAGTTGATCCGTAATGTGGCGGAAGAGATCGGACGGGTGGTTGGGATTGAGGGGCGGGTGGAGAAGGGGGATATAGTGGGTGTTGGAGAAGCAAGGAGGGCAACCGGATTACTGGATTTAATAGGGTGGAGGGTTAAGAGGTTGGTTTGGGCGTAATCTGGGAAAAGTTGCACGATTGATATGCCTAATATAGAGCTAGTAGAGTATCCTGTATAATGTAGGAGCAGGACCATAGATGCCATTTTCCACTCGACCTAGCATGCCTTTATAGAGTGCATGTCTCTTACAACGAACTGTTTTCTCTTGCTACTAGCCTTTCAAACGCTGGGGTGCGTGGGGTTCAGTAGCTAAACCGTTCGTGGTCGAGGTAGAGTTTCCTGGAATTTCTTCCCGGCACTGCCGCTTTACCTGTGAAGCCATTAACGGCATCTCGGAGCCTGGATATAGCCAACACGTATCCCTTCCGCCTATAATCTCTTATACACATGAACCTGAAACCGCATATCCTCCAACTGAATAGGATACTTCAGCTTCTCGCTCAACCTAAACCACTTTGCCTCCTCTCCTAGTAGCTTCTCCCACTGCGCCTTCCCCTCACCACCCTCTTCCCCAACAATATTCTGCGAAAGCAGCGCATGGTCCAATAACCACGCCATAGGGTACTTTCTCTTCTCCGCCCCCTCCACGCCAACCGCTGCCTCAGAGTAAGAGCCGGGGGAGTCGATGACGATGATCACCGACCTAGGCGCAACGGTTGAAAGCGAAAGTAACATCGCAGTTGTGCGCGCAGTAGATGCGGTGAAGAGCTCGTTTAGCGTGAAGAAGAGGGTGATGATGCATGGTTCTGAAGAGGCGAGGTCAGCGAGCTGGGTGGGGGTTAGGGCGATGGCGTCGAGCTGGTGGAAGGTTGTGCGGAGGGTAGTGGCAGGCATGAGGGGCTTAGCGGCTGCGCGGGCGCGCGCAGAGGCGTGGGGTGAGAGGACGGGCGGGGAGATGAGGGCGGTGGTTAGGGTGGTGGCTGTTGGGGCCCAGTCGGCAGTGTCAACGAGGTGGAGGTCACAGAGGAGGGGGGTCGCGGTTTCTTCTTCGGTGGTGGGGTCAGGGATGGATTCTGTTTCAGCTGGCAATGCGGATGAATCGGTGGGCGAGGGCCTGGAGCCGTTTAGGAGATATCGCAAGGCGCCCCCGATGCCAACAACTTCCGCTGCGCCGCCACCGAGACAGACGATTCTTGTAGCTGGTGCTGTGGAGCTCTCTGAATCCTTGTCTCCCCCGTCTTGATCGCCTGCCTTGCGTTTCGTTCCGCGCGCAAACATGTCGAATTTGTCCAGGTGCTCACGTAGCTCTATGAGAACAGACGCATAGCACAGCGCTCGACTCGGGCTCCATCTCGCTGCGTATACTTCGAGGTATTTTTGCGCGCCGAACGCGCGCGCAAAGTCTCGTTCGAACAGAGCGGCTTTGATTTCTTGCAGCGTCGGGCTGAGTTCGTCTGAGATGAGGAGCGGGGCGTATGTATCGCGGAAGATGTTGAGGAGGAGTTGTTGTAGTTCGAGACGGATGGGAGAATGGTGGGGTGGGAGCGCGGCCTGTTTCGGGGGATTCGCAGGCCGACGGGCTGCTTTTGGTGTATAGCCAGGGCCAATCCAGCCGGGCATGCCGGGGCGGCGAGTGTCTTTAACCTTGTTTTGGACCATGATGAGGAGAGGTGCTGGTCGGATGTGGGTTGTGGGTTGGAACGAGGCTGGTGAGGTGATGTTGGAGTTGGAGCGGAGAAGCGGCGTGAGTCGCCAACTATTCCACAGAAACTGCCGTTGTCAGCTCCGCTAAAGTCGTTTAACCTGCCAGTGGGTTTGTATATGGCTGTTAGATTGGTATGTATAGTTGTTGCGATACAGCCGCTTGCAAATATATCACAGCCGCGTTTCTTTTGCCCACTGAGAATACAAACCCCATTTTTCTTATCGCGATAAGAATAATTCAGGTCCCGCCTTGGTGGGTCACGGGATTTTAAATGGTACCTCTCTCCATTATGAAGAGTCTCCCTTTCAGGGAAGTCAGAGAAAAGCAGAAAGGTATTGTTGGAACTTCTGGAGCGCTTCAAGAAGCTCTTTGTGAGACTGGACAGAGAGGGCGGTATATACTGTACAGACAGACCAGCAGTGCCCAGGTATTCTGTCCTGAATCGTCGTAGCTATGAGCCTGCGTACAACAACCCCGCCATCGTCTGATAGTAAGATCATTAGAGTCTCAACCCAAGTCCTGCGTAGAGAGAGTAAAAAGACATAGCTGTGAGCCTTGTCATGTTGATGGTCGACGGTGACGGTGACGGTGAGTGGTGCTAGTAGTGAGGATTCGCTTCGTGCAGGCCATCACATCCACCTGAGGCTGCGATCAGGCATTGAATTAGTTCCAACGTCCCACTGTAGACCTCATCGCTGTAGAATCCTGCCACCAGGAACATCTTTGTGGCCAAACACTCGGAAACGCTTGTTCCTACTTGCATCGTTGCTTCACTGTTCTTGTGAAGCCATGGATATGGATGACAATGTAAGCACCAGAAGGCCACCGCCGCTGCAACACCCGACGTAATGCTGGCTGGTCGCAAGTGCGCGCCGATGAGTCCAGTCTAGGCACCTGCCATAAACTTCAACTGGAGCCTGAACTTTATACCTGCGGTTGGTGAACAGCACACCGGAGCAGAGCATCACGAGGCAGCTTCAGTGCTATTCTCACAAGCGGTTGCCGTTGAGCTGGTCACCGTTGAGCTGGTCGCCGTTGGAGTCAAGATGCCTAGAAATGGCACTTGAGCTCTGCCATTGCGCCATGCCCATGGCCGACAATGGCTCCGTAAGTATCTATCGTGAGTCCCTTCCATACAGTTGTTGATCTTGCTGGTATTGTCATACCGGCGTGCCTAAAATGGTCGTCGGCGCAATATCTTCTTTTCTTCCTCGTCGAATCTGGTGGCTGGCATAAATATAGTATGTGACTAACACCCCAGGCACAGAGTCTCCCTGCTGCGCCAACACTCGTGCTGCAGCAAACCTGGGTCTGTTCGGAGGCTACTTGAAGTCCATCTTCCGCTATTCACTGTCGAAGATAGATAGCCAGGAAGTATCGCAACAATCGCCACATCAGCCACAGCGTCTTTGTTCAGAACCAAAAACAACAGCCCTAACGAAAGACGATTAGACGGACGAAATTACCGGCCGCAGCCAGAGCGCCTTATCCAGTCAGACTGTTCATATCCAGTTGCCGTTCCTCAACCTCAACGATGCTTTGTTCCACCCACCAACCGAATCAGGTTACTCCCGTCAGATCCAATAGTCACGTGCTATGGCCAAGCAATCCACAAAATCGCAACGTAAGCGAGCCTAAGGCACGCACGATTGTTGTTAGGCCGCTGCCTCCATCGTGAAGCCAAGTCTGAAGATACGAATCCTGCCACGAATCCGCCACACCTCGAGGCAACAACAAGGTACAAACCATCCAGATGCCTTCCGCCATCACCGCCATGCCTGAGCAGCAGTTTAGCTACCCTCCGCTCGGCGAGATGCTCGAGACGCACCCATATGCGCTCCCTGAGCAGCGCGCCTTCCACCAGCTTGCCAACGAGCGCGACTACACCCACGATGAGCACGAACACGAACACCTCGCCAATGGGCCCCCAAGATATGCGACTCCTCCCCCGAACGCGGAGTACCAGCTTCACGCAACTATGGCCAGTGAGCTACAAGCTGCGTTGGATCCGAAGAACGAGCCACCAACAGAGGAACCGGGACGCTCCAAGGCGGTACCGAAGCCGGATCGTCCGGTGATGAAGGATGATAACGGGCGCTATGTGTGCAACTGGCCTGGATGTGATGAGGCAGTCAAGGATTTCGGGAGGAAGTGCGAGTGGTCGTAAGTGAACCCCTTCATCGTCCCAGGCGCAGGCCCAATACTAACTGGTATGTTTTTCTAGAAAGCACATGGATAAGCACGACCGTCCCTATAAATGCCCCGTCCCTGGATGCGCGAAACTCCCAGGCTTCACATACTCTGGCGGCCTCCTGCGCCACGAACGCGAGGTCCACCACAAACACGGCGGCCCCCGCAAACAGCTTAACTGTCCCCACATGAACTGCAAGCGCCACCACGGAAAGGGCTTCTCGCGCCAGGAGAACCTGAACGAGCACCTTCGCCGCGTGCACACTGGCACTGATGGCGCGGAAACTATCGGCACTGAGGAGTCTGAAGGAGAGGGTGGCAAGCGCAAGCGTGAGAGCGACGAGGAGGTCCGTGAGGAGCTCAAGCGGATTAAGACTGAAAATGAGGACCTGAAGCGCCAGGGCGAGGAGATGAAGCGTCAGAGCGAAGAGATGATGCGCCAGATTCGTGCGCTCCAGGAACAAGCTGGGGCTATGGCGCAACAACAGATGGAGGCCCATGCTCAGCAGCAAGCACAGCAGGCTACGAGAATGCCAGCCGCGTCAATGATGTGATCTTGGCTTTAATCAACTGATGGGCCTCTTTGTGGTGGCCGCTTTGTTTTGTTATTTGGCACTGGGGACCTCTTATACCATGGTCGCGTCAACGGGATTGTTCCACTCTTTCTTTATGTCGGTTTTTGCTTTTCACCAGCGCCGCCAGTTTCCATTCATTCGGTCGTGTCCTGGATGGAATCGAATGGGACGAGCTTGTATTCTTTGAGTTTGGGAGGTTGGGTGCATATGCGGAGTTTGCTATACGGCGGATCACTATACTACGGTGGTGGGGTGGTGGGGTGGTGCATGGAGTATGTCGATGGAGGTGGAATGGAATTTAATGAGAGGCGTGAAGGGAGAAACAGGAGGATACCCCTTGATTTGGTGAGAGAATGAAATTGTATGAGGGGGATGCAACACAGATGTTGGATGTATGAAGGGGATGCAACACAGATGTTGGATGTATGATAGGTAGCTAGCAGATGAAGAGAATGAAGACACAGGTTGAAAAGCCACATCCTCAATCATGGCCTAAGGCAGATTTGATATATATCCCTTATTGAATTGATACACATCTAGATTTAGCCATAAAGAAAAACAGGTAATCGCACTTCCAACACCTCCTTCCCTGCCAGTTCCGTCCTGTAAGTTTCCGTAGCACCAGTTCAAGATCCAAAAAGCCAACCCATCTTACATCACACCTCAAACACCTCGCCCATCCTCTCCCCTCCAACCCTCCTAACCTCAACCAAATCGACCCTCCACCCCTTCCACTTATCCAACCCCCTCTTAACCTCCCTAATCCTCTCAATCCTCCTCTTCCCCTCCTCCTCCTGTGCCTTCCGCCACGTCTCCTCATCAAAATCATCTCCATCATCATCTAACAACCCATCATCATGTCCCCCATGGGCGCTAGCACCACCATGCTGTCCCCCCGTCAGGGCATTAATCCCATAATTCAGCATCTCGCCGATTCCACCACTTCCCCTCGCCCTATCGCCCCCACTTAGGTCTATATCCGAGAACTGCGCGCCCGGGCTCCCAGCCTTGAGTTCCTTCCTCCCCTCGCGCCACAGTCCGCGCTTTAGTTCGGCAACCTCGGCCTCTAGCTCGCGGATGCGGCGCTCGAGGCGCTGCCGGACTTCTGTCTCGATGTCATCGATGCCGTCGTCGTCGCCGCGGTTCGCTGCCTCAGCGGCTGCGAGCTTTGTGCGCAGGTCCGCGGCGTCCTTGTCTGCCTTTTCGCGCTCGCGCTTAAGTGTCTGGCTGCGAGCGTCGTGCTCCTTGTGGAGAGTCGTGAGGGTGGTGATTTTCTTCTCTAGCGCCTCAACTTTCTTCTCCAGGTCAACTGCGCGAGTCTTTGCGTCCTCGGCTTCGCGCTCGAGGGTTCGGAGTTTAGTTTCGGCGGACGTGCGAGACGAGCCTTCGCGCACGGCGCGCTCGGTGGTGCGCTCGAGGTTATTCTTCAGGTCTGCGAGTTCGTGCTGTGCTGTGTTGAGGGACTTTTGGCTGCGCGAGACTTTGTCTTCGAGGGCGGCGATCTGCTCTTTCTCTGCTGTGGAGCCGGTGGCCGTGCGGGCGAGCTGGGCGCGGAGATTCGAGATCTCAAGCTCCATTGTCTCTATGGTTGTTGATTTGGAGGCGAGCTCGGCGGCTAGGTCGGAGGGCGGGGAGAGGGAGTGTGAGACTGAGGGGGAGGAGCCGTGGCGGTTGGGGCGGGAGACTTGGGCTTGGAGGTGGGCGTTTTGGCGCTCGAGGGAGGCGACTTGGGATTTCTAGGCTTGTTAGTATTGTGCTTGTCAGATGTGAGTTTTAATACGTACTAGCTTTTGTGCTTCATCACTTGATGGTGCTGTTGATCCCGCCGTCTTGCTCTCAGTATCAGCCTCGCGCAACTCTTCGAGATCCTCCTCAGCTTTCTTCCAGCGGCGCTCGCTCTCTGAAGTCTCCTTGGCAAGTCTCTTATTCTCTCTCTCTAGTTCTTCGATCTTGGCTTGTTGTCTGCGGTGGATTTCCGGCGCCGTGTCACCCCCCTCTAGGCTGAGTATTGGTGGAGACAACGGTCCTGGGCCTGCACCTTGTCGGAACGAGGAGGATCGCATCTTCGATTGAACTGATAGAGATGGTTGCCTGGCCTTGTGTCCCCCAGCAGGAGGAGAAGAGCCGGCGTCATCGATAGCCTTGGAGGTGTCCTCCTCTAGGGATGCGCTCTTGTCGTCTTCTGTCGCTTTCGTAGTTTCTACATCGGGGCTTTCTGCAGGTGCAGCTTCGGCTTTATCCTTTGGTTCTTCTGCGGCCGCTTCCTGCTTCTTTGCTGATGCTCCTTCTTTCTTTCCCTTCTGCTTCTTTAGCTGTTCGACCTATTCACCACCTCGTATCAGCATGTCTCATTCCCAACTCCTGCGCATTGTACGCGCCCATTGAGCACCTACCCTCTTCCTTGCCGCCGCCAGCTTCTCCGCCTTAGCTTTAGCCTCTGCATCAGCCATAATATGTCAATTTATCTGAATGAATACCACGTCGTGGACAATCGCAGTTCGTTGACGTCTCAAGTTCCAATCAGGACACCTCGACCCCCACGGCGCTAGTCGTCGCCTCCCGCACGCGCCGGCCGCGCAAGAACGACCCCAACTTAACTGAACTGGTGCTCAACCCCGCCTTCCCTCCCAATTGCACCAACCACCACCACCAAACAACACCCCAAAACAACACCACCCACGCACGCAACCGCGATCAAAAAGGACACCTTCCTCGCGCCCCGACGGAGCTCATCATGCAATAGCATAAACAGCAGCGACTCCCATCTCCCAGTTCGCACACACTGCACCATACAGCCCGCCATGACATCATGGAAGGTGAGCTTCTCAAGGCTACCAGAGAAAGTGCGGATGTAGTTTGTCAATAGCTTTAGATGGTCTGCACGCGAATTCTGCATTTCACCACAGGTACACACCTCCATCCAATACCTCAAAACATCCAGCTTCGCAGCATTGGCTAGAGTTGTTGCCTCGGATGGCATCAGGGCAGGTTTCCAGGCACATTACACGTGTATCTGTGTTACGTATGCGGTGCGGAGAATGTTATATACTACCTGTGTGAGCGAATAGAAGTGGTGATTCCCCTTTTTTTACTCTATAGGCCCCAGGAGACGGGCAAGTGATCCAAGTCTTTGAACCTCTCCATAATTTGTTCTAAGATATATTTGATGCATCACATTGTGACATGGAAAACAAACTGTTAAGAAGCCATTATTTAATCTATGTGTATGGTCTATCTTTCTATAATCTTGAACTAAAAGGTATCAATGTTCTTTCATAGGCGTCCGTTAATTTTTTGACAACTCTTACTGGGTAGCAGAGGCCTTTTCCTCACCAGCAGCCTCGGCAGTCTTCTCAGCATCGGCACCACGGTGTCTCATATCGCTACCGCTGCTGCTCTCGTTACCAGTCTTCTCAATCCCGGTAGCACCGCCGAGCTCCTCATCACCAAAGCCGTAGCTGCGAGCGACATTCTCCACCTCGGCGTCGGTAAGGTAAGGCAGCTCCTTGCTGGCGCGGACGTAGCTCATGTTCTCGACGAAGCCCTTGGCGAAGATGAGATCGATCTCCTCGAGAGAACGCTTCTTGGTCTCTGGGTACAGGAAGTAGATGATGGGGATGAAGCAGGCATTCATGGCGGCGAAGAAGACGTATGTGCCAAAACCGATGTTGGTAATCATGATAGGCGTAACCATAACAATGAGGAAGTTGCTGGACCAGTTGACAGAGGTCGAGATGGCGTTGGCACGGGCACGAGTACGGATGGGGTTGATCTCGGCGGGGTACAACCATGGCAGAGGAAGCCAGGTAGCACCGAAAAATGCGATGTAGGTGAAGAGACCCACGGCGGCACCCTTAGCAGCGGCTGGCGTCTTGGGGATCAAGCAGGCAAAGACGAGGATCATGCTGAGACACTGTCCAATACTACCGATCATGAAGAGGTTTCTGCGACCGGCGCGCTCGATGATGAACCAACTGACGGTGGCGAAGATAGAGTAAACGATCATGTTAACACCACCCAACAACATAGCCTCGTCGTGGGTAGAATGAAGAGAAGTTTGGAATAGAATCGGGAAGTAGTAGATGACAGCATTGCATCCACCAACTTGCTGCATAAGCTGGGAAGATGAGCCGAGGAGCATGCGTCTGAAATGCTGAGTCTTTCCGTTGGTGAAGAGGGCAGAGTAAGGGGTCTTGCCACCCTTGTGGCCGGAAGCAGCGATACTCTCCATAATGATAGTCTTTTGGAGCTGGGTTTGGGGGTGGTCCTCTGGAAGATCGTAGAGTGCCGCAATGACAGACAGACCCTCCTCGTGACGGTCACGTGAAATGAGCCAACGTGGGGACTCTGGCAGGAAGAATGCGCCAATGCCGAGAACGAGTCCGAAGACGATCTGGAAGGCAATGGGGAAACGCCAGGTGAAGTCATCCATAGAGCTCTTGGCAGATCCGTAGTCAATCCAGTAGGCTATCAGAGTTCCGAAGGCGATGACACCGCCCTCGATACAAATCAGGAGACCTCTGTTAGTGGTTCGGCTACACTCGGCTTGGTATGTTGGGATGGTAGATGTGTTCTGACGGTTGTTAGCAACGTTTCAGTAATTAAAAGGGTGGGAATATTACAATTCCGTTTCCGATGCCAGTGATGGTACGGCCGATAATGAATTGTACAGTAGCTTTGTGTCCCTTCATGCAAGTAACCTGGATGATAACACCGAGAATCATAATAAGTCCACCAAGCATCATCTGGTATCTGTCAGCATGGTAGTCGCAGGCTGTTGGAATGTGGGACAAACCGATCTTCGGCGACCGAGACTATCACCGACCCAAAGGATGAAGAGGGCGCCAGCCAGACATCCAATCTCGTAGATGGCAGTGACGAATCCTTGGTAGACAGAGTCTTCATGTGTTTCGGGAAAGAAGGTGTTGAATTGCGGGGCGGAGATGATACCACTCATGACACCCTGATCGTATCCGAAGAGCAGGAAACCAGTGGTCGCGATTGTAGAAATGGCGAGACCGAGAGGGCGGCCGGCCATGCCCAAGAACTTAACGGGCGAACCGCCGGCGGTGCTGACTGCGTCTGTCGCCATGATGGCGTACTCATGCGACTCTCAGAGTTGTGCAGTGAGTAGAGAATAGATTGCAGATCCCCGTGCTGTCAAAGGAGTGAATGCGAAATACGTGGGAAAGGGAGGGGGAGAGAAAGCGGGAGGAGGTTGTACTGTTCTTATATAACGCGAAGGGTCAGCCCATGGGGGCGGGGAAGGTTGCGGCGAACCAACCAACAAGTGGCAGTCGGCGACGTTCTCTCCGCAGCCCACACCATCCATCCCCCAATCAGCGTATTCAAAAATTAAGATATTCTCCAATTCTACCCCCTTCGCCGGCAGGCACGATGCAAACGCCCCATACGCCCCATACGCCCCATACCCCATACGCCCCATACGGCCCCCATAAGCCCCCCGTAAGCCACCCCGGTAGGCCCAGATCCCTCCCCTACTAAGGTTCCAACCCCAAGCTTTCCGCCTGTTGCCAAGTCGCGCCTGCCGATAGTGGAAGTAGCTAGGTAGGGCTAGCAAGGAATATCTGATAATAAAATCGGGGAGGTGGGGGAATCTGCAAGGTGAAATACGTCATAACTTTCGATGGGCAGGGAGAATTGCTGAGAGTAGAAAAGGTAGAAACGCACGATTTTGGTCGACAGCTGGGGGTTTTCTGTGTCTGTGGACTAGGGGCGGGAAGATACGTAGGGCGTGAACGACCCAGTAGCTGCAGTTTAGGAAGGAACGTGGGATTATGAGTCCTGTCTACCGACCACCCACCCCATCGCTTTACGGTACTTACGCCGTGCCGGATGGGGCTCCCCCATCCTTCCTGTGCTCCGACCCACCACATCTCCTCCGAATGTAGTTGTTCGGTCCGAAATGGTCCACTGTTATACACACGACTGCACCCGAGTCACATGTCTGCCCCATTGAAATCCTGATTTTCAAAAACCGCAGCATCGGCCGGCCATGTTACTCGCTATCCTCAAACGTTACTCGTTATCCTCAAACTACGCAGTGCTGATCTGGCGTGTCAACAACGATCAACAACCAACTGCAATTCGACCACGCGTTTGAGTGGGGTAATGGGGTCTCTCTCTCTCCACAACCCACCGTACCACACTTGTAAGATCGTGGAGAGTGCATTCCTTCCCCTGCCAATACCCCAAATTCTTACAACGTTGCCGATCCATTGAAGCATTGCGGTGTTTTGGAATCCGCTGCCCAGCCTTCTTGTCGCTCCGTGCTCTCGCTCGCTTGTTTTTGTCCGCCAAGAGGGTGAGCTGAAAATATCATATTCGGCCCTGGATTTAGATTTAAAGCAACGCGGATAAAAAATAAATAGCCCATGTTTTTATACGCAATTAAATTCATTAGCCAGTAATATATATAAGCTATGCAGATGTCGTGTCTTGCTGAGTATATGCTCAGCGTCTTCAAAGACTCATGCAAATCCTGGAGAAAAGTGATAAAAAGAAGAAACGAATAGTACTCCATTAGAGATAGCTAGCACGCCGGTTTCGTAGTCGAATTTATTTATTGATTTATATAAAACACGTAATAGGATTATAGTGCTCTGAGTATTTATGGGATAATACTCTTACCCAGTGCCACTATGCGGCACATTGTGCATTGTGAACAGGACTGTAAGCGGCTCCGACATCAATTTCAATGCAGCGTGGAAGCAGCTTTGATTCTATTATATCGTGCATGGTAATATTATTGATATCCTTCCCCATGTTACACGGCGTGAACAAATATGTATATAATTAGCGAAGACTGTAAGTAGCACCAGGATGATCTGGCAATAATACTGTCCAATATATCCTTGAAAATGCTCCCGAAAGTAAAATATCCATAGGAGCGAACCAGCCATGTATTACAATTAATATTCAACACCATTTAGCCCCTGCAACGAGACGCAATTAAGCACAATTGCTAGCGCAAATAGGTTCACTGTAGCACAGACGCACTCTACAGTAGGCTCTGTACCACCTCCATACGAAGCAGTGTATGCGCAAGCCTTGGCCCAGTGAAATTGGAAGGTGATGCAAAAAGGAATGATGTTGCTCCGCGGAATTGCTTCTGAAGAACCTTCGATTCTAGATATAACATCGAATCTACTTCAAGCAATCTACCCCAAGAACTCCAAAATCAACGCCGCAACCTCATCCGGCCGCTCCTGCATAACCCAATGCCCCGCACCCTCCACAATCTTCACCCCTCCAAACTCCCTACACGCCTCGCCCATCCCCTCCACCGCCCCTGGGTTCTGATACGTACCCCAGTCCTGTGCCCCTGAGATAAAGAGACACGGCACCTCAATCTTCTTACCTGCAAATACAGCCATATCAGCTTGATACACCGGGTTCGTAGCGACGCGGTAGTAGTTCAGACCGCCCTGGAACCCGGTCCGCGCGTACTCAGCGGCGTAGATTGCGAGCTCGGAGTTTGGTAACCAACGGGCAGCTTTCGTTTCCACTGCTGCGGCGTCTTCAAGTGCCATATCCTGCGCTACCGTCTCCGCCATAGTGGAATCGAGGGACATGACGTAGTAATTCGGAAGCTTGGAGAGTTCGCCCGCTGACCAAGCTGACAACGGGTGCGGTGCGTTTCCAGCCCAGTCTGCGGATTTCAAGTGGAAGTAACCCCGCAAAAAGCTCTTCAGACCGGCTGCGGGGGATGTCATCTCCCGACAAGCCGGCTCGGTGGAGTAGTACCACTTGTAGTGCTTCCTCGGCGGATCCAGCCCCGCGAGGGAAGCTTGGATATCCGGTTTGGCAGGTGACCGGGGAGCGGGGTTCCGCCATGTGTTCAAGGGGAAGGCCGAAACTCCGCGGAAGGGGTGGGACATCAGTACCGTGCTGTGGTATATCGTGAGTTCTGCGATTTGGAAAGGGGATGTTTTTACCTCTTAAATATGTCTGGGCGGATCAGGGCACAAAGACTGGCGCCGACGGCGCCGAAATCGTGGCCGACTATGCATGCCACTTCGCTGTACCCTAGGGCGGAAACTAATCTCACGGCATCTGTAACGATGCGCGTTGCCACGTATGACGTGAGATCGACTTCAGAATACGGTCTCGTATCCCAGCCGGTCGTGCGGCCGTAGCCACGCTGGTCGTAGGCTGCGACGTAGTAACCCGAAGCTGCTAGAGTTGGAATGATTTTCCGGTATGAGTATGCCAGCTCTGGGAATCCATGGAGGAGGAGAATAAGTGGCTTGGTTGGAGATGCGGAGAAGCCAGCTTCCAAAGTATGAAATGTCAAGTCATCGGTTGGGATGTAGTGCTCCGAGATTCCATCGGGGAGGGGTAACGGAGGTAGGTCTGCTGCCGCACTGGTCATGGTGGGACCGGCTATTATATGAGAAATCTGACAATCAAAGCAATTGAATACACGAGATGTTCTTACCGTTATTTAGAGTCTTTCCTTATAATGTCGCGATATCCTGGGAGACCCTACCCCGCACAAGTTGCTGACGTGCCGAGCTTTCGATCTTGTGCCATGTCACGTGCTATCAAAGCGGTATATTCTATCTTTTCATAGTAATCTAAATGAGGAGATGAAGTATTATAACCTCAATGATCTAGAACGGGAGGCCCCCCTGATGCTAGATGACCAGGGTTGGCAGCCCAGACATTTCCCCTGTCAGAGCTTCCACCTCTTGGCCACCTCGATCCCCTCAGCCAACGTCCCAACACGCGCATCAATCGCATACCCCTCTCCCTCCAACCTCTTGCACTCCGCCCAAAACGTCGCCAGCGGAACAGAAAACGTCTCGATGAACTCATTCTCCTCCAGCTCCGGTTTAAGCCCGTCCGGTTGGTTCTCAGGCAGCGAGAGATCCACCACAACGTGGACCATTCGTAGGTTTGTGTTGCAGAAACCGGGATCTGTCATCGATGGTTAGCCTCATGGAAAATGCTCAAAGGGTTATTGGTGATGGTACCATTGAACATCACAGGCGAGGTCTCTGACACAGTCCCGACATACCCCGTCTCCTCCTTCAGCTCCCGCACTGCTGCTTCCTCCGCCGTCTCACCAGCATCAACCAGGCCCGCTGGAACCTCAATGACTACCTTATCCAGCGGCGGCCTGAACTGCTTCTGGAGCAAGATCTCCGGTCCTACGGCTATTAGTATCGTGAATCGCCCGACAACTCCCGCAACGGGTTGAACGCGTAAATAACTCACCTGTCGACTTTTCGAGGATGGCAAGGATTCCCACGCCGTCAATATCAGACCCCTTCGGACGCGTCCTCCGCTCCGCATGCTCCCATGTCCGACTCCTGCCCTTTGGGTCTGTGTAGGTAGACCTTACTCATCAGCACCGCCCCTCATAAACGTAACATACACCACATACTTTACAAGCTTCGTCCATGCCGCTTCTGCCTCTGGCTAGTGACGGGAGTCAGTGGATCAGTCCGACGCGGGGCACGATTTTGGGCATGTTTGTTTACCAGAGGTTCGGTCTTGACGACCTTCGTGAGGGAGAGAGACATTGTAGTATGAAAACTCCGAGGTCTATAAGGACGAAGGAGAATGGAATTGTAGATTGCGCGGTGTGATAATTGTCGTGGGAGGTGCATGACGTGGAGAGAGGAAGGTGGGGGGGGTGGACGCGGCTACAATTGAAGGCGCCCCGCTATGTGGGAACCGCATATCGCGATAAGCGCGAGAGAAGTAGACGACCACCCTGCGCTTGCTTCTAGTTGGGTATCTACATTGATAGCTCTTGGTGAGGTGCTATTACGAAGAATAGCCTTTACAGAGGCTATACTATCAATTATGTTCCTGTATATACGGAATGTAGACTTCCCGCTTCCGATAGCCACACCCAATCGATAGCAGCATACAATCATCCATGTACGCATACCACTGGCAAACACCACTTTAGGCGTTTGCCCATGAATTTGCGATCTCTAAAGACAAAGGAATACTACCTGGATGGGGCCATGCGGCAAAAATGTGTCCACACCACAATGTGATGCCCCCCTGAGAGATCGATCCCGTCACCTCGTCTCAATTGGTGCATGTATTATGAATCCTATCTCTAGAATTAGGCAACGATTTTCTGTCTAACTATGCGTTAAAGAGCAGACTACCAAATAAAATGTAAAATGCAATCGCTCAACTTATAATGCCGCTTTTCTGGCACGAACCCAAGCCGATGACCGAGGAGTTCCTACACCATCCACCCATGGCACTTAATTCGCGACCACTGCCCCAACGTTATTGGCAACCTGAGCGTCAACGACCTCAATGGTTTTATCTACATTGCCAGGCGAAACTTCAGCTCGGCCTTTCTCGTCGTTGCACGCAGCTTCAGATCCGGCCTCAACGGCGACCGTCTCCGCATCGACTACACCGTCATAGTCCTCACCCTCCCAGACAGCTTCGACAATGCTCATACGGCACCCGGCTGGTCGCGTCACGCCTAGGAACCGGTAATTGGGGTTCGCTGTGTGGAAGAGCGTCTCGAACTCCTCCTTCGAGCGCTCTTGGGCGTTGATCAAAGTGAGCATGACTAAGTCCATGGTTCTGTACTATGTTAGTACTGTTTATCCTTGTTTGCTATTTGAGATTCAAGGTAGTAGAGGGGTTGTAAATTCGACGGAGGAGTCACATAGCCTACTTACCGGATGATTTTTTCGTCCCACGGGTTTTCAGTGTTTGGCTCGGGAAGGCAGTGGTCGTTAATTACAATGCGAGCTCCCTTCTTAAGGCCAGGAACGAGAGACTGTAAAATCTTGATTGCGTACTTGTTGGATGTGTTGTGGATAATCCAGCGATAGAAGTATACTGCGAGAGGTTAGAAACTTGCCTACTAGCGCCTACAACTTGCCTGGATGGGTCAAGACGTACCATCCGCTCCCTTTACGGGCTGAGGAGTGAAGTAGTCATACTCCTTGAAGGTAATTCTCTCGGCAAGGTCGCCTTCAAATTTTGGTGCTGTTGCGAGCGCCTTTGGGAGATCCTCAACGATGAACTTGATCTTGTCAAATTTCTTGGCGATGACTGCAGAGACAAACCCGTGGCTACCTCCGACATCGACAACGGTTCCAGCATTCTCGTTGATGGAGTTCCAGTCGTAGTTATCGACGAAGAACTCGACCTCATAGCCAGCCCCAGACGCCAAGGAGCCCATGGCGCGATGAAACTGCCTTCCGCGGGCTGGGTCTTTGCCCAAGGCGGTGAACATGGATTCCTTGTTAACGAGATCAAATGCGACCTGGAAGCCAGTCTGAGTATCCTCCTGCGAACCCGGGAAGCGGGTCAAAGCTTCAAGGGTCCCAACGGCGGACTTGAAACGTTAGCAAGTGAGAGTTGATATGCAAATTTGGTACTCACAGGCCACAAGTCTTGGACGCAATATCCAACCCAGTCTTGCAGAAGATCATCCTGAGCAAGGGTTTTGCTAGCCGCGGTGTGTGCCACAACTCCGGGGCTGACCTCTTTGAAAATGCGGTTTGTCATGGCGTGGCGGAGGAGTCTGCGGGTGTTCATTTCGTCGATGTTAGCAACCTTAGCGAGCTCTGCGAAAGTTGCCGTTGACCCGACTGGGAAAGCATTTGCTGCGCGCAATGTCAGAATTTGTATTCCTAAAATGTGTGATATTGCCACCTACCGAGCTTGAACTGGCTCACAGCCCTTAATGACAGGGTATTATTATGCTATCGCGTATTATTAGAGACGCTTCATTTTGGAGAACCCAAAGGCTACAGAAGACTCACATCCCAGGCCATCCATCTCAATGACTCTTTGGGCCCAACCATCAAGTCCTTCAGATCCGCAGCGGCTTTGATGACCACTATTCTCGCTTTCTGGATCTCGTCGGGAAGAGCGGGATAATTGGAGGGCCCATCAGCCTCAAAGGTAGGAGCGGGAATGGAGTTTTCGCGAAAGTATGCATCGACTTTCTCGGTCTCACGGGCAATGGTCTGAGAAAGCTTGACTAGAAGGGAAGTGTTGTCCACAGGCAGGCCGCCCTCCACGTGACCATTGGTGATGTTAACCTTGACATTGCCATTCGTGCCTTCGTGGGAGTCAACATGACAATTAACCTTTACACTATCGTCAGTGACAACTGTATCGAGACGTCGAATGACATCGTCGACCGCAGAGACGGTGATGTTCTCTGTGGCGCTCATTGTGGAGACGTCGTCCCAGGAGATTGGTAACGAGAGGGCCGTACACGGCCCAGGACAGCGTAGGCAAGGAGCTTGGAGTTTAGATTTATAGTGCGGATATTCCCTGGATCTGGAGTGGAGTAGCGAACTCTAAAGTTAGATAACTCGAAGCACCTGTCTGATGGCGAGTATTAGGGTTAATAGAGGGAACAAGTGGAAAGTGTGGAAGATTGTAAGCGTGAGGAAGTGGATGCTACGCAGGGTCCGGCGGAAGGTTGGGGAAGCAAAGGAAGGGTGGGGGGCCGAAGTTGACAAGCAGAGAACGGCTGTAAAGGAGATTAGACGTGCAGTTTCGGAGTTGGTCTGGGTTGTTCAGAGCAGATTGACTGGCGTTGTCCGCGTGCATCTATCGGCACGTCGGCTATAATATAATTATAATATTACAATAAAGATCGCAACAAGACAAGCAACCTCACCAGGGCTACACCACCACGTAGCTGGAGTCAACAGATCGACAGGGACAAAGAAGGCATTCCTCTTTTTGCGGCCAGAGATTCGCATTTGGAATATATCCCATCTGAGGCTATACGCTTTGACATCTCGATATTGCCGCATTTTGACGTCTTTCTAGTCCATTCCTGTGCCTTTCCATACGAATAACGCAACACAGAGTCTTACCGAGAAACATTCCCGCATTGCTTTGACAAATCGATGTTTGCTTCCTAACCTCGTCGGCGCAAAAATGGCTAACATGAAGGTCATTATACCTCTCAGCTGTCCTCGGGCGCCTGCCTTATCGTTATCCAAAATATGCATTTACCCACCCCACAGACCGGCCTAACAATATGTTCCGGCCCAACCGCCGTGAACTAGCTGGCCCAACCGTGAACTAGCTGGCCCAACCTGTTACGGTGTTGAGTAAACAAATGGCTATACGCGCGCACGGGTGTGGATTCACATTTTTAGTGTTGCGGTATAGTCCAGACTTGCGGACCTCACAGTGGAGCCGAACAGTGGCCATTGCGTGTTTTTCTGTTCGCTTAAACATTATTATGCCCACTGTTCGGCTCCACTGTGAGGTCCGCAAGTCTGGACTATACCGCAACGCTAAAAATGTGAATCCACACCCGTGCGCGCGTATAGCCATTTATTTACTCAACACTCACCCCTGAACCCTCCCGGAACATAAATGACCCGCGGACCATGAGGGTTTCTGGTCACCCACAACAGAACAGAACAGGAAGCGGCTCTCTCTAGCCGAACAGTGGGCATAATACGGAGGTCGAGTTCAAAAGTCGTGTCCGAGCTAGTAGTGCCAAGCCTTGCATAAAATGGTAATCTTATGAACCCCTCATTTTGTGACTCGTAAACGTGAACGTTAAAATCATGGCGCCAAATACAAGTCTCTCAACTCGGGCTCTTATCGTGACCTTAAAATCCCCTATCGGAGGGAAGACAACAGCTGAAGTAGTTGAAGACAGGAGTATCTGCTCGACAGATAAACCGGATTTACACTCGGGCAATTGAGCGTGGTTTCGACCCAAACCACATGCCATTCTCTCTCCAAGATGAATGGCTAGAAGACGCCCCTCGCTCTGGACGCCCTCGAAAACAGACAGAGGAAACAGTCAATCAGGCTGTTTCGAAAGTATGCAGAGATAGATATGGCCGTGAGAAAACTTGCGCTGATATTGCAGGGGAACTTAGTATCAACGGTTTCGATATTTCTTCAACTACCATATGGCGAATCTTGAAAACAGCAGGATATCGGAAAACAAAACCGACGAGGAAGCCTGGATTGACGAAGAGAATGAGAGAACAACGGCTAAAGTGGTGCCTTGACCACGAAGATTGGACACTTGAGGATTGGAAAAATGTCATATGATCAGATGAAACTTCTGTTGTTTTAAACCATAGACGGGGAGGATATCGGATTTGGCGGAAAGTTGAAGAGGCATTTTTACGATCTTGCATTCGAGAACGGTGGAAGGGATACTCTGAGTTCATGTTTTGGGCATGTTTCTCATATGACAATAAGGGGCCATGCCACTGTTGGATACCAGAAACCAAACGAGAAAGAGAAGAAGCAGAATTAAAAGTTCAAGAGATGAATAAGGAATTAGAGCCAATTATGCGTGAGCAATGGGAAATTACAAATGGGATTCAACGGATGGGACTACAGAATTTACCAGGACCAAAACCACAGTGGAGATGGAATCAAAAAAACGGAAAATTAACTCGAGGGAAAGGAGGCGGGATAGACTGGTATCGCTACCAACAGAAGATTCTCCTTCCAAAGTTATTCCCATTCGCAGAAGAGTGCAGAAAAGACCGGCCACAGACTGTCGTGCAAGAAGACAATGCACCGTCACATAGTCACTATATCCAGGAGCGGCTATTCTCAATTCACGACATTAATCGACTATTCTGGTGTGCTAACTATCCTGTAATGGTGGGTGCACCAGATGTGAGAATCTAGCCACCCAAGGAAGGGATGATTTTACTAAGACAACACACTGTCTTAGGAAACAGAGCCAAAGGGTTGTAGCTTAGACTATTCCACAACGCAGCAATCAGGTGTGTGATGTAGTGAAGTGGTTCAGACAAGTTGCAACAAATGTTGAGTCTGGGAACTCAGGGGTAAGTCAGAGGTTAACACCTCACTGACTTTTCAGAAACAAGGAGTAACAAGATGAATGCTTGGAAGCTTGGAAAAGACGTGGAAGTATGTGATAGTCGATTTACTGTATTGTCTGCTTGCCCTTTCTTAAGGAAAGGGCAATCCTATTTATGCTAAAGGAGTGTAGTTCTCTCATTTTCCAAGACTTTCCATGACTAACCAGGCTTGGTAACTGTAGTCGACGTAAGAGAATCCCATAGAACCATCTCTTAGGTTCGTAGCCTATAGGAAGTAAAAGGAGGTCCAAGGTCAGAGTACCCCTATAGACAAATTATGTCATAGACAAATTATGTCATAACTTAACCAATCTTGTGGGTAACTAAAGAGCGATGACATGTAATGAATCATAGAGGTTTGTAGGAGCTTTTAGAGCTATCGTTCATGCTCCTAGGCCTCTAGTTGGTAGAGATATGTCATGTGATAGTATGAGTGATGTCATATAATGAATCATAGAGGTTCGTAGGAGCTTTTAGAGCTATCGTTCATGCTCCTAGGCCTCTAGTTGGTAGAGATATGTCATGTGGTAGTATGAGTGATGTCATGTAATGAATCATAGAGGGTTGTAGAGATATGCTATGTGGTAATATCGGCCTAGTGTAACGCTGACTTCTAAATGATAGAAGACACAGAGGTTCTCTTGCGTAAAGGTTTACTTATCAGAGGAGGCAGGGGATCAGACACAAAGGCTTCAAGTAACACGTTACTAGTATATAACAAATACTGTATTGAGTTGAGCACGAAGCTCCTATCTAAGGAAATACTATCTACTTATATAGTGGCGTCGTGCCTAGTGGACTCTTGGGAACTCACTCGAGTCCTCGGAGTCCTGGACTCTTAGGACTCTTCTCATCATCCTGCGAGTCCGTCACGTGCCTAGTGGACTCCTGGGAACTCACTCGAGTCCTCGGAGTCCTGGACTCTTAGGACTCTTCTCATCATCCTGCGAGTCCGTCACGTGATACTTTCGGAACTACTATTCCCCGCTGCCCCTCCAGGTACCAGGGCCGGTCTCATGCGACCTCCCTCCTTCCTGTCCTGTAGTTGGCCAGCCTTCTTGTTCCGTCGTAACACCTAGTAACTAAGGAGCGATGACATGTAATGAATCATAGATGGTTGTAGCAATCGTTGAGTAGTATTGCTCTTGTTGTTGGTGTGATAAGCCAAAATATGTATAGTGACTTGTAGGTTTGAGGAGGAGATTTCCAAGTTTGCTCTTGAGTTTGATAGCAAACTGAGTGCAACGAATGTCAGTATGACACCCAGTAACTAAGGAGCGATGACGTGTAATGAATCATAGATGGTTGTAGCAATCATTGAGTAGTATTTCTCTTGTTGTTGGTGTGATAAGCCAAAATATGTATAGTGACTTGTAGGTTTGAGGAGGAGATTTCCAAGTTTGCTCTTGAGTGATAGCAAACTGAGTGCAACGAATGTCAGTATGACAAGAAGAACAACATGAAAAGGGGCACCAAAAAGCTGGCCGCAAGGGATACAGTCATGGGAGAGCTGTTGGGAGGACGTCCCACAAGCGCAAATCCGGCTGAGAGTGAATAATTGTATTTATGCAACGTGGTGTTTTTTAGCATAGGACATGATTTTTGAACTCGACCTCTGTAATGTTTAAGCGAACAGAAAACATGCAATGGCTGGGGTTCGAACTGTGAGTGCTGATGGGAGACTTCCCTGCATAGGTCACCACTGTGAGGTCCGCAAGTCTGGACTATACCGCAACACTAAAAATGTGAATCCACACCCGTGCGCGCGTATAGCCATTTATTTACTCAACAACGGCTACAGTAACGTGACATCATGGTTACAGGGCTAGCAGGGCTAGGCTCTAATAATGTGACTCATAAGTCACGAGGCTAGCAGGGCTAGGCTATAGTGTGACCTAGCTAGTAGATAGTTGGGAAACTAGTAGATACAGTAGTTAGGTTGAGAAAACTAGAACTATCCTAACTATCCAACTATCCCTAACTATCCGAACTATCTATAAGGCGTGACGCTACTATATAAGTAGATAATATTCCCTTTAGATAGGAGCTTCGTGCTCAACTTAATATAGTAGTATCCTTTATAATACTATAACATGTTACTTAGAAAGCCTTTGTGTTTAATCCCCTGCCTCCTCTGTTAAGTCAACCTTATATAAGAAACCTCTGTGTATCCTATTAGATAGGAAGTAGTGTTACGTATAGCAGCTACTTAAAGAGCGAGGGTTTCTATAATACACAAGTATACAAAGAAGCATGATATCTAACACTTTGATATTAGAGCTATAGTCTATAAAGGTGCCTCGAGAGGATAGAACCTCAACTGATAATAAGAGGCTCTTTGTACGCATTCTAGAATAGCCTTACCTACACTAATATTAGGTTTTAACACTCTCTGGTATTATACAACGCCTTATACCTACGAAATCACTTGGAGTTGTATAGCAAGCTCTATGGTCTGATATCATTATTCCTACTTCTACAATGCAAGTAACACTAGGGCTTGTAGCTAGAGAGGCTTCTACAAGCACAACAGGTTAGAATACCATGTCAATGTAAGGGTTAATGTAGTCCAAAGATGTGCTGTTGTTATTAGGAAGCTAAGGAGTGTAGTATACACTGCCATAATGACGACCATGGCTGTGGCAGTTTATTAGGTCTAGCTACTCGTACAGAAATAGTTCTAGTTAAGAGGCCTCGTTGGAAACGAGCACGGGTAGACACAGCAGGAAAGGTAGCTAACATTACCTCCGTATAGATCAATTGATTACTCCTACTTCTGGTTGGGCCGGCTAGTTCATGTACCAGCTCAGTTCATGGTTGGGCCAGAACAAATACAATCACTAGGATGCAAAATCCCACTGTATCTCCACACTTATCATTGAAGCACGTCAGACGTGCATACTTCATTCAGGCTTGGTCCCAGCGAAAATGCGTGAAACCACCACGATAGATTGGCACGGTTCAATTGGGCGGCACGGACCCAGCGGCCCATTCCCTGGTAACTTGCATACAGACCTTGCAGATGGTGGGTATCCTTAACGGAAAGCTACCACTCTACGACGCCGAAACGACGACACGCGCTGCGCACCCAGAGTCGTATTGAAATTGACATTCTAGTGGGGTCTAGCAGGGGTTATTACACCAGCGGTTTTTTACCAAGGAGCACATCTCCCAAAGAGCATATTTTCTCCGACCGACAAGATCCCCACGATCCCCCCCCGCGCCGTGCATGGCGAGAATCCGTCGGTATCCCATCGCGTAGGTGCAGCAAAAGCTCGTAGCCGTAACTGTTCAGCTGGGAGACTTAGACACGTGACACTGCTTTATGGCATTCCGAGTATTGGGTGTCGTCCCAAGGCATGGTCGTTACACAGCTGGGAGAGAATGTTTCACAGACATGCAGCTTGTGGGGTTGGGGGTGGTGGGAGTATAGGACGCATCTTGCCTGGCTCCTGCCACACAACACGGCACAGATCCAGACCATAGTATGGGTCAATACCATACAATAATGCCACATGAGGGGGCGAACGGCCCGTCCCCAGAGATGGTGGTCTGGTGGGGCACGCGAGGTTTACTTGCCATTCCAACAGTTTATCTACGAAAGTGGTGAATGGGCAGTGCAAATGGATGAAAATTCATAGCGAAGGCATTAACTAAGCCACTTGGCCATGTCAGAATTATCATGTGTTTTGATGCCTTGAAAGAATTTGGCTCGAAACAAATTTCTATTCTTTGAGGGGTATTATGGCTACGTCACTCCCCCGACGAAACCCATTCTCCATGTCTTTGGCTTCCCATGCGGTATTTGCTGGCTCTGGTATGCCGGATTTGAGGATAGCCGGCGCTTCTCCGGTCGTCACTGTATCACCCGGTATGAGCATCACCCGACATATGCCATGCTCGGTCGGGACGTAAGGGAGCGCTCTCGGTCCGAGGCCTGTCATCACTACCAACCATGTCTGCCTCAATGGCTACCTGCATTCTCACTGCCCTCGACCTGCCATCGGGAATGCACCATTGCCGTGATCCAAACCATTCCGAACGCCGTGCACCCGCACTTTACCCCTATCACTTCATAACCCCCCAATTCCTGTTTCACAATCTCGATCGGAAAAAATTCATACGGCCCGTTCATAGCCCAGTCACACATCATCCCACGGCCTCTGCGCATAGATTATATGCATAGGCATAAACGCATTATCCCTCCCTTCCTTCATGCATTGCCGGACTCCCACCAGAAACGCCTCGACCTCCACCTGCGACCAGCCCAATCCTCGCGTGAACGGGCCTAGCGCGATCGGACTCAGCCCTTCCATAAGCACAGTTTTCCAGTATAGTCCGCACTCCTTCAGCGTGCGGTTCTTGGGCCACGTTCCTATTGGCACCTGGAAGACGCGCTCCGTCACGTTGGCGTAGCCACGGTCGCGCACCATGGATGCAAGGGAGAGGGTGCGCTTGAAATCGACGCCCAAGTTGTCCAGGCCCTCTGCGACGAGGTCCCAGAACTGGACAAGGGGGAGGTCGGTTGGTAGGGGGACCTCGGAGGGCGACTGGGGGAAATGGTGGATCTCCTGCAGCTCGATCCAGCCACCGGGTTTGAGATGTCTGTAGGATATTTTGTTAGCGATGGGATGGGGGCGAGAGACAGTGGGGGCGCACCTGTAGGCGTTCTTGAGCAGGCGGGGCCAGTCTTTGACAGCCATGACTATATGCCGCGAGTGGATGAGGTCGAAGTGGTTCGGGGGATGCAGCCAGGGGCTCTCGATGTCGTCGACCATAAATTTCACGTTTGGTGGTACCCATTCGGGCTGGATCGGGGAGAGGTCCACCCCAAGGACGGTGGCTTCGGGATGTTGGTCGCCCACTGTGCTCGTTAGTTACTCGTCTCTTGCGGTGCATGAATGTCTTACCCTCAATCGCCCAGATGCCTGTCCCTGTTCCCATGTCTAAAATATTTCTGGGCGGCTGTTAGCATAGTACCCCCGATAAGACTGATAAGATCAGAAATGTGGCGGACCGGCAACATACTGCATGTCATAAGCAGGCGCAAAATAATACGTTTGACACAGCTTCACCACCAACGCGTGTTTTAGGTCCTCGCGATCCTGCTCCATCTCATCATTCGGGAAATTGTACCTGCCCTCCCGAAAGCGGTGATAGCGCCGACCATTCTCGAACTTATAGTTACGCATACTGCTCGCGAGGGACGTTGAAATAGACGGGTTTGAGTCCGTCTCATAGCCATCATCGAAGAAGGAGCCCTGGTCGCTGTCGATCGCGATTCCGTTCTCAGCTTGAACTGGCGCTTCAGCCGCATCTTTATCTGCGGCAGCGTGCTCTTCAGCCGTAGGGGCATCGGCGCCCGGTGAGCCCCCGAGCGCGGGGATGTTGTGAATTGACTGTGGAGAGTGCGAGGTGCGCTCATGTTCCGATCTGGGCTTTGGAGAGTAACCTTTCGGAGAGGAGCCCTTTGGAGAGCTCTCTCTAGAAGAGCCCTTTGAAGAGGAACCGTTTGGAAGGAAAACCTCTCCCGTTGCGCCCGCCGTCATCCGAGTTGGAGATTTGGAAGCGTAATCTCCATCATCGCTCATATTGAGTAACTGGCTGTCTGGATGCGACAGGGACTGATGTATAGTTGTGCAGTGGAAAGATTTCTTTATGATTACAAACAAACGACATAGTTTAGCCAGAACCTGCAGTCGTCCAGAACCTGCAGTCGTCACCTGGTGGTCGCCGGAGACCCGGTGATTTTCAAACGCTCATCATATCGGATGAGGTTACTGGCAAGGCCCACCGACTTAGCAAGTAAGGGCACAATCGCGAAACATGCAGAATATCATATCAGCTAGACAGGGGCAATGCCGCATGCCCAATCAACAAATGATCTAATAATCACCCTCTCCACCAACCAATACAAAAACACCCCGTCAGTGTGGCTGTCACGACACCAGAAGCCTCTGACGAAACGCCGTTTTCATGGCCAGAAGCGACTGCGTTTTAGTTTTCTCCAGCGCCACAGACTGCCAGCGGACCAGATAGTACAACGCCACGCTGTACGAAGACGCACAAAGCCGGCGAGAATCGGTTGGAGCAATCGCGAACATGATGGGCATTTCGTGCCATGTTTTTCATGCGGGCGAGCTTGGTCATTACACCTGTGGAACGGCGCATGGCCCATTCTTTGAGCACTGTGCGCATAGGTCGGGATGATAGCGTGTGACGGATGGCGGCCAGGACGGGGCCGAGTGATACAACGGGCGATTGTGAATTTCCTATGCATGTCCAAAAGAGATGAGTTGGACGAGAGCGGCTGGTGTGAATATGCACGTAGGACGGAGGTCACTCCATAGCAGATTGTGTTTGAGCCGTGTCTCATGTAGCGACCAATCGTGGACCACACCCCAAAGGCAAGGGCCAAGGCAAGCGACCTGCATGTTCCTGCGTCGTCGTTTCACCATGTTTTATAGCGGGTCAGGTGATTGAGATTGTCCTTTGATAAGTGACAGATAACAAAAATGTGATAGAAATTTTGTGGATCGCAGCAAGTGGGTTATTATGTGGGCGCAAATATAACTGGAGGGTGGAATGGTGGAATGCTTCAATTCGTCCCTGGATGCCATGTGAGCGGAATTAAGCTTCATATATCTTGTTCTTCGGGCAATTGGAACGACAGAGCTAGCGATCTAGGCTCCTACACGTGGAAACATTTACCAATATACAAGTAATCGAACCGCCCCCAAGTGACATTATACACCGACAGGCATATTCTTCTGCAGTGGTATATTTGCTTACTATCCCGTCCCAAATACTAAAACATTTTCCTTGCCTGCAACACATCATATATAGACCATTCAAAGGTTATCCCAGCTTGTCCAGTAATCTCTTTCGTCTCCTTTCAACCAGTTCCTCTTGCACTTGGTCCAGTGTCGGCAGCCTCCAGCCCTCTCCATCCCCCTTAGCCCCAGGAAGTGGCTCCCAACTATCCGAAATCTCCCCATTCCCCTGCTTAAGAAGATTATCAAACGCTTCCTTCTCCTTGAATAGTTCGTAGTCGAGTAACGTTCCATCCTCTTCATCCAGATTATACCCGTAATATGCCGCATCGACTTGTTTCCTCAGATCCGCACGACTCTCCAACGGCTTCTCTTCTTTCGGCTTCGACTGCGCCTCAAAGAGCTCTTTCACACCCGGTAATTCCTTTGCCCGACCAAAATACCTATATCCCTTCCCGGCGCCTTGTATTTCCCGACCAGCCTCATCGTAAACCTTCGCACTCCTCATGTAATTCGGCCCTCCCAGGTTCCGAATTTGCACCTCCCACATATGTTTCTCCCGCATAGCCTTGTTGATCTCATCGTTCAAGTCGCGGATCATGAAGTCACTCAGCGCCTGGTCTTGGATCTTCGAGACCTTGCGCGAGATCTCCTTCAGCACTTGTCCACGCCATTTCTCGCATGCCGGAATAGAGGTTTCGGAGGTGATTAGCTTCGGGCGCCGCGAGCGGCCTGCATCGAGGATTCCAAGATCTGCGGCTTGGGCTTCACGGAAGCGGAAGAGCATGGACTGCGCCTTTTCGGAATTGCGCGCCTGTGGATGTTAGTGGTGTTGGGAGAGTGGGAATTGCGATCTGACTTACCATGATGGCGGTTGGAGGTGACAGGAGCTGAGTCAAACGCTATTGCGGTGATGATTGAGAGTTCGTTGTCGTGAGCTCTGTCAGATGGCCCAAGGTCGTCAGGCTGCGGTTGAATTTTACAAATCGGGACTAGTGCGTTTGTCGCGTTTATGCGATTCCCAACGTCAACTCTCCTCCTCCTACAGCATACTCTCCAAGCAACCCAGCAGTGACGACAAACTCACCTCGTAATGCTACCTAGTCACTGTGTGAACAGTTGCTTGGGGATGCGCAAGCTAGGAACAGAAATCTTAGCTGGGCTGCCGTGCTGCCCTGCCATACCACGCAGTCTGGGATTGGCCACGTTCGATGCTGTGATTGAGATGGGGAATAGGGTGGCAAGGACGACATTTTGCAACGTCCTGAGCGCCTGTGGTTCCAAGTGAGATCGATGTCGGATTGGAGGCTTCTAATGGGGTTTGGGGGCTGATATTCTGGCGGCATCTCTTGATCGACATGCCGATGAAGGCGTTAATAGTTTTCAATCGGAGCTACCTGGTATGATTGTAACCAGCAACTCTGTGCCCATTTTTCTGCTACTAACATACATGCTAGAATTCCTTATTCGATTTTGCAGCACGACATGCTTCCTCAGATTGTTGGCGGTTAGGTGGGAGTGGCGCGTTTCTTTGCCCGGTGATGACCAATGTGTCCAAAAAGCCAAAATTGCAGGCCAACCTACTGACCTGCTCTTGTCTCAATAGGAGCAGAACCAGCAAGTGTTGGCAGTGAGAACCTGAGAGCTGATCTGAGGGCACCCGATCGTTTTATTTCCTTATGTTTTTAATCTTGTTTTGTTCTTGTCTGAAATCCAGGGGATATGCCATGAGTTTGCGTATGACCTCGAAACCTTCGGATTTCTTGCGGCGTTGTCAAAAGGGGCCACTCTACATGCAAGATGAATAGTATACCATAGTTGTGTGTATTCTAGTATTCATTATTGCCTATCTGACATAGTAATAATATTCAACCTTTCTATATGTTGCCTTCAGATGCTGTGATCGTATACTTCTTCAACATTTCACACCAGTGCCGTCATTATAGGTGTTCAATAAATCCACCAAAGTCAAGTATAAGCCTACAACCTCAGAGCATCTCTTGCGAGAACATTTTCTCTTGGTTACTGGACGAATGAAATGAAGCCATAGTGGCATTCACTACGTTGGTAGAATCGGAGGTAATTCATATTCCGTTCTTTGTACGAATCGTTGCTGTTTTCTGAGGTACGAGATGGAGAGAAGTTTGAGGATCATACACTTCATTCAAAGTTCACCATTGTCAACTATATATACTCGCTGCTTTGTTCTCAAGCTCCTACAAATGTGAGTGGGTTCTCGGATGTTGGGGAACGTGGGTTTTCAATTTCTGACATTGAGAAGTTGAGCGCCTCAGCTCCCAGGAACCCGTGTTAACGCCTAGACTTTTACTAGCTATTGCCCGGCGTCAAGAGAAGTGAACTCGTCGAGGGGCGCTAGTGTGGGACCTGGTTGCTATTTATCACTGACGCGCGCTTCCTCTGGTTTCCACTTCCTTCACAACCACAACTCGGCACAATCACCAAAACTCGCCGATACGAGTACACACTTTGGATCGTGGCTCACCTCCACTCATTGTTCAGGTTCATATCTCTGAATGTCTATTTCATCGCCAACTAATATACAGAGCTTCAAGCTGCCCACATTGTTCATTCTGGTAAGTCTTCTATTCCATTGCGTCGTCTCAGGTAACCCAGCTTGGTCACCTATCTCTCATTCATTCTTCCATGACATGAATCACTCCTGGCCTTCTGCATAGTTCCTATATCTCACTTCAATGTGCTATTGGTTCTCAAGTTCAAGTTGATCAGAAGTCTACAACTGGACTTCACCGACCCTTGGCAATACCAGGCACTCAGCTTCATACAACCTGTATGATCTTGGGCTGCCCTCTTATCCATACTCCATTCATATCCAACCATCTTCTTCTCTTCAGAACACAGCACCGCCATTCATCATTACTGCTTCTTACTTTCATATTCTTCGATTTCGGTTGCCAAGTGACAAATATCTGACCATCTCCAGCTTCCAGTCTTGCCAGAAGACCGTTTCCGTCGCTTCAGTCTATTTGGACCCATATCATCAACATCATCACTCAGGTCAGTCCCCCAAGTTTCATCTCACTCAGACTCCATCCTTATGGGCCATGTCCTACCTCGCCTTCCATATGAATAGTGACTGACTTTGTTCTCAGAATAACCTGATATCCTGCCTTGGCCTCTGACAAGATGTTCAACCCAGCTCAGTACCCTCATTTCCAGGGGGCGGATGTCTTCATCCTGGCGCCAACCGGAGACACGTGGAACCTGCACTCCAGTATGCTCTCTTCGGCGTCCACAAAATTCTCCGAGCTCCTGAGCATCAACCCTCCCGCGAACGTCACTCTGAAGCAACGCGAGGATGGAAAAACCATCAAGTGGCGCTTCCACATGAAGCCCGACCCAGGGTGCCGCTTCGTGGAGTTTGTATTTGTCGTATGTTTCTCCTCATAAAAAGCCGTTGACTTCATCTAACTGTTGCCAGGCTCACTCAACTGCCAAACAGGCCATTTTCAACTTCACCCCCATTAATGCCCAGAGCGGCACCGACTACCTCCACATCTACGATAATCTCTTTCGGTGCATGTGCAACATCGATCCGATCCTGTTTCCTGGTGACGAAGCACTGGTGAACGACTCCCTCCGTCTGCTCCAGGCCGCAGAACCCCTCAAGGCCGTGCCATGCGTGCGCCGCGATATTGAAACGCACCTCCTCCGCACCGGCACCTATCTTTGGCAACGCGTTCTGCGAGACGTTGAGTACTGGGCTGATATTGGAGTTCGCCTTCGCTCGCCTGTCATTTTTCGAGAGTCCATGATCAGAATTGTTGGGCTGTGGAACGTCCCGTCTGCCATCAATAAGCAGACCCTGTTGCATACGGCCCACGGCGTTACTATCTATGATATTGCCCAGAAGAAGGTCCAAGAGCAGACCGTTCGCAAGATGGAGATTGAAGGGCGCCTTCGAACCTTTTTTCCTCGCGTCATGCTGCACCCACCAAGCAATGACCCAGCTGCAGCCACACCAGGACGTGCCTTTTATGCCAACGACGTCTATTATTGGCAGGCTCTCACCATTGTCCGCCAGTATATTGTCAACGAGACCATGGAAGGTCATGGATATGCTGCTAGCGACGGCGGCTCCAAGTTCTACACCGCTATTGGCACTGATGGCGGATCTTACTGCCGCGCTGCAGACCTGGAGGATTGGCACAAGAAATTTGACATGACGGCGAAGGGGAAGCAGCGCCTTCGAGACTCTTTGACTACGGTGAAAGAGGAGTTTAGGGCCGTGGTTGCTGAGCTAATGATTTCGCGCTCAAACATCCCTCGTCTACCCGGCGATTATCCGTATCTGACGTTCACTGAGTTCAAGGACGAGGAACTTCCGTGGTACACGGCCCAAACCCTCGGCGTCAAGCACCGAGCTCCTGTGGATCTGACGAGAAAGGCCGAGAAAGGCAACGAGGGGGGCCTCTTTGTGGCTCAGAACCCTACCTCGCCGGTTTCAGGCGCTCCAACTAGCTCTGCGGAGCAGAGCTCGCCAGTGTCTAAGGGAAAGAATGGCTCCGAGCCTTCTCAAGGTGCCCCAAAGAAGGCCAGGCTCAGTTGAACGCACTAAGCATGGTTACCGTCGCCCGAGAACTTGAAAATCAATAAGAGTCCTGTTATTACCTCGGCGCCGGAAATCCGCAATGGTTGATTCCGAAACTCACAAAGTTGCTGCCTTGTTGGTAGAACCTCAACAGCCTTCGTCTGCCTCTCTTGTTTGTGCGAATACCAACGATGCTTTTTTTTGCTTTCGGTTTCCGACCTTTCGCTGGCCTGGCCGGTGTTCAACATCACGGGTTTCGGTCGTCGCCTTCTAACAAGGGACGAAGTATATATAATGGCTGCACATTTGAGGCGATTGATTGGAACTGGAGGGCCTGTATTTCTGGAAGCTGCACCATGATCCTTTTCTCTTCTTTTGTAATATGGGGAAGCAAGATCTGGAGTTGGTTGTCGGAGTTAATAGAGGTACCCCATCGAGGCTTTTGCAAGGAGAGAGACAGACAGGCAAAATTAATAGAAATGAGGTTATTACCTACCCACCAAATAATTTGCCGCTTTGAGAGTTGTTGCTTTAAATTGTGAAAGTAGGAGCTTCAGTTAGTCACGTGTTAAGACCGCGACTATTGCCGACGACAAACATCAGATGTTGTACTTTGGTACACGCCAGCTCTTCATTAAATCACCACATACAAATAATAGATTTTAAACGCTAACTTCCTTACCTGGCCCCTTTGAACGGTACTATATATATATCTACACTTTTTAGTGAAAGATCACCAACATTACATTCTCAGCACCAAAGCCGAAGCTGTTGATTCCCCGAACAGCCACCTTGGGAGGTGGGCCAATCGTCCACGCATGAAGCAAGACAACGACGCCCAGGCTCTGACGCCAAACAGCCTCTGTAATGATGAAATAACTCCTGGCCCGAGAATGAGTTCCTATCCTCCGCAATATGATGCGCGGGGCCCTAAAAAGCTCATGACCTTCGCATTTGGTGGTCTCCGCGCCCGGCACTACATCTGCCTCACCCTCTTCGCGCTCTCTCTCCTCTTTGTTTTTAAGTACAATGCCCGAGACAGCATATCTCTCTCTTCACCTACTTATGTGGATACGGTGGAATGGGAATCACTCTCCGAAACCGATCAGCTCACGGAAGCCGTCACGGCATTATCTCTTATGGAAGACTCGGACGAACTCTCTACGGACCCCCCAGCCAGCATTACGCTCGTTAAAACCCTGGATCACTCCCTTGTGCCGCAGGTCGGCCGACCGGGCAACTCCAACAGCGGCCTCCAAGGTCGTTTGATTGTGATCGGAGACATCCACGGCATGAAGAGCGACCTGGAGCGGCTACTGGCGAAGCTGGACTTCGACTCGACCCGTGACCACCTTGTTTGTGCAGGCGATATGATCAGCAAAGGCCCCGATTCCATCGGCGTGTTAAAACTTCTGATGCAGTTGGGCGCGAGCGCGGTGAGGGGTAATCATGAGGATGGAGTTCTGAAAGCATGGAAGAAGTTGCATGCAAAGCCAGGGTCTGGAGCGCATAACTCGCCGTCAAGGCGGATGGTATCAGGGCGAAGTGATGCCGACTTAGATGACAAAGCTAAGGGGCCCATCGATGCCGACTTAGATGACAAAGCTAAGGGGCTCATCGAAGGCCGTAGAAAGAAGCATCCTGAGAGGAAGCAGAAGCATAAGGAGCTTGCGAAACAGCTTACAAAAGAGCATGTGAAGTGGTTGAAGGATCTACCGCTTATCCTTAAAGTTGGGGATATCAAAGGGATGGGGAGTTTGGTCGTGGTACATGCTGGGTTGATGCCTGGCATGAAGCTCAGAAGGCAGGATCCCTTTATGGTTATGAACATTCGCACTATAAACTTGAAGAAACTTAAACCTAGTGAAAGGCACAAGGGAAGTGTGTGGACGAAGGTATAATCCTACATTCGGTTGAAATAACCTGGGTTACTAACATGCATACCAGCTATGGAACCAATTTCAGTCCCACCTCCCAGAGAATGAACGCACCACAGTCATATATGGGCATGATTCTCGACGGGGCCTATCGTTGGGCGAATTCACAAAGGGGATAGATACAGGATGCTTGAAGGGTGGGAAGCTGACTGCGTTTGTGCTTGAAAGGGGAAAACGAGAAGTCAAGACAAGCCTAGTTCATGTGAATTGTAGATAGAAGCGTTTTTGAGTAGCAAGTATGGTGGTAGCTGGTATCCTCGATGATAGTAAACATTGGACGGCATCACAAGACGGCGTTTGACGACAGATGCTATGGGTTTACGCGGATAATCGATACGAGTCATGGTGCAAGCCAGTATAATATTCTATTACGACAGTTTAATATATATACAATAATATAATACAGTTTGGTATTTTCGTAAATCATATCCCAAGATGGGCTAGAGAGGTATTGATCGCATGGAACTGACGCTGTGTCCCAGAATTCGAGTACTGTACAGTTGCGAATCCATTCTCTCGAGGACACACAGCACTCTCCACTATGCTTTGCTTTCCAAGAATCTCGTCTTACTCCTCTGTCTCTGCGCTTCCTTCTTCGCCTTCTTGGCCTGGCTCAAACTCGTTCCAACCTCTTCCTGCATCTTCTTTGCAAGCCCATCCTCTTCGACCTCATCGAGCACGAAGCATCCCAGGTTCCCCTGTCGCCAACGCTGGATCAACCACAGCGCGGCAGCCTCTATATCAGGCACCCCTCCTTTCTGTAGCCGACCAGTCTTATGACACACCGCATTAAGCATCTCATGAACATCATTCGTTGGCGGGCAATACTCGCGATAAATCTTAGGATCGTGCTTGTTGATGTGGAAGAGGAGATAATCCACAAGCGTCGTGGGTGCGATAATTGTGTCCTTAACGCTTCCGCATAGCGCCAGCCTAAGCATACTCTCTGGATCTGGCACGAATGGCACGAACACTCCGGGCGTATCAACAAGGTACACGCCTTCCGAGCCAGCCTCAGGGTCGCGGTCCACAATCTTAACTCCCGACGCAATCTTGCGTGTGATCCCCGGCTGCGCTCCCGTATACGCCGCCTTGCCGCGATTGACACCTTCCATGCGCAGTGCATTAAGAAGAGAGGACTTGCCCACGTTCGGCATCCCGACGATGAGCATGCGACTCCCTGTCAAGCTATCCAGCTCTTGGGCATGCTGCTTCGCAAACGCAAGCACAGAGCGCACATCCCGCTTCGACTTGTGGTCCGAGAAGAGAACTTGCTGTGGCTTGTGCCAGTCTCGGATTATAGCCTCGCGCGCCTTGTCAGCGGGCCGGTTTCGACTCCCGAGATCGCGCTTTGTGTAGACGACGAGTCGTTGGCGGCCGGCGAGTGAGCCTTCGAAGAGGGGGTTGCGAGAGGTGAGGGGGACGCGGTAGTCTCGGCATTCGATGATAAGGTCGATGTGGGAGAGCATAGTGACCATCTTCGAAAGACCGGCGGCATGATGGCCAAGGAAGTATGAGCGGGGGAGGTTGAGGTTCGGGGGGAAGTCGACGCGTGGAACGAATGAGGATGCCATTTTGGCAGGCTGTGCTTGTCTAGCGGTGGGCGCCTCGGGACATTGTTTCTAGTCCCTTAATACTGGGCAGTTAGGACGTGGAATGGAGCACCGTGGGTTGTTGTAGGAGCCAGAATTTGTTGAGTTTAATGGCAGGGTCAGACGAGGCTGAAGGTTCAAGAAAGTTGCTCTCCAAGGTCCAAGCGGCAACCAATCATATCAGGGTTTCAAATCGCTGTCTGTCTCCCTGGTATGATCATACTCGAGTACTTTGGTTGTATTCCGTAATTCCTTTGTAAATTAATTTTTCTCCAGTGTTTTTTGTAAAAGTATACATACACAAAAGGCTAAAAAAATGATGGAATTTATCTCTTTTAATGAACCGAACTTTGATTTAATAACAATATTTTTTGGTGGCGCTCACTGTCGTATAAGATTGAGGGTGCATAAACAATTTACTAAAAGAATAGAGCAATAAGGGCAGCCTGGCAGAATAATTGAAAGGCGTTGCTAATTGCTGCATAGTATTTATCTAGTATATGCTGACGGAAAGCTACTAGCCACTCTTGAACCGTGTCCCAATCTACAAACCCTAGCCTGATGTAACTATGGATTTCATAGATATATTACACTGCCCAGAACATATCGACCTCAACGTCCTTTACCGTGATAGACCACCCCGGAAACCTCGCTCTCGCCCACACAGTCACCACGTCTCCAACTTCCAAACTCCGAACGAACTCGCCATTCCCTGTAGCCTTACCACGGCCGGCCTTCTGCAACTCTTCCGCCTCATCGGATTCGGCGTCAATATCGTCATCCCAGCGCCATACGATTGTGTAGTCCTTGGCTTCCTTTGTCGCAGTTACGTTCTTCTGCAATGTCTTGCCATGCGGCAAGAACGGATGCTCTAGTTCAACCGCAGCTGCCATGTTCCCTGGATCAAGCCACGCCTGATTCCTCGTCGGCGCTCCATTCTTTTTCAATGGAGGATCTACAGACTCCAAATTCCAAGCTAACGTCTTCTCCACATCGCTCTCTGAACCTTCTTTCCGCTGCCTTGTTGGTTGCGGCAACTCCGTAGATCCCTCCAAGGCCGCACTCTCATACTTGTCAATGACCCTCGCCCGCTCTCTCCCAACATCTAACCATGTAAACGACCCATTATAAGTTCCGTGATCTTTGTATTCCCCGCCCCACCCCTGATCGCGCATCCTGAACTTAAAAACGATTTTCCGACATGGATGCACTTCACGCGGTTGTGATTTCTGGGCCCATGCTGAATACAGGGCGGCGGTGGCTGCTTTCGAGGCCTCGGACTGAGTGGGTAGGAAGACATGCGGTCTCATATTGCCTGGGCGTGCTGGCGGAGGCGCACGGCTGGGGTCTGTGGAAGGGGAGCTTGCAAGACATCCGAGAGGGAGGGTGCGGGTCTTGAAATGTTAGTGGGCTACAAATGGGCAAAGCGAGGGGAACATACAACGAAATAGTTTTCGTGTGAATTACCCTGCGCACAGGCGGGGTTGACACTCGGCAGCACGGCGGAGGTGTGAGGCCAGTACTCGGCATAGTCGATTATGGTGTCGGCCAGCTCGAGGGGAAGGGAGAGGCTCTGGAGGATTGCTTTGACGACAAGGACGTCGGCGACGGTGGGGTCAATGGCAGGTGAGTTCGGAGGAATGCTAAACGGATTAATGTCTTGGAGGCTGGAGGAGGACGCCGTGAGAAAGTAGGGGAATGCCATTGGACTTGTTCAGCGAATGGATGTGCAGGTTTCGTGATTAACGATACACTATTTCAGTGGTCTAGGTTGGTGAACGCAAACGGTGGAAATGATGCAATGAATCGGAAATGTTGCTACTCTAAACCATTTGTTTATCCTCCCGAATTGAATATCGAATATATCAGTGGCGAGATGGTGACGCCTCCACCACATTATCTTGCGTGACAACGTACGTTGTCTACGCAAGATGGTCTGTTCTGCCTGGAATAAGCTAAACGCGGGAGCGGCCGTTATCTATGCCTAATCAAGAAAAAAGGGCACGTGAAATCACGTCATGTGTAGTAAATACTTACCGCCTCCAGATTAGGTGAGATTGAAAGTTTCTGCCATTTAGGCTTGATGGGTGCGTGCTTGGTGACCAAGCCGACTGTCGGAGCTTCAAACACCGACGTCTCTCTGTTTAAATAGTCGTTGCCGTGGACAATTTACCAGGGGCCTGCTGGTAACCAGTTCACAGAACAATGAATGCCTCGAGAGCGGCCGTGCCCGCGACGCGGATAGTTTCAAAACCAATCAAACCTTTCTCGAGATCATGGAGCCGACCACTCTCGGCGGCCAGACCGGCCATGTCTGCGGCTGCTCCGGCCTGCCACTATTCTTCTCGACAGCTCCACACCCAGCTGCCAAGGCGAGCAGAAGCTCCAGCAGCGACAGACGCCTCGAACCCGGCAATGTCCTTCCCATGCCTCGATGCGCTCGAGAGCAAGACAGCGACGCTGGAAGCGCGTTCTCATGCTAGTGGCCCCGAGCCTTCCTATACCAGTGGCGCAACAGAGGTTTACCACTGCAAAGACCCTATACTGCTCGACTGGGGCGGTGTCTTACCTGGGTTCAATGTGGCATACGAGACCTGGGGCGAGCTCAACGCCGACAAATCTAATGCGATTCTGCTCCACACTGGGCTCTCCGCGTCCTCGCACGCGCACTCGACAGAGAAGAACCCGAAGCCTGGATGGTGGGAGAAGTTTATCGGGCCAGGAGGATGCCTAGATACGGATAAATACCACATTATCTGCACAAATGTTATAGGTGGATGTTACGGCTCTACTGGGCCAAGTAGCATCGACCCGGCCGATGGGAAGAACTACGCCACCCGCTTCCCGATTCTCACCCTGAACGACATGGTGCGCGCCCAGTTCCGCCTCGTCGACGGCCTCGGCATCAACCAGCTCTACGCTAGTGTCGGCGCGAGTATGGGCGGTATGCAGTCCCTCGCGGCCGGCGTACACTTCCCTTCCCGCGTAGGCCGCGTTGTATCGATCTCAGGCTGTGCCCGCTCGCACCCTTATAGCATTGCGATGCGACACACACAGCGACAGGTGCTGATGATGGACCCGAACTGGGCGCGGGGTTTCTACTACGATAGGGTGCCGCCGCACGCAGGGATGAAGCTGGCGCGTGAGATCGCGACGGTGACATATCGCAGCGGGCCTGAGTGGGAGCAGCGGTTTGGGAGGAGGCGTGCGGATCCGAGCAAGCAGCCAGCACTGTGTCCAGATTTCCTCATTGAGACTTATTTGGACCATGCAGGCGAGAAGTTCTGCTTGGAGTATGATCCAAATAGCTTGCTGTATGTGAGCAAGGCGATGGACTTGTTTGATCTCGGCGCTGAACACCAACATGCTACTGCTTTGAGGAGGGCAGAGCGGTCAGACAGCTTAGAGGCATCTGGGGGGGACTTTTCTTCGTCGACGTGCAGTCTGGATTTACCCGAGACGCCATACGTAGAACAGCCTGGCCAGGTTCCTGTCGACCTTAACGGGCCTATCGCAACGTCTACTGCTCCTCCCGCGGACTTAGTGAAAGGGCTGCAGCCGATGCGAGACATCCCCACTCTTGTGCTTGGTGTGGCGAGCGACATCTTGTTCCCGGCATGGCAACAGCGGGAGATCGCGGAGACACTGAGAAGTGGAGGAAACAAGAGGGTGACACATGTGGAGCTTGGTGAAGACGCGAGTTTGTTCGGACATGATACATTTTTGCTGGACCTGGAACATGTGGGGGGGAATGTGAGAAGGTTTCTCGGTTGAAAAGGTTGGAGGGGTTGGAGAGGGGGTTGGTTAGATGAATGTGAGCATGTGACAAGTGGAGATCCGTTATGGATGTTAGGCCATTTGATGTTTGTTTGTAACAATACCATAATTGGATATATTATGTCCTACGAAAGGATGGTGATGGTACTGAGTCGTACAACAAAACCTGGCAGTGGGCAAGACACAGTCTCGGTCACGCCAAGAACCCTCATTGCATATCTATTGTGTAGAATAAGTTATGTATTTATAATGAAAGTAATACATGTATATACGGCATATGCAACCAAGAGGTCAAAAGTCTGCCTGGGCGTTCTGGGCGTTTCTTAGCTCAGTATACTTGTTGTTTTATCGCACATCACATTTCTCATATCTGAAGCTATCTCACCTCGATGGCGGGGTTTAAACCTGGGGAAAGCTCGCTGCTCGGGCCATCCCAATTCCGGGACCCTGATCCATGGCATCGAGCCAACAACAACACAACAAAAGTAAGACCACACTTAGTCGAATAGTATCAAACTATGAGCCTATCAAACCAGCTCTATACGAGAATATCTCCAGATATCCCCATGGGTGCATCCACCTATCTCACCTTTCCATCTCTGCCGAATATTCCCCACTCGGTGTCTGGCGTGGAATCCCAATGTGCACTCTTCCCCGCCTGTGATCGTCGGTATCATGCGAACTATCAACACGAGGCGCACAATCCCCAGCCCTTCAGTTTTGAATGTCTACCTTTGATTGAACAGGGCATCGGACTGTTACTGTGCATAAAGAGGTCAGCGGTTCCACACCCGAGGTTCCACATTCCCTAGGTGTTGCTTTATTCTACGCATTATCCCTGTCGATAGTTGTGCCGTCGGAACATATGTGTGGCTGGAGCTAGACGCCAGCGGGCGGCCTCTAGACTCCGCCGCTATTTTGCGGCACTGCCAGTCGCGATCTTGTATCGACAATTTGTCTATTGCTCTTCCCTTGGCACTGGACTTGGCTGATGAATAGTGTCCTTGTGCCTCGTTACATGACGCTGTATAAACTACCATGGACCTATCAGCTGCCTCGTACTTTTCTGCCCCTCGAATGCCGCCAACAAAGCCGCTGGCTGTCAGATGAGCCGTGCCGTTATGTTTCCCCTCCCGCAGCTTCCCCAGGTTGTGGCAGACGCCTCCTTGTATAAGACAGCCGCCGTGCTCTTCCCTTCTGCGAACGGCAGATCCCTCTTTTTCGAGTGGATTGATAATTTATTCTCCTACAACATGGCTTCCCTACATCTGGGAAAGCTCCTAACTACTTTGATATCGTTCTTTTTGGTCGCCAGTGCCCAGAGCTCATGGGACCACGAGCTGTTTACAAGCAGCCCCCCAGTCTACCCGAGCCGTGAGCCCACCAACTTGTCAATATACGTTTGATCGCGCTGACAGGACTTAGCTTCTACTGATGGGAATGGATGGGAGGATGCATTCGCCAAGGCACGCATATTTGCCGCGAACCTGACTCTAGATGAAAAGGCCGGACTCCTCACAGGAAACATTCGGGGCCCATGTGTTGGTAAGAATCGTCCACGTGAAACTCATCGCCTATGTACTCACACAGCTAGGGAATCTCGTACCAATCGCGAGACTCGGTTTCAAGGGACTTTGTATGCAAGATGGCCCTGCAGCTCTTCGACAAGCAACCTTCGTGTCTGTCTTCCCTGCTGGCCTTACCATTGCCGCAACATGGGACCGGAATCTTATGAATACACGAGGTTCATACTTGGGTGCTGAGTTTAAGGCTAAAGGAGCACACGTTATGCTTGGACCTGTGGCTGGGCCGCTAGGTCGCTCTGCATTTGCTGGAAGGGGGTGGGAGGGTACCTATTTACCTACCTACCTACATTGGTACAAGTATTTAGGCATACTGACGCGTTGATAGGTTTCTCACCTGATCCGTATCTTACGGGAGTAGCTATGGAGGAAACGATCACTGGGATCCAAAGTACCGGCGTGCAAGCCAATGCTAAACGTACGCCGATGATGATTCTGTGAAAGAAACGGATGAGATACTGACTGGACCACGCAGACTGGATCGGTAATGAACAGGAGACTCAAAGAGTTCCCTCCAACAATGGAGGTGTCAAAATTGATGCTGTTTCCTCCAACATCGACGATAGGACGATGCATGAAGTGTACATGTGGCCCTTTGCAAACGCACTCCATGCTGGAGTTTCTTCGGTGATGTGTGCATACAACCGCCTTAACGCATCCTACGCTTGTCAGAACTCGAAGATTCTGAACGGCTTGCTGAAGGAAGAACTCGGCTTCCAGGGATATGTCGTCAGTGACTGGGGTGGCACTCATTCAGGCGTTGCGTCTGTCAAGGCCGGTTTGGACATGGATATGCCAGGTGCGATCGATTTCCAATCACCAGGACCTTCATATTTTGGAGGAAATTTGACAATCGGGGTAAATAACGGATCTTTAACGATGGCTCGAATCGACGATATGGTGCACCGCGTTATGACGCCTTACTTCTTCTTGAAACAGGACACAAGTTACCCGTCTATAGACCAATCGTCGGCCCCACTGAACAAATGGATAATTCATCCTTACCTACAGTCCTTTGTTTATGGCGCCAAAGCCAACGTTGACGCACGCGGAACGCATGCAAAGCTCATCCGCGATGCGGCAGCTGCGGGAACAGTGCTTCTTAAGAATACGGGAAATATTCTTCCACTGAAGGCCCCAAAGAATATAGGAGTGTTTGGAAATGACGCTGGTGATAATATCAATGGTGTATACACTCTCAACGTTATCCGCGATAAAGGGTTCGAATATGGTACCTTGATTATCGGAGGGGGTTCAGGGTAAGTTGCAATTCTGTATTTTGAAACCAAAACTAATACCCATGAAGGACCGGTCGACCTACATACGTTGTGACGCCGATGGATGCAATCAAAGCACGCGCGGCTGCTGATGGGTCTATGGTACAATTCATTCTCAATAACAACTACCTAGCCAGCGACCCTGACCTTGCTTTCTCCACATTTGCCCCGTTCCCTCCCGACGTTTGCCTGGTCTTTATCAAAACATGGGCTACAGAAGGTTCTGATAGGACCACTCTCGAAGCCGATTGGAACAGCGGGGCCGTCGTCAAGAACGTCGCTGATCGCTGTCCCAACACCGTCGCTATCACACACTCTGGGGGGCCAAACACCATGCCTTGGGCCTCTCACCCAAATGTCAAAGCCATAGTCGCTGCCCACTTCCCCGGCCAAGAGAGTGGGAACTCAATCGTTGATATCCTCTACGGCGTTGTCAACCCGAGTGGCAAGCTGCCATACACAATTGCCAATTCGGAAGCTGAAGACAAGTTTGCGCCTATCACCGATTCCCCAGAACTGCGAGCAACGACAGATCCAAACGCATGGCAGTCTGATTTTGAAGAGGGGCCACTGATCGACTACCGTCATTTCGACTACTACAACTCGAGCGTGCTATACGAATTCGGCTTCGGCTTGTCGTACACCACATTTGGGATGACAAACCTGGGAATCACGAAAATCGACGAGAAGGTTACGGCGCGCGCACCGGCTGCCAAGACAGCACCAGGAGGGAACCCGAACTTGTTCAAAACCATCTTCCGAGTTACAGTTGCCGTGAGCAATACTGGCGCGGTGGCTGGAGCTGCTGTGCCGCAGCTCTACCTCTCGCTGCCTCCAGTTGATGGCATTACGGCTTCACCGCTTAGGGTGCTGAGGGGCTTTGAGAAAGTGCTTTTGCAGCCTGGGCAGAGCCAGATTGTGACGTTTAATTTAATGCGGAGGGATGTGAGTTTTTGGGATACAGTGAGTCAGGAGTGGGTTATTGCGCCTGGGAAAATCGGTGTGCATGCTGGGTTTAGCAGTAGGGATTTTAAGATCGAGGGGAGCTTCACGCCGTTATGAGGAGATTATGGATGTTGTTGAATGATATTGCGGTTTGATAGGGCTGGAAGGGATATGGATGCATATATTTTAGGTTATGGCGTTAAGGAGGTATATGGCTGGACAGGGTAGGCTTTGGGGCTTGAGGAAACCGGCAGTTAGTGGCCGATGGTCAGTACAGAACACAACGGTAGCATATTGAAGCATACTTTAAAGTTTCCAATGTTTTGAACCGGCCCTTCCCTGCGAGTTAAACGCGTGGGGTGATGCATCGTGGTCATTCGTAGACGACGTTTAATATATAGATTCTTGCACTGCCCCGATTAGGGAGTTAGTCTAGCAGTTAACTTTATTTGTTTCCCGGCTCGGAACCATGGATACACCTAGCTAATATTATACTTCCAGACGGATGAATCCTTCCGGAATCTAATAGCTAATCACATGATCTTACATACCAGACCTATCGTCTAGGTTAGCGACTATGTTACATATTAACCAATAGGATGAACCTCTTACTTCTGCAGGATAGGAAACTCATGAATATCATAGCCTGGAGTTGCGCCTTTATTCGGGAGAACTCGAAGAGACTCCTGGGTTGCGGCAGAGATGTGATGTGATCGGGGTCCGGATCTGACCAGGACTTATTCAGCTCAGCAACGAGTAAGGTTTCTGTTTCCTTATTCCCGGTCCGAAAATGATATTTTGGTATCGTCGGGTAGAATAAACGGGATGGGGCATGGATGAATTGATATAGTAAGTCTTCAGGGTGAGAACTGTCTTATAGGAATTATAGAATACCAATGTAGAGATCAGAGATTTCCCCACAGTTCTGACAGTTTAACCAGCGGGCACTACTGTAAGCACGCCCCGCCACAGTAAGTGCGCCAAGCCCCGAAGCTCCCCAGCCGCGCTAAAAAAAAAATCGTCTTCTAATCGCAGCGATAGCAAGCAAGTAGCGCAAACCGACCTGCACGACATTGACATTGCGCACACCGCGCCCCTCCCCCCACCATGACCCCAACCTCCTCCCACCATGCTGCGCACCTCGCCGCCACAGCCCTGGTGTCCGGTGCCGTTGTCGCGACTTCTATACTTGCGTTCCAGCGCCTGCGGAGGGAACGCAGGGTCGACGACCTGAAACACTCGATTCCGCCGCCGACTGGGGAGGAACGGCCTGATCTCGTCGCGCCGACGCCGCAATGGAGTAAGGAAGATGAGAGGAGCGCTGAACTTGCTGCGCGGGCGATAAGGGGAGAGTATGATGACGGTAGGCCCATCTGTACCCAGCCCTGGCGTAGCTGCAACTAACGGACGAGCAGAACTCATCCTCGAGCAATTGGCGCGCAACCGCGTCTTTCTTTCCGACTCTGGCCTCGCAGCCCTTCGAAATGCGAAGATAGTTGTTGTAGGCTGCGGTGGTGTTGGTTCGCACTGCGCTTCTGCGCTCGCACGGTCGGGGGCCTCACATATCCGCCTCATCGACTTTGATATGGTGTCTCTGTCGTCGCTGAACCGACACGCGGTGGCGACGCTAGCGGATGTTGGGACGCCGAAAGTCGAGTGTTTGCGTCGGCGGCTGCGGGCCGTGACACCCTGGGTGGATTTCGATTGCCGGAATGAGATGTTCAGCGAGAAGGACGCGAACAGGCTACTCAAGGACGCGGAGTTCGTGGTGGATGCGATTGATAACATCGACTCGAAGGTCGGGCTGCTAGCATACTGCCACGGGAAGGGAATACAGGTGGTTAGCTCCATGGGTGCGGGGTGCAAGAGCGACCCGACAAGGATATTTGTTGGGGATATCAGTGCATCAACTGAGGATCCGCTGTCGCGCTCTACACGGCGCCGACTGCGTCTACGAGGCATCGCAAGCGGGATCCCGGTCGTCTTCTCTACGGAGAAGCCAGGCTCGGGCAAGGCACAGCTACTTCCTCTCTCCGAAGAGGAGTTTGCAAAGGGCAAAGTCGGGGAGCTGGCGCCAATGGCCGATTTCCGAGTCAGGATATTGCCTGTACTCGGCACCATGCCAGCGGTATTTGGCTGTGCAGCGGCAAACTACGTTATCTTGAAACTAGCCGGGTACCCTACCGATAATGTTGAGACGAAGGGGAGAGATAAGCTGTATGAGGCTATTCTAGCGCAGGTGCAGGGCAGTGAGGAGAAGGTTGCCAGAGCGAGTATGGGCTGGGGTGCTGAAGACGTGAAGGGCCTCAAGTTACCGCTGACAGCGGGTGATGTGGGATACTTGGTCGAGGAGGTATACCGAGGTCGTAGCGTGGTTAGTGGGGTGCCCACAAGGTTGGCGCTTGTAAGGTGGCGGGCTCCTGAGGGAAAGACGATCAACGAAGGGGAAGTGCAGAAGAGTAGCCGGCTGCGGTTGGGAGAGCTTGTGTGCATGACCAAGGAAGAGGCGAAGGTGCATGAGCGGAAGGTGGTACTTGGAGGGAAAACGATAGAAGAGATATATGGGAAGGATATTGTAGAGTACGTAGAGTCGAGAATTGAGGAGGAAAAGGGGTTCGCGACCTATAGATAGTAGAGGTAGGATGGGGTCTGCGACTTTTATATAGCTATATTTAAAAGCATGACTGCCATGCTTTAGCATGTTTTAGGCTGACGATGAGATGATACCAAGATGATATTATACTAGATGTTTGATATAGGAGGAGGCTAAGGTTTTATTGGCGCGGAATAAATCGCGCTGGTTAATGCCAAGACTACTGTATAACAATCAAGCTTCAATATATGTGGGGTTGGACGATCTTAGGGGAAGGAATCTTTCGTCCGTCCTAAATAGATTAATCTTAGCGTTTCTTATCGGCCTGGGCCTGGACGATCAGCCCACACGAACAGGCACGGCGTGGCGCAGCCGGAAGGTATCGACTTGCCCCCGTTTATTGTTTATCACCCTTTTGCCCTTTTGCCCTTTTGCTCCTTCCATCCCTGATTGCGACTCTACTGCCCAAGTATCCATCCTCCAAGAACATGGAACCTACTGTCCTTATTTAACCGCTATTTGTTCGGTGTCATATCAGCTGCCTGGTCGCCCACCTATTTACTCTTGCCCAGTCGCTGGCGCGCCGCTGTCATGTTCCTGACTCCCAATCGCCGGTATGTTACGCTTGCTGGCGCCGTCCTTTTCCTCGAATGGACGTGGGTATTCCTCTGCAGCCCTGGGCACAAGGACATTCTAGCTTCCCTGCCCTCTCAGCACAAAGCAGCAAACGACGATATCTTTGACTATGGGTTTGTCCAGTCCGCTGCGCTGAAGGATATATGCGACGCAGTGGAATGGAACAACGAGTTGATCTTCACATGCGACAACAATTCAGGCAGCGTCGCAGATGTCAAGAACTCGATCTTAAACTGTCTTCGATTCGCCATCGCTGCCGGTGGGCTACTCGTGGCCCCTCGCATCATCATCTCCAACAGCAGCGAAACCTCCTCAGTCGACTCTGCGACCAAACGGACAGACTTCAGCTCCATGTTCGACCTACACCACTTCCTCATGTCCCTCCATCTCTCCTGCCCCCAACTCATTACCCACAAACACGTCGACGACGTCCCCCCACGAGCATGGACACACAACCCCTTGTCTCTGCGACCAGAGGACCTCCAGTCCCCTTTCCTCTCAGCCGGCATCCCGCGTCCAGAGACCTGGGGCGCCGAATTCCACACCTGGCTCGGTAACCAGACCGCCACTCGCAAGCCCACCGGCGGCCTCACAGTGGTCAACCTCGCGCGCTCCCTGCCCGTATACCCGGTCTCCAGCGACGAGGACTTTGCGCACGAATTCGGCATGTTTCTCAAGATCCAACCCGATGCGCGAGTACTCGCCACATTGACCTTCCACGCCCTGATTCGCAAGTACAACTTCGACGCGGCAGACTCGAGTGCGATTGCGAGGAACGCCTATGTAGGCGCATATCTAGGCTCCGACGGCAAAGCGACAGACACAAACCATTCACCTACGACACTCGCACAACGTATCCTCAACGAAACCCTCGCAGCCGACCTCACGGTTCTCTACCTCGCATCCACCGATCCATCAAGTGGTGAGCGCCTCGCCGCCGACGCCTCCCCACTCAAAATACAAGTTACCTCAAAATTCGACCTCCTCCCACCACAAGACGCGGCAGCCTTACAAGCCCTGGCGCCGGAGCAGCAAGCGCTGGTGGATTACCTCGTTTTGGGGAGGGCGAGCCAGTTCATGGGTGTAGGGGGTGATGCGTTTGGGTGGAGTGTTGCACTGGGGAGGGGAGGGAAGTGGAGCAGGGATGGGGGTGAGGGGATGGAGGGTGAGCTGATGCGGGACTCGTTGAGTCGGATTTATGGGAAGCAAGGGGATGATGAATTTGCCAGTTGTTTGTGGCCGTGATGGGATGCGCGTGTGTAAAGGAAGTAGAATGGTTGTAAATGTTAGCGTTTCAGAGCGGTTGGGTTTGTATGATATGTTGATACAGGTAGTAAGTGGTCGTGTGGTAAGAAGTATTCGGGGCTATACGGTTATCTTGTAATCATACTCGGCGAGGTAGATATAAGAGATATCCGCAAATCTACAAATCTACAAATCTACTGTGGCTAGACGTGAAGAGACTATGCACATATGAGATACTTACTCCCTTTGTACACTTTCACACGGATAAATTATTATCTGAAGCTTCACATGCATTTTATTTTCCTATGGCATTCCAAACGTCTTTCCCCATCTACTTTGACCCACTATTCACATAGCTCCAAGATTTCGAGGAAAACAAGAAATAGCTCAATAGAGCGACCGTTAGGTAACATGTTGGCTTTCACTTTTTGATACCACTGAACCCCAAACAAAATGCTTCTTGAATTTGGCACTGTAAGCAAATTGCTAGCTACCTGATATCATAAACCCGTTAGCTCCATTGCTTCCCACTACTTAGTCAAAGCTGATCAGATCGTCTTCTTGGATTTGTACCACTTCTTGTGTCTTAGTGACGGCAGTAATGTCGGCCCCTTCATTGTTGCCAGCCCCTTCGTTATTGTAAGCCCCTTCATTATTGTCTGAAAGCCTATATGTCTGGCGTGGGGTGTGTTCGACATTGGCATCATCTGGGGGAGAGTGGTCAGGTTGCGTTAGCACTTGGTCCAACTCCTGAGGCTGAGTCGTCAACCCAGGGGCACTTTTGTTCACTGAGGCCTCCGACTTGGGGTTGTTTTCATTGCTCTTAGCTATCTGGACGCTTAGGGGATGACCGTGTCGACGTGTTCCATGTAGTCTCGTTATTGCGGCATCTGCTTGCACTGGGGAAGCCATGGTGACAAAACCGAATCTATTAGGGGAGCCAGGTGTTGCATTTGCTTCACCATTCCTAACGAAGGCGTCCAAAACAGTACCACATTGCATGAAAAGAAGTTTCAGTGATGCGCTCGATTCAGCCCTGGCGACCCCTGAAACAAAAAGTCTTGTGGGAGAGGCGGGAACAGGTCCTGTCGTGGTCGCGATTTGCGTCGAAGCACCAGGCTCAGTGTTGTTAGTCGGGGGAGGAGGAACCCCACTGTAGGAACGATCTGACTTGAAGACCAATGGACTCTTTGTAGAAGCCTTCTTTGTACCTTGTCCATTGTTATTCTTCTGTGCTGACGCAATGACTTTAGTCGAGTCGCCGATTCTATGTGGGAGGCTGGGTGCCCCGGCGATTGTAGCATAAGTGTCTGGATTTGGGCTAGATTTTGGTGGCACAGGAGGGAAATTCTCATCGGGTTGATGGACAAAGCCCTCCGTACTACTTAGGAGTGGTTGAGGAGATCCGCTGGGCGATCGTCTTTGTTCTACCTGAACGGAAATATTTGGGGGGTTGTGCAATATTGCTACATTTGTCCGCCCGGTTTGCCTAGCACCGTTTGAAAGGTCCACGGGTCGATAACGATCTCGAATAACAAGTGTCTTCTTGCTGGGAGGAGGCCCAGTAGATTGTCTCGCATTACCATCAGACGTTGGGGCATCCCATTCCCGCCAGGCGGTCGCATCAAATATCTCAACATTTTCCAATAACTCTGACTCGAGAGAATGAACTGCTGGATACAAAGCAGGTGCAACAGAATCGTCGGCAACAGCAGGTGATGCAAGTAGTGGGAGATTGTCAGTAGCAGCAGCTTGACTTGCCTTTTCACAAGGACAAGCGCATGGGTCAGAGCAACGCATGCTACAAGTGTGAGCGGCATTACAATTCATTGCCTTTGTGCAGGGCTCCTTGCAAAATAGATCCTCGTGCGGGAAGCTAGATCTGTTAGCATTATGATAGCAATCGTATTAGGGGTATCTCACGAATGACAATTGTACCGGCACTTATGACCACAAGGCATAACACCATTACATTTGACGCCGCAGCCACCAGTCAAATTGTCCAACTCAACGGAAGACTCAACCACCGTTTCAGTTGAATGAGTAGAGCACACGATAGGAAACCCAGAACTGATGTCAAAGCGCCCTTGCGATTTCATGGTCATCATGACAGAAAACCAAAAGTCGTAGCTTTCCGCTTCGGAACGAAGAAGATTGATACAGTTTCCAAAGATATACATGCCACGTCGGGCACGGGACAGAGCCACAACAGCGCGGTTCTTATTCTCAAGGAATCCAATGGTCCCATGCGCATTACTACGGACTAGTGACAGTAATATAACGTCGTTCTCCTCGCCTTGATAGGAGTCAACTGTGAATACATTGAATGGCCCGCGAATAGCGAGGTTTGGAACTCTCTTCAGCAATGTGAGAAGTCGCTTGCGTTGGCCATTGTAAAATGTCAGAACCGTTATTTTCGAAGAATCAATGCCATTCAACACCAGGTAGTTAAAGAATGCGACAATCATATTCGCCTCCTCAATATTGTACGTGCTTTGTGCATCATCTCTGCTCTCTAGCCAAGTATGATGGAAACAGTACGAGTCCCGACCTCCCATTCCAGGGATCGGCTGGCGAACACGCCGATCAAGGACCGAAGGGTGATCTTCCAAGCCTTCGTATATTGGGCTCAAAAGCTCTCGTAGGCCCGGAATCATTCGACGCTGTTTGTTAAGCATAGTGAACTCAACTCCGTTATTTACCAACCGCTCAAACAGCGATACACTGAGATTGTATGGGTGTCTCTCGAGATGCGAAACGTTGCAATGGGCTTGGAGTTGTTGATGGTCACCGACTAGAATAAGGTGGTCTAAACTCTCAAGCATGGCGGCCAGAATGGTTCCCTCTAAAGTCTCGGCCGCCTCTTCGATGAGCAGAGTGCGCGGCTTCAGACATGCGAGCAATCCTCGATATTTGGAAAGACCGGTTGTGGTGCACCCGATAAGCTTAATACCAGTCTTTCGAATGAAAGTAGCGTCGCCCTGCCATCTTGCAATCTTGAGACGATCCATTGCTCTCGAATAGTCTGTCAAATGTCGTCGAAAACTAGCCAGATATTCTTTGGTGGCGGCATCCTTCAGGTATTGGTAAATTGCGCCACGATCCTCTTCATCAATGTCCCAAAGATTTGGTGTCGTGCAGAGAATTGCCCCAACTTGAATATTTGAGCGTGCCCTGCTGTTCCTGCCAATGAACTCTCTTCGATATGGCACATATTTGCCCTTTAGCGCCTCAATGTCATCTTCGTCCTTTGACTTTCGTGCCTCAAGTTCTGCCTCGTTGAGGGTTTCATATTCGTAGTCATCCTCATCCTCATCGTCTTCAAATCCGTTGTTGCTAAGAGGGCATCGCCTGGGAAGGACCTGTTGATCGAGACCAAGCCAGGAATAGAGAACGCCGCCAGCATCGGCGCCTGCGTCCACCCATTCATCATCATTAAGTGAGTCATACTGCTCTTGGGTTATGAGGTTTAGCTTGAGGAAAACGCTGGCTTCTTCTGCGCCTTGGTCATTCATATCTTGGATGTCATGGATAATCTCCTCTGAAATTCGTTTAAGAGCATCCTGGGCAATTCGTATCCTGCCGGCACTACCGGTTACCCCGATTGCGAGTTGGCCTCGAAGCCTATACAGCGTCCTCAATTGAATGATTTCGTTGGACTCGCTAGATCTTCCTCCGAGGCGAAGAAAGTTCGGCTCAAAAGGCTCAATCAAATTTAGTAGCTGGTCAATTGCATGATTTGTCTGAGCAGATACCAAAATTGGAGGGTCTCCAACTATCCAGTTGTTCAGCATGATCTTCAATGCCGTTATAGACACGAATGTCTTTCCTGAATAAGGTAGAATAATTAGTTTCATATTAATTGATTAACTTCCGAAAAATTTGCGTACCTGTTCCAGGAGGACCCTGTATTATTGCTACCTTTTTGCAGAGTATTCTGCGCACAGCGGCCATTTGAGAATCGTCCAATTGAGAACCCTTGAGAGCAGGCCACTGGCCTAGAATATCCACATCTTGAAACACGTTCGCGTCAAAATCTCCGGCTGTGAGTGTTTCGCGGGCTGCTTCAGCAGGCAGTAATGCACTCAGGTTCATACGAGGTTGCTTTTCAACATCTCCGGGTGGGCCCACTGTCTTCCTCAGTTCCATCAAATGTTCTGCCATGGGAAAACTTAATTTGTTAGAATTGGGCCGGTGAGGAAAAGGGAAGCACTTACGTCTCGGACATCAACTTTTGCATTGCAACAAGCATATGCCTACTGGCTTCAAAATACCCAGATTTGGCCTCGACCATCACATACTCCTCTGTTGGATCAAACTCGGATTCCTCAATGCTAGCCCAGAATATGTCAATCTGCGGCGGATCTTTTTCTACTGCCGCCAGTGGACGAGCAGCAACAATTGCAACTTTGCAAATAGTTTTGAAGTTGTCATGCACTGGACTGAGGGCGACCATGGTACCTTGCTGCAGGCGGCTGGATTGAGGCCAGCGAATACGCTTACCAGCACGCTCCGTAGAGAACTCGACACGGGCTGCAACACCCATATTTGCAAAGGTATACCCCACAATAAAGACCTGTCAATCATAAGCTTGGCTCTAAAAAAAATAGAGGCATCTCACATTTGTATAAATAGAGGTGGTTTGAAGGTCAGAAGTCCCTGGGTTTTCTTTGTAAGAACGAACTGCATCCAGTAATGGATATATGGCATCGTAGCGGAGGAGTTGATACTGAGAGCCGATATAAGCCTCTTTGCTTCCCCAGGGACCTCCCATAATATTTTCCGGTAGAGCTTCTGTATGAGTGGCGCCATGTGTAGAGCCGGGGTTTATCTCTGCGCCAAAGGGAATCTCTGGAAGTCGCCTCCATGCCTCCTGGGAATGTTCGTCATCAAGTTGGTAAGGTCGGGTTATGTGTTCGCGTAGTATCGGCTCAAAGTCGGCGGGAAACACCTTTGAGAAAACAACTTTCACCTTCATTAACACATTGTTAGTTTAAAAGTATATTCTGCACTATAGTGTTTATATCTTACAGGTGAAGAAGACTTAAAGTCTGCTCCCCGCTGTGGAAGCTCTGCCTTGAATACAGACATTGCGTTGCAAACGGCATATGAAGAGATACCACCAAGATCGGAAGGTCAGTTCTCCGAAAGAGTCCAATGCTTAAATTTTAATGCTCTTTCATAGCATCAAAATGAATTTGATTATTTGTAGGACTGAACAATGTTTTTAGAGTATATTGACCTCAAATGGTTGTTCAAAGAAGGTGAAGCGAAGTGCGTTGTGAACCAGGTTTGCCCAACCTGTCAAATTAAAACGGGGAGGTGTTTCTGCCGAGACATTGCAAACGCAAGCAATGCAGCAAACGCACAAACTGTGCATATCGCCTTAATTTCTGGACGAAGTGCCATTGAGTGGTGGTTATAAGAAAATCACGCCAAGAGATACCTTGAACAGTAGAGACTACAGTTGTGAAAACATGCATCCTTTGCAGCACTCAGAATGAATATAAGCAGAGAGTTTGCTTAGTTAATAACAGGAAATTAATAAAAATAACAGTGTCATCCTTATTTCCAGGTTAGCAAAATTATTCAACGTTAATACGAAGACGCTTAATTCCTATACTCGACGAGCGAAGTTGAAAGCCGCCGAAGCCCCAATATCGCCTCCTATTTCTAAACGCGGAGGACAAAATAAGATACTCTCGGACGTACAAATTAAGGCGATATACAAATATGTCGAAGATTCGTATCATGCAGGTTACGGGGCATCAAGAGCAATGGTTTTTGCAGCAATTGGCCACTTGCGGGTGGCAGAAATACCACTGAAACCAGCGCCTTCATGGCGCTGGTTTCAGGGCTTTATAAAAAGCCATTCTAACCTTTTTCGAGTCGTTAAAACGAAAGCGATTGCTTGAGTTCGAGTTACATCATGATATTTTGGCGGTAGAGGACTGGTTTTCAGTATATTTGTCATGGTGTATCCAATATGATATCCAGCCGCAAAACGTCTATAACTTTGACGAAACTGGCTTTCGTGTTGGAGTAGCACCAGGGGAGGAGGTAATACTTCCTATATATATTACAGAGGTATGTACAATTAGTTATCGTCATTGAAATATAATTGAACTGACCCTACTAAGATGTATGTTCCAATGGCCGAAAATCGCAGGTCTATTACTATAATCGAGTCAATCTGTGCAATTGGACAAGTGATTCCACCAGTGATTATTATACAAGGATGACAACATATGGAGTCCTGGTATCATGAAAAGCTAAGCGGCGACGAGCTTATATTGCTTCATTTTTTCGAGACTTGGGCAAAATACGCCAGGAAACATTCAAGAAAGGCACAATTATAGGAGCATTTCGTGAAGCTGGAATGTGGCCAATAAACCCTAAAGAAGCCTTGAAAAAAATAAAGGTATATACACTGTCTGAAAAGGCTCTAGACCTACTGCAAATTCCACAGACTCCGACAAAATTTGTACATTCAGAGCTCAAATTACAGCATTGGCAGGCAAAGATACCATACCTTTTATCAAGTCCATCGGCACAAGAATGGGATTCTTGGGCGCGCGGTACTGAAAACGTCCTTGCTCAAGGAGAGTTAGCTGTTCTACAGTATGATTTACTATCTACAAAGGTTGCGAACCAGCAAAAGGCAAAGGTCAAAAAGGAGCTTCGTATTCGTGGTGTTGAGGCCCGCAAAGCCAAGCTTTTAAGAAAGCGGCAGGTTACCCAGTTGTTAAAAGCAAAGCAGGAGGTGCCTCCTGATTTACTTAATCCAATTCCTGATCCTGAAAAAATTGCACAGGAGTCAGAGATTCAAGAAGAAGCCAATATTCAATTGATTTCAACAATAGGGTGGTCGGGATCACAGGTAGACGACGACGATGAGACTGGATTTATAAGATTTAGTGGTTTGGATGAGGACATATTTACAGACAGGACAGAAGAGAATTTGGATTCAGGGTGTTTTAAAGTAAGAATAACGTGCATGTATAACGAAAGTGCCAAACAAGCGAAAGTGCCAAAATCATGCGGTGACCAACCCCCCCAAACTAAATGTTAAATTCCTCCACAACAAAACATGCGCCATAAAAATGATGAAAGCAAATTAGTGGTAGCTATCCAAGCTATGCAAAGCGACCCAAATTTGCGCCTTCGAGTTGCAGCTAGGATCTATTCTGTAGACCACCGCAAGCTACGTCACTGTTTACAAGGCGTACCTTCACGACGCGATATCCAAGCCAACTTACAGAAATTAAGTAACCTAGAGGAATCAGTTCTTGTTCAGTATATACTTGACTTAGCTGCTAAAGGTTCCCTCCTCAGTTGTCTATTGTTGAAGATATGGCAAATCGACTACTTGCAACACGCGACGCGCCATGCGTCGGGTCACGTTGGGCTTCAAACTTTGTTAAGCGCCATGTAGAGCTCCGGACACGCTTCCAGCGAAAATACGACTACCAGAGGGCTAAGTGCGAAGATCCAGAAGTCATTCGTGGCTGGTTTAAGCTTGTATGGAACACAATTCTAAAGTATGGCATCAACAATGCAGATATCTACAACTTTGATGAGACTGGGTTTATGATGGGCGTCATCTCAAGTGCAATGGTAGTAATGAGCTCAGATGGGCGGGCAAAGGCAAAAAAGGTGCAGCCTGGCAATCGGGAATGGGTTACAGTAATCCAAGGCGTTAGTTCTCAAGGTTGGGCAGTGCCGCCATTTGTCATTGTGGCAGGTGAAAACCACCTTGCATCTTGGTATAAGAATAGCGGATTTCCAGCAGATTGGGTAATCGCTGTTACTGCAAATGGCTGGACTACAAACGAGAGAGATATGAATTGGATTCAGCATTTTGAGAAGCACACAAAGCCCCGGAGTGTTGGTGGTTATCGCTTGTTAGTCCTTGATGGTCATGAGAGCCACCACTCAGACAAGTTTGAGGAGTACTGCAAAGAACACAACATTATTACGCTTTGTATGCCTGCTCACTCTTCCCATATACTCCAACCACTTGATGTTGGCTGTTTTGGCCCATTAAAGAGAACTTACGGTCAGCAAATTGAAGATATGATGCGGGCTCATATTATTCACATTACTAAGGATGACTTTTTTCCTGCCTTCCATGCTGCATTTAACATTGCAATGACAGAAAGCAATATTCAGGGAGGGTTCCAAGGTGCTGGGCTTCTTCCATTTAGCCCTGAGAGTGTAATATCTACACTTGACCTTAGGTTTAAGACGCCAACACCTCCAACCTCTCGCCCAAACACCGCTTAACCATGGGTTTCTCAGACACCAAATAACCCAACTGAAGCTGTATCACAGTCTACTTTCATTAAAAACCGAATTGCGCATCATCAAAATAGCTCTCCAACCTCAATCTATGCAGCTGTTGACCAGTTTACAAAGGGTGCATCGCAAATAATGCATCAATTAGCATTGTTAAAAGCAGAGAACCAAAACCTGCGACAGGCAAATGAAGTGCTAAGCAAGCGCCGGAGAGCTAAAAAAACACGACTACAGCAAGGAGGATCACTTAGTCAACAGGTAGCACAGGAGCTACAGGACGAGAGGGACGTTGTGCAGCAAGTAGAGCAAGAAATAAGGGCAAGTAGTGGTCGGAAGCCAAGGGAAGAAACCCATGCACGTCGCTGTGGCAAGTGTGGTGAGACTGGACACAATGCGCGCACTTGTCAGATTGTAATAGACAGGTCTGAGGAAGAGGACTCCGAGTAGTTTTAATTAATTTATATTGTTGTGGTGGATTTATCGCAATTCTTATGGGGTAGTCGCGATATTTTGGCACTTTCGCTTGTTTGGCACTTTCGTTATACATGCACGTTACCTTTAAGGATTCCACCATAAGATCAGCTTTCCAAAAGCTGATCTGGCCAATAAGCTGTAATACAGCCATCGAAAAGCTACGTACGTACTCGCAGCCTACACAGCCTACTACGCCTACCCTACTTCGGCCTATTACGCCTATACCGTCTACTTTTCAGGAGGTGGAACTGGGGCTACAGCGCTGGAAAGACCGGCTTCCGGAGGCCTGGAGTAGCCCCTCGAAACAGAGCTATAGTAACTGGGTTACTGGGGCCCAGCGGGTTCTGGCAGCCAGTCAGCTCCAGGAACTCGACCTACGGGCTGTTCGGCAGCAGGTCAAGAACTCGAAGAAGAAGCGGGGGCCCGGGGCCGGGGCCGACTCCAGTGTGGAGGTGTGCTCCGGGCTTCTGAAGCCCACGAGCTTCAGGCCCAGAAGCTCGCTGCCACAGAAGCCCGGAAGCTGAGCCAGGCTCAGAAGCAGCTCCATCGGGCAGGAATTGAAGCCCGGAAACAGGAGCGCCTCCGGAAGAAGAGCCTGGCTCAGCTCACTGAATTAGGCCTTCCAATTCCTCCAGAGTTGGTAGACCCAATTACTGACCCAGAGGCCGAAACTGAGAGCGAGTATGAGAGTGCGAGTGAGGGTGGGCGTGGGAGTGGGTGTGGGAGTGAGAGTGAGAGTGGGAATGAGGAAGTGATAATTTCGTAGAATGGAATTTTGAAGTACCTTTATATACAAATTACTATGGTTAGGTACTTATGGTCGCAATTTGAGTTGCCGCATATTGCTTCCCCTCGCTTCGAGTTGCCGCAGACTGTACGTACCTACTCACGTGAGTAAGCACGTGCTTACTCACGTGTTTACTTGCGTGTTTACTCACATGCTTGCTCACGTGCTTACTACTTATATGCCTACCTACATGCCTACTTACTTATATAGCTACTCCATGACACACCCTATACTGCACTGGAGGTTGGGGCCGCCGAGCACCGAGAGCCCTGCCTTCCTTCTACGATCACTCTGCCAGCTTTAAACCTTGAACTTGCGGGGTTGGAAAGCTAAAGAGATGTGACGTTGTATATCCCCACTCTGAGATATGCCGTGGGGCGAAGCTCCTATTAGCGAGAGAGACCCCGTGCAGTGGAGCCCATCCAGGCAGGTGGTGTTATATAGCCCTGTCTCTCAATAAGGCCGTGGTTGTCAGTTCTCTATTTCAAATTCGCAGCAATAATGTGGAACAGGCTTGCAGTCGTGGGCTTCATGGTGGTTATGGCTACCGCCTCGATATCCGACTCATGCCCGGGTTATTTAGATTATGCCAAAGAGTATCATGCTCCTTATTCGGCGGGGAAATATAACCTCTCGTCCCAGCGACCAGCTCCGTCGTGCCGGACCTTCGAGTCTCAAGCTGTCGAGGACACGATTGATCGGATGAAAAAGACCATGCGTGACCCTGATCTTTTCCAGCTATTTCAAAATGCCTTCCCTAATACCCTCGATACGGCGATTAAATGGCATGGCACTGCCGAGGGGAGCGATGAGGAGCTAACCTTCGTCATTACTGGAGATATGTAAGCTGATGTGACTGCTGAAATGAATATGCCTCTTATTAACGGATGTTAGAAATGCTATGTGGCTGCGTGACTCTGCAAACCAGATGCAATCCTACCTGCCACTGTTGAAACCAGCAACATCTAGTAACTCGATAGCTTCTCTCTACTGGGGCGTTATCAATCTTCAAGCCCGCTATCTTCTAACTTCGCCATACTGCAACTCGTTCCAACCTCCCGTCGAGTCTGGTATCCCACCAGCAGAAAACGGCGCTTCAACCGATGATAGAGTTTTTCCAACTTACGCCAACCAGTCGATATTCGAATGCAGATACGAGCTCGATTCTCTTGCTGCCTTCCTAGAGGTCTCGTCCAGCTACTACAAAGCCACGAAGGATATCGATTTCTTTAAGAAATACAAGTGGGTTGATGCTGTCAATGCCGTCCTGGATGTTGCGACGACTATGATGGAGCCAACATACAACCAAAATGGTAGCATCAACACAAGCCCATATACGTTTACACGACAAACCAACAGGGCTACTGAAACGTTTGCGAACGACGGACTTGGAAACCCTAGTGCCCCAAACACTGGGTTGATTCGTTCTGGTTTCAGGCTGTCAGATGATGCTACCATTTATCAGTTCCTGATTCCGTCCAATATGATGTTTGCTTCATATCTCGAATCTACCGCCGAGATTATGGGTGCCCTGCCAGGTCACAAATCTCTTGGCAATCGCATGGCTCAGATGGCCGTTTCTCTCTGCGAGTCCATCAATAAGCATGGGATAGTTAATGATCCCGTGCATGGCTGCATCTACGCCTTTGAAGTCGATGGATATGGTTCCCGGAATATCATGGATGACTCGAACGTTCCCAGTCTACTATCTGCGCCATTCATTGGCTACATCGACAGGAAGAATAAGGTGTATCAAAACACATGCAAGGTTATACTTAGCACTGCGAATCCGTACTTCATGAAGGGTCCTGTATTCAACAGCATTGGCGGTCCGCACATCGGGCCTGGGTTTGGGTGGCCTATGGCGAGTATTATACGCATTCTAACTTCGGATGATGACGCTGAAATAAAGGAGACTTTGCGCGAATTGTTGTCCACCACAGACGGGTTTGGGGCTCATGCACGAGGGAATCAACTCTTTCGATTCCTCTAAATGGATGAGACAATGGTAAGCCTGACTTTCATCTCACTGTTGCTAATGCTAATTGCTGCGACGTAGGTTCCCCTGGGTTAATGGCCTGTTCGGGCAAATGATTTTGGATATAGAGGAGAGGAAGCCGTATATCCTAAAAACAAACTTCCAGTAATTCGCATAAGTCAGATATTCTTATAATAATACCAACGCCAATCTTGATAGCTATGATCCTTCGCTTTAGTCTCATAGTTCCTGTGATATTATAGTGTTATACTATATTACATTTCACAAGTGAGTCGGCATCCCAAGCGAGTCGGCAGCAAAAACACTAAAAATTGACTATCACTACGACTACTACACCACCACCCTATATAATGACCCTTATTCAACTGCAATTGATTCCTAGTGCCTCTCGCACGTACAGACATTATGTCCCATAATACCACATACACCACAGCGCCGTTTCTGGCCCTTAGAACCCCCCTAACAGGCGGTCTCACTTGCCACCTCCATATAACTTAAGCATCAACCTCAGCACTCTAAAGGATATCCTCTAGGTCTCGTACAGAGAGGCTTCCTCCTTGCATTTTACGTCTCTTGCGCTTTTTTTCCCTCCTCTTTTTCTGTTCATTTGCTGCTTATGGAGCCTTAACTTCTGCCTTAAGTAGAACAGCAGCATGCATCATAGCTTGCGCCCCTTTAACAAGGCAGCTAATGGAATCATTAATTGAGGTAGGAGAACTATTCTATGACGCGGTTCTTAATATGCTCTGTTTAAAAGTTAAGCTCCCTTATAGTTTAAGGAGACTTTAAAGTCTAATTGTTACTCTTAACTATAGGAAGAGTTAGAGTCCTTAAGTGTAGATTTAATTGAGAAAGGACATTCTATAGCTTGTATAGAACTAAGCTTGTTGATTATTAGAAATCTTAAAATTAATAATCTTTCTCTTTAATTCCTTTTCTGAAAAAATACTAGAATAGCTTCATTTTCTAGTATCTATAATAAATGTTCTTATAGAACTTTGTTGTGAAAGAGAAGCTTGACTAGAACCTATATTTAAGTTAGTTAATGTCCTCCACAAGCGAGCGTCGCATACAAGTGAGTGTCGCACGCGACGAACACAACGCGCTCCTTATGTGTACTGCAAGATGCCTCAACAAGTTGATATTCCATCAACTAATCTTGAAGGTAGAATATATATTGCTATCGAAGCTATTAGATTACGCCAATTTAATAGCATTAGGGCAGCTGCAAAGGCCTCAAATGTCTGTCCTAAGCTACTTGAGAGGCGCCTAAAGGGAATACGCCCACGACGCGACATTACACCAAAAACTCAAAAACTCACTTGCTTGGAAGAATCAGTTGTTATTCAACATATCCTCGACCTAGATTCACGGGGGTTTTCGCCTAGGCTTCGTGCTGTTGAAGATATGGCCAATCAATTACTCGCATCTCGAGGTGTGGGCAAGGTTGGAGTTAATTGGGCTTCCAACTTTGTTAAACGCCATGTTGAGCTTAAAACAAAGTTTAATCGCAAATACGACTATAAGAGAGCTCTATGTGAAGATGCAGAGCTCATAAAAGCATGGTTTACACTTGTACAAAACACTACTGCAAAGTATGGAATTACCGATGCAGACATCTACAACTTTGATGAGACGGGTTTTCAAATGGGCATTATTACAACAGCAATGGTTGTTACAAACTCTGAACGGCAGAATCGACCTAAAGCAATTCAACCTGGAAACAGAGAGTGGGCAACAGTAATTCAAGGGATTAACGCGCAAGGATGGTCAATCCCACCATTCATTATTATGAGTGGGAAGAACCATCTCTCAACATGGTATGATGAAGATATACCACAAGATTGGATTCTCGCAGTAAGTGAGAATGGATGGACGACAAATGAACTTGGATTTCAATGGATCCAACATTTTCATAAGCATACAAAGCATCGTACAGTTGGTGCACATCGCCTGTTAATTCTAGATGGCCATGAGAGTCACTATTCTCTACCGTTTGAGCAATACTGTAAGGAGAATGGTATAATATTGCTTTATATGCCTCCGCACTCATCTCATCTACTTCAACCGCTTGATGTTAGTTGCTTTGGACAGAAGGCATATGGACGGCAAGTTGAGAGCTTAATCCGCACTCATATAAACCATGTTACGAAAGTTGAGTTTCTTCCTGCCTTTAAGCAGGCTTTCACAGACGCAATCACAAAGCAGAACATCTGCAGTAGTTTTCGAGCTACAGGGCTAGTTCCATTCTGTCCTGATGTTGTGTTGTCACAGCTTGACATTCAACTACGGCCTTTAACACCACCAACCTTTGAGGATGCTTCATGGGAACCTAAAACACCACACAATCTAATAGAGCTAGCAAGTCAAACTACGCATCTTAAAGATTGCATTATATGCCATCAAAATAGCTCACCAACTCCTATTAACAATGCGCTAGACCAGTTGTTAAGAGGTGCTCAAACAATAGTGCATTCTGCTGTTCTAATGAAGGTGGAAGTTCAGGCCTTACAACAAGCAAATGAAGTTGCAAGTCAGCGCAAAAAGCGAAAAAAAAGCGTATACAACAAGGAGGGTGCCTTACAATTCAAGAAGGTCAGGATGTACTTGCTCACCTAGCTGTGGAAGAGCAGATATCTCAAGAACTACGACAGGGTGGTGGGGTTGAAAGACAGCAACGACGTTGCAGAATGTGTGGTAAGACTGGGTATAATGCTCGCACATGTCAAAGGGATTAAGAAGATACTATAGAATAGGTGTATAATTAATTTAATTGATTTTCTAGTCTATAGTTGTTGTTGTTAGAAATTTTGTTACGATCTGTCAATTGCGTGCGACACTCACTTGTATGCGACACTCGCTTGTGGAGGACGTTATTATTATATTAAAGGGATTTAATAAACTCACTTTATTCTAAACTTTGTTCTTGTTTCTTACTTACAGGAATAGTAAGGGAGTCTACTATTCCAACTATTCCCTTTAGCACAACACCACTATATAAGTAGATATTATTCCCTTAGATAGGAGCTTTGTGCTCAACTTAATATAGTATTCTTTACAATACTGTAATGTGTTACTTGGAAAGCCTTTGTGTTTAATCCCTTACCTCCTCTATTAAGTCAACCTTACACAAGGTACCAGCTTACACACAAAGGTCTCTAACTCCTCACCCTCAGTCTCCTAACAACCATTCCTAACAGATATGGATACATTTACTAAAGTATATGATATTCAGTCGACCCTATATATAATACTAATATGGGCTTAGGTTGTTAGCTACTTTAAAGAAGCTATGGTTGATAATCTAAGTGGAATAATAGCTAATCTTCCTTACATTACTCGTACGTGCTTAGTCTAGACTACGCACTTGAACCCACAGTTGTTGTTAACATTTGGGTAGGCTAGAAGGAGCCACTAAGCAATAGCACTATAATGGAGAACCTATTAGAAACACTTGCATCGGACAGGATGGTTAGTTAAGACTTGACAGTTGTGGCTAGAAACGATACTAGATTGAATGTTAGAACGAAGTAGAAGGTAGCTACTAAACCTACCATTGAAGCCACATAGGCTCACCCCTTAGACAAGCTTAAGATTACATTCCCTAATACCTTTCATAGGGATCGTAAGAAGCTGAAGAGTTTCCTCATCTAGACAGAGCTATAGATGGTGTTTAACACCAAACAGTTTACCTAAGAAGTAGAACAAATCCTATAGGCTGTGGCCCTCTTACAAGGACCAGCTTTGGAATGGATCTCTAATTACTGTAAGGACACAGGGCACCCAGCTCACAGTAATAGCATATGAGAGTGCAAGTTGGAGGCTAAACGGATGCTATCCTATAGGTCTGCTACGAAGGATACAAAAAAGATGAAGGGGGAACACTGTGAGTCGATTCCCTCAAGTACCTGAAAACCATCCGACTCAGTTCTGACTCGGTTAGCCCACACAAATGATCACACATGACCAGGGGGAACCCCGTGAGTCAATTCCCTCAAGTACTTGAAACCCATCCAACTCGGTTAGACCACCCAAATGATCACACATGACCCCACAGCTACTCAGAGTCTACTCCTTAGAATGAGAGACAAGAAGGCATCCTTACAATTACCTCACTAACTACATGACCTATCGAACACCAGAAGACATTTCCAAAGTTCTTTTAGCAAAGGGATCATGGTCGTAAGCATCTTTGAATGCTTTAAGAAATGTTGCTGAGGGTGTATGGTCTTTAAAGGTCTCTGATTCCTGAGAAGAGGTAATGGGGGCAACTTGGTCTTGAGGGGATAAGTTTACCCCTAAGTCATCTGTAGTACTAGGGTTGCTTAAAGATGCTGCTATAAGCTTTGTGGAGTCTAGCAGAGTGTTACGGCTAAGTGCTAGTGCTATGGCTAGCGCTTATGGCTGGAACCTCACGTGATGGATAACATTGGATATCATGGATATTATGTTATCCATGTTATCCACGGATATCCCTTTGGCATGACTGTAAGGACACAGGGCACCCAGCTCACAGTAATAGCATATGAGAGTGCGAGTCAGAGGCTAAATGGATGCTATCCTATAGGTCTACTACGAAGGATACAAAAAAGATGAAGAGAGGAACCCCCGTTGGGTCAATCTCCTTAAGTACCTGAAACGGGTCCGACTCGGCTAACCTGCCTTCACCCTCACCACGTGACCGTGACTTGTCCGACTCAGATACCTTCCGTCACTGAGGGAGAGGAACCCCCATTGGGTCAATCTCCTCAAGTACCCGAAATGGGTCCGACTTGGCTAACCTGCCTTTACTCTTATCATGTGACCGTAACCTGCCCGACTCAGATCCTTTCCGTCACTGAGGGACAGGCATCCTTACAACGACGCCACTATATAAGTAGATAGTATTTCCTTAGATAGGAACTTCGTGCTCAACTCAATATAGTATTCTTTACAATACTGTAACGTGTTACTTGGAAAGCCTTTGTGTCTAATCCCCTGTCTCCTCTGTCAAG